ATCGGCCCCAGTCGTCTGAGCAGACATTGAGTTCTATTCCAGAAAGCTGTGATTGAATGGAAGCAAATGCAGACGGAAATATTTTACCAAATGGGGGTACAGTTATAGCATAGACGGTGGTGAATGATCGGAGGCTTGTGCTGAAATTCAGCACACTACTTGTGTTTTTTATCTAACTGAGTCCACCATGATATGTCACGTAGTCTTGAAACGAATGAACCTAGAGCAATTGAATTTTCCATCATGGATAGGTACCAGGTACTGTATATATAGTTACAGGTAAATCCTGTTGATGGAAATACTGTAGGTATCGTAAGACGGGTAGCCGGGCTGACGACGACTTTCAAGTTTCAGTACCAGCTGAACGCCATCGTACAGGAAAATTGGCTTTTTTGTGGACACACCCCCATCTTAACGCAAATCGAAAGTTCAAAAAGTGTCAATACTGTTGTAGTTCAGCCTTTGGTCAACAAGTCACGCCGTCAAAGACTTGCGACTGGGTTCCTTTGCGTAGAAAAAATAGTTGTTTTGTACAGCTTGACTCTCTCTAGCTGATTGGATTGCTCCGGAAGTTGACAATTCAATAAAGAAAACACAATGCCTGTCTACCTGTGCCAACCCGGGTTTGGCTCTACTGATCCCTGGAAGCATGGCATTCAAGTATACGCAGCTCCATTTACAATAGATCAAGACGATAACGCTACTCATAGTGATGGGGATGTTGATTCTTCGCAACAAATTCCAAATGCACCCAATTCAAACCTGGATGGCGGGACGTTTAATTCCGCTTCCAATCATGTGAATGTTGGTAACTTTGGTGGTGATTCCTCAAAGGTTGGAGCCCCAATTCGGCGTGTGCGTCATTCAGAAGTTGTGCTGGCTGATGATATTTGTGTCGCCCATGATCGATACTGGCTCCGCCTTCGATGGCCGGGGAAAAGAGGCGGTTTCGCTGGATACATTGCATTGGGAAAGGTGGATGATCCCATATTGACCAAACCAGATGGTATGTATTTTTGTCGTTCTGATGTCTCCTCCTCTGAAGATACGTCGCCAACAGTCTAGTTTTGATTTGTATAGATCAAGCAAATACCATCTGCTTTCGAGAAGGAATGTCAGGTGCAACTCCAGAGGGATTTGTTGAAATAGAATCCGAAGAGGATCGAATGGCCAACGAAGATACTCAGTCTGAAGAAAATTACCGAAACGACGAACCACAGGACAATGCAAGCACATTGTCCTCCGAACCATTTGAAACAACATCAAAGCTTCGATGCTTGCGAACAGGTTTGAACTTTCCATCCACAGTTGCAATGAAGTTGATGCCTGCGTATGATGATGGTATCAGACCTCCTGTTATTTCAGCTCCAATCCCATCAGAGAATGTCTTTTGTAGAATCTGCCGTGAAGGATTGCATGATGATGTTGATGACGAGCTGCCTGCTTCGGAAAGTGAAGCCAACGAAGATACCTCACAGCATGTCTCTCAACATGAGTCAATGATGTGTGAGCTTGTTCCCATTGACGAAAGGGATGACCCAGATTCGAGAAGAGGAATGAATACAACAGGCCCCATTACGCCACACCCGAAATATCATGCGAACCCGCAAGCTACTGAGAATCCAATGTTAGCGCCGTGTGAATGCTCGGGATCAATGGCTTTTGTCCGCTACCTAAGTATAGAGCAATGGAGATGCCGCTCTCAACACCCGGACGCAAACAATGGGTTAAATTGTGAGACATGCAAAGCTCCCTATGCGCTTCCACCGCCAACAGCTCGTGTTCAACAGGTTGTGAACGAGGATTGGCTCGAAGCCATGCCACCACATGTCATGGCAGCGTTGAGAAATCCACACATCTGTTGGCGAGTTGGAGGATGGATTGTTCGACAACGATGGCTGCGGCCCCTTGCACCTGTTGTAATGTCTCCTGTAGTCGCGTTGTATTGCAGAGCCAGGCGTCTGCTCAAGAAGAAAGGAGTAGCCCGACGCCGATGGGCCTGCAGTTTGTGCCACCGTAGAGCGAGGTGGAAGTGTGTCCGCTGCCTTCGAAGCTACTATTGCTCCAGACAGTGCCAAAATGTGTCATGGCACATTGTTCACAAGCATATTTGCTACAAGCCAAGCCGTTGGGCATGGTCTGTTGCTTTGTACGGACTAATCACTCTGTTCCTATTTCCAGGAATTCTGAGAGACCCACTCATGTACGATCTGGGATTGGGATTTGTGCCGATATCCTTTTATGCCATGGCCATCCTTGGCGGTGGTTTTGCTGCTGCCACAAAGAAAACGATTGGCGTGGATCTACGAGGCCGTACGTTCGAAGGGATCGTTATCCTTTCGACCTTGGGACTTGTCCTAGTTTCATGGGGTCTTGTTGGAGCTTTCTTTGGGGAAGCAACACGCTGCGTCGGTGTGCTTGGAAGCCGTGATGTAACCGAAGACAATCTTCCACTTTCGTTTTATGCCTTGCGAAAATACATGCTTATCCCTGCAATGAATTGGTTCTTGATGTGGGATCGTCTAGCCGATAGCTCGGGATGGTGGATCCGACGTGCACTTTGCGCAGCAGCAGAAGAAAGTGGCGCTTGCTTCGACCATCTTCACAAAGCGAATGCAGATTTCATTTTCGAGGAAAATGACGGTGGCCGATGTGCATCTGACTTGTCTTTTGTCTCCAACCTTTTTGTCTGCGCGGGAATAGTTGCATGCGGGAGCCACTTTTTGAAGAAGCGTGACCGCCAACGCCGAGCCGCGAGAAGACCAAGACCTCATCAAGACTAATATGGTCGTGGTGAATAAATAGGCAACTCTATTAGAAGCTATCAGTCGCATACAGCAAATAAATTATAAATAGAATGGGAGCATTTATCTATCTTGCAACTACAAAAGTGAAATTTCTGTAGCAATTTCACCGACACACAACTCAAACTCCGCCCATACCGTACTGAACAGTATGGTAGTATCTTCATCCTTGCCCAAATCGATGCGAAATCGACTGTCACAGTCCGACTCACTCGTTTGATTGAATCGACTCAACTTCAAACAGCAATCCGTATCCGACCGTTGATATTTGCTGTGCAACGAAATGACCGACTGTACCGACAACTCTAAAATTTAAAAGACAAGCAAACAGTGGTAAAGGCAGCAAGATCACAAGGCCTCTAGGAACACTCAAGTAGTTGAAACCATGGCGACGACAGATGGGAAGACAAATCTTTCCTCAGCAGCAGCGTCATCGTCTTCGACCCCAGCTGCTGCAACAACCACGGAAAAAGAAGTTGGCATTGAGGTGGAAAACAGTTTCAGTGCAGATTCTCCTTATTTTTCATCGTATGTGGAGAATGAAGTGCGTTCTATAAACATTATGAATGATACGCTGAGAGATATTGCAGGTAGAACAAAGACCTTTGGAAAATGTGGTGCATTGATGTCGGAAGCTACCCGGCGATTATCACTGGCATGCAAGCTGAGACGGCCTCTTAGTCCCGAGGAAGAGAAAGAAACTGATGTTCATGCGGAGCGAGTTAGGGAGTTTCAGGTGTTGGAGCGACGTCGCGCTGTCGGAGAAGATATGGCGAGTCTCCTAGGAGTCATGTCAGAAGTGAGTTGATATATGCAGTTTTCATGAGTACCATCCAGTTTGGGATACTGATTTGATTCGCGCCCTGTATTTACAGATGTTGGAAGAAATTGCAGATGCCCAAGTGCAAATGTGTCAATCATTCGAGGCTACTTTGGTAACATCATTAGAACATTTCGCCGAGTTAGAATTGAGGACAGCGAAAACATTGGACAGTACTGCTGAAGAGTCTACAGAATCTGCAGAGCAACTCTTGGGCAAGTACTTGAACGGAAGGCATGCCGCTGCTCTTAGTTCGAATCTGAATGATATTGATGGTAACGATGCCTGGAACAAGTTTAGTGAGCAAGTGGGAAATCATGGTCAATCTCTGTTGCAACGCTTCCAAAATCGAAACAAAACAAAAACACCACAGGGTCCCCCCAGGACCGCTTTGTCGCAAGGGATCTCTCGGACTCAAACGTCTACAGCCAGCAAGTCTACGCCGGTACCGGTGGATCCTGCAGTTCAAATGGCAAGTACGGCTGCCAATCTTAAGTTAACACTTGAACAGGTACGACTTGCACAAGCAACAGCAGAGTTGAAGAGGTTCCAATTGTTGAAGCATATCGTGGCGCACAAACAGCGCCGGAAGTTTGAAATCGGTGAAAATGTATTGGCCTCGCTTCATGGCATTCGCGCTTATTTCCATCACTGTTCCGACTGCGTCAACGGGATTGTCCCGACGATGAATCGGTTCCAGGTTGAGCAACAAACTGCCAGAAACCATCTAGAAAAGAAATTGGCTCCTTCATGGAGAGCTAGAGAGACTGATATTGAGGGAACAATCGATGGTCTCAAAATGGTAACAAAGAGTTCAGGAATCATTGTTGAAGCTATTGCAAGTGGTGACAAGAATCTAATTGAAAAGCAGGCTACTAGTCTAGAGGAGATTGAAGACAAGGTCGAGATTTGGAGACTGCCTAGGATGTTGGCAGATTCGACTCGTTTAAAAAGGGATCCAACACCAGGCGTGTTTGTTGAGGGATGGCTTTATAAGAAAAAGGATCAGCGCCTTACGCTGAATGCATGGAGCAGAAGGTGGTTCATGATGGATTCAAATGGTATCTACTACTTCCGCGAAAACGAGGAATGGAAGAAGGGCGACGGCCGGGTAAACTTGAAAAAATTGGAAAGGGTCAAGATTTGCGATGTTGTTCTTTGTACTGTAAGAGAGGCGCCGAATGAGGGACCGCGATTTTGTTTCGAGGTTCACACTCCAAGCTCCAAACCACTAATGCTTCAAGCAAGAGGTCCGCTGGAGTACAAGAAATGGGTTGATGGTATCCGAAATGGAATTGAGATACAGCTTGTCAGCGGCAATCAAAATGTTGGTCGAGCGCCCCCCCCTCGACAATACAACGTTGGAGAAATAAAGAAGAGCACATCCATGTCGTCTCGTGACAACTCTCCCGTAAGAAGCGGTGATGCTGTTGATTTGCCAGAATTCCACGATATCGATAACGAGGGGAAGAGAGGAGCTCAAAAGATGGCAAAAAGTACCTTGATTCCTCAGATCATGCAATCGAATAAATTTTGTGCGGATTGTGGTGCACCCGACCCAGACTGGGTTTCTTTGAATCTTGGGGTGTTGCTGTGCATTGAATGTAGCGGAGTGCACCGATCTCTTGGAGTGCATGTCAGCAAGGTCCGCTCTTTGAAGCTAGATGCATTGAGTGAAAGCGAGGGCAAACTAATCGCTGAAATTGGCAATGAGAGAGCAAATAAGATTTGGGAAGGTGGTGTCGGAATGCAGAAGGGATGGGAGAAGCCTCGCCAAGATTCCGGGCGCAAGGCCAAGGAAGAATGGATTAAAAGCAAGTATCTGTGGCGAGGATTCATTAATCACTTAGATAAGGATGGCCAACCTGCAGCAGATGGAGAGGACAAACTTTGTCAGGATATGTTCGAGGCTGCTAAAGGTGGTGACGTTCTTGGGATTGCCAACGCGCTCGCACGTGGAGCAAATGCATCCTGGCAAAATCCAGAGGAAAATGGCCAGACTGGACTACATGTTTGTGCATTGCTGAAAGCTGGGGAGAACAAAGATGATTGGAAGGCAATAGAATGTGCAGAGCTGTTGCTGCAAAACGGAGCCAAGATGGATATTAGAGATAAGGATTCCCGTGCTGTTTTGGATATCGCAATGATTAAGAGTGCGGAATTGGATATGATTGAATACTTGACATTGAAGTCATCATAGGACGGATTAATGGGATGGTTAAATCACGACTCGTTTAATTGTCCGAACTTTATTTTTGTTAAAAAAAGATGTGGGCTTGATACAATGGGATATTTGGAATCTAGGCATATATATTAGACTCTCAAAGTGGGTGGCAAACGATTAAACATCGGCCTGGTCATCGTCGGAATCATCATCCAGGTACTCCACTTCAATCGCCACCTCTTCCTGTGCAAGAGGGGCCTTTCTTGGGGGTGAACTGGGTGGTTTCCTTTGTTGTGATAACTCTTTTTTTGGCACAAGTGGTGCCGGTGCAGCAAAATCGTTGGAAAAGGCATCGGCTGGGAATGCTGCAAAATCCGCAAAATCTGCGGGTTCATTGGATGCAAATGGATCAAAGACTTCGGAGGAATCAGCTGCTTCCAAAGGTGGGTCAGGTGCATCAGCGCCTTTGTCATTTTTCTCCGTTGATACTTCTTTGGTTGCAGTTTGCGGTGCTTCGGTTACTACAGGCTCCGCAGGTTCTACAGGTTCAGCGACTTCCGCTACAGGTTCGACATCTTCCGTAACGGGCTCTGCAGCCTCCGCTACCTCGATGCTTTCTGCTGCTGGTTCTTCTTTCACATTCTCCGGTTTAGATTCCACATTCTCTGGCTCCTCGGAATTTTCAGCTGGAGTTTCAGTTGCAGCTGCGTCTCCTTCCGTTGGGCTCTCGCCAGCCTCGACAGATTTTTCTGCTTGAGCAGGAGCTTCTTCCTTCTTGGCAAACAAGGAACTAAATTTCTGTGAAGCCGCCGCCATACTTTCACCCACCCCACCAAAGACAGCCGTTGCCTCCTCTTTAATGTCGTTTGCAATGTCTTCTAGACTCATCTTTTGCATGGCGTCTTGAAAAGCAGAAACTTGATTGTCAGACTCTTGCACAAAGCCGTCTGCGACCACTTCCGAGACAGCATCTCGGCCTGGACTTGATCGATTTGTCGCAGTACTCATACCAGTGCTGTATGCTCCCGAATCAAAACTTTGATCCATGCCCTTATCGTGTTCCGGACTTTCTGGTATTGCTTTTGATCGTCGTTGATTACGTGCCGAGCGAGCTGGGCTTCCAGGTGACGAAAGGCCTGAAATATTGGATTGCTCATCATCATTATTGTCAGTAGAAAGTTTTGGATGAACATCTTTTGGTATGCTGGCTGAATCTGATACTTGTAGAGAGGAGTACTCTGAGGGTCTCGTTGCATTACCAGCCGATTGCGGGAAACGACGCCTTGAACTAAGTTCTGTGGAAAGCTTTTTGCCTTCCTTTTCCGACACGGCATCATCAAAAGCATCCCCCAATAGCGCATCAGAATTCGTGGAATCGGGAGACTTTGGATCGCTCTTTTTTGCTGGTTGCTGATACTTTTGATAAGTAGGCAGTTTCTTTGGACGAGCTGCGTGTTTTTGTCCCATCATGGCAAATTTACTCTTTGTGGATACTGGTCGTCGAGTTGTGGAAGCTTCGCCACCAGAATTGTTGGAAGCTGTTTTCGAAGTGGCACTGGTTGCTGCATTTGATGAAGAATTGTTCGTCGTTGCTACGCCCGCTCCTTCAATTTTCTTCTCTTCAACGTTCTTGAAAGATCGCCGTGCAGGAGAAGCCGTTGGTTTGTATGGTTGTTGTTGCTTTTCCAACACGGCTTGTTCACGTTCACGCCACATATCAGCCACGCTTTTACGCTTCACGGGCTGTTCTGCTTCTGACATGGTTATGCCTGACTTCCTCTCTGCTGCGAAACTATTGTTGCACTATTCACCGAAAGTAAGAAAAAGGGGCATCAAAAAGTTCAGTAAATTTTTGTCGGAAAGGACATCTTGAATCTTGTTGGTGGCAAGTCGTGTCGGCTCTCAGAGGTGCCGCTTGAATTATGAACATCCAATGTCGCCGGCTGGCTCCCTAGTTATTCGCGCAGGCAGGACTATTCAGAGTACAAAGGATCTCATGTGCGACCGTTGAAAATCCCCTTTTGCACGTGTCCAACAAGCTTGGTCGGTGCGGGAAAAGTCGAATGGTAAGATTCTATGGTTTTTTGTGACAAGATCAGCGATTTGAAATCCAGAGTCAGACGTTATCAGTTGCAACAGTTCCGCCATTCGATCCATTCTACGGTTGGATGCACCATGCGTCACTACAAAGAAGACCTGAACTACGAATCCTTTAGTACCGATGATGCCAACAATAATTTTAGAGGGTTCACCTCCTCCATCAACGGCATGTTTGTCGATCCAGAACAAGAACGAGTTGATTGTTGTTCCGTTGCATGCTGTGGAACTTTGCAAGCGGACCGGAATCGATACATGGTAACTGGAGTCAAGCCTCCCAGTTGCTTTCGACGATTTCTTCTGCATATTGTACTTCCGTGTTGGATATTTGGGCTTGCAACATTTTGTGCTTTGAATATCAACGAGCATTGGCTGAATGAGATCTTTAGCACTGGGTTCATATTTATCCTATTTTCATACTTCATACTTCAGTGTTTCAAAGGAAGTATGAAGCGGAAACAAGTAAGAAAGGAGTTGCTTTGGAGCAAGCATGAATTGTTCACAACTGGGATGTTTCGAATGCGCCACTCTGATGAGGATTCAACAGTTGAATCCATTGACGAACAAAGACTTCACCGAAAATCACCTGAATATTTCATGGGGCAGTCAATGTCTGATATCAACCAGGCTCATGGTTTGTGTGGGTTTTATAGAAATGATTTTCCGGACGGCATGAAGTCCATTGAAGGTGATGACATTCACTTTTGCCGAAAGATCTTCAAATGCTTTTCCAATGCTTGCTGTGGAATAGTACTTTGTCGGCAGCTTCAGCTCTGCGGGACGTGCGCCTTGGCTCAAGAAGGTCGAGAGCTTGAAACAATTTTGCACCCCGGTTACCATCGCATTGACTACATTTCCATGCAGCCAATGATGGACTATTATCCAGCCATTTACGACCACAGACATGGAAATGCCAACTACTCAATTTGGGGTCGATTGTCACAATTTTCAAAAGAGTTAATTCAAACAAGCTTTGTGGTCCTTCTCTGTCTTTTCGGATGGAGTCTTCTTGCTGATAAAGTGAATCATGATTTCCGGCCATGGAACTACGTGGTTTGTATTGCCACTCTTGTTCAGGCGACAATTTTGATGACAATCATTTGCTGGAGATCCACCGAAGACATCTCTGTTGATGCGCTGCTTAAATATGCGGCATGTGGATTCTGTCTCAGCACCACAATGGCAATCTTCTTTGAGCTCTTGATCGGGTTGACAATACGCGCGGTAATGTCCATGGTGTTTGAGCTCTCTGGAGTCACAAAAGTACAAAGCAATAGTTACAGCATGGGTGGATTCTCGTCCAATTTTGGAGCTGACATCTTCTGGTCCTTGCAAGAATCATCAGGGAACTCATACAGTGATTACTTGCAAGTCTATGGGAACGATCATCCAATCATGTACACGCTGTACCTTGCGTTCAAGTCATACGTTCTGGCTGCAATGGTCGAAGAATTATGCAAATACTATGGATTCAAAATGGTGGAACACCCAGACTTCATGTCAAAGAATGAGTTGGAAGATGCTTTAAGATATAGCTACAAAGAAGATTCAGACCATCAAACACAAAAGCAGCAGGCATCATTCCCGAGGCAGGATCGAGGACTGCGATCCAAAGGCTCAACAATCACAATGGCGATGATTGCTGCAAGTTTAGGATTCACATGCTGTGAAAATTTGGTCTACATCTTTGTATACGGAGACATGACCTTGGGGAACCAGATCTATATTCTCGTTCTCCGATCACTTCTCCCGGTCCACCCCATTGCAGCTGCTTTGCAAAGTGTCAAAGTGTGCGAACGCGAATTGGAAGGAAAGAAAATAGGACTCTCTGCAGTGATTCTGCCAGGACTTATTTTCCACGGAACCTACGATTTTCTTCTCCTGTGGATTGATTTCTTGTCCAACCGAAACGGTAGCTATACAGCAGGAGACGACGCCGAAGGGGTTGAATTAAATTGGTCAGATTTCACTGCGTTGGGGTTCGGTTTTGCGACCATTGTTGTTGGTTTCATATACTTTGTTCGTCAACGAAGGAAACAACTCGTGAGGCTGTCTAGAATAGACTCCCGCCATCAATCTGGAATCATATAGTGGAGTGAATGAATCAATCAATCCGTCCACATTCCCCTGGTGATGAATAAATTAGAGATACATAGTAGAAATCAAGTAGTATACACTAAACTTCAATACGACTATCTACAACAATCTGTTGTTCGACATCGTCTCAAAATTCTATCTATCTTGCGCGGCCCTCCTCCATGGTGTTAAACCTGCTGGACGGCAAACGCGAATCACTATTCCTTCTTCGAACTGCTGGATTGCGAGACGCATCCGTCCTGCGACGACGAAGGCGGCGCTCACTGCTTCGAAGGATCTGAAGCAAACTGACGACTTCATGGTGCAAATGTGTTCGGGAGGCATCGCGAATTCGAACATGCTGAAGTCGCGGGGTACTGCGATCTCGTGCTTGTGCCGCACGATCCAATGCATCTGGAATATCCATACGACAAACAGGACAGGTTCTGGCCTGTCGAAGCCAATCACGGCAACACTGTTTGTGAAACACATGATTGCACTCTGTGGCTACAATTTCTTCGGCAGCAGTAAACTTTTCCATACAGATGCAGCATTCCGTTGGATAATAACGCGGAAAACCATCAAAATCTACTCCCCGGAGGCGGTCAACGGTCCCAGAAGGTGCACTCATTGCCGTGGGGAATGTGAATTGATTTTGCGACTGATTGTCCGCGGATGGTGTGTATCCATTCCAAGTAAGGAGAATTGCCACGACGCAAAAGGGTATTAGATACCCAAATGTAAGTGTAGCCCAGGCCGCACTCGAGAGATACACAAACGCCGCGCTGGCCTGAAAGAGTTCTGGAGCAGAATTACGGCAGGTAGTCTTGTCTTGAAATACAATACAATCCACTCCCATACGGAGGACTAGCAAGGCGTACGCCAAATAAGCAAAGTTGTAGGTAATCACACGACATGGAATTCCCTGGTTCGAGTTGGCGTCCCATCGAAAGAAAAGTCTCATGATATCGGAACGAAAGACATCCAAAACCAACTGAAATGTAACCAGCCAATAGTATGTGCGCAGAGGAAGATCACATGCCTGTTCGACTGTCACTGCATAAGCGCTCGTCAAGAGTACCCAGCACAACAAAATGGCAAACAAAAGTAGACTAAAGACCAATGCCACCAACGTAATGATGGTTTGGAAGCGGCTATTGATTTGCGTCCAACGTTCCATGGCATGCTCCGATGATTCGAGAGGTCCAGCATTGTCCGCACCATCTCGATTTTCAAGTTCTTCCAACGAGTCATTTGGGTTGGTACTATCCGCAGGTGAACGTCGTGAGGACAGTTGTTCGTCTCGAATGACACGCGGAGATGCATACAAAAAGGAGACGTTGGGTGGTTGACTCGTATGATGTGGTGAGGAAGTTGCGGATAAGGAACCTCGTGGGGGGATTTCAATTTGGCCGGTAGTGCTGGATCTACTTCCATGGTGGTTGGATCTCGGAAAGGGCCACCACCTCTGTTGTCGATTTGCATTTCGTGCATTCTCAACCCGCAGGTATCTACGATGTCGCTCTGGTGCCGAGACTGCCTGTTGAAAGAGCCAATTGCGTATTCTTACTTCATCGGGTTCCGACAGAGATCGTTGTCGAAGTCGTTCGGAAGCGGTAGAGTCATTGGTCGAAACAATTTGTGGCAAGCTTTCCCTGAGTATTCGCTCATGCTGCGGAGTTGCTGGCGATGTGTCCTTTGAAGTACTGCTGACACTGCGTGTGCTGTCTCTGGTAAGGCGCTCATCCATCCAATTGTCATCCATATCGATCGATGGAGCAGTATCTAGACACAGAATTGGGCTTCTTGGAACTTGATGTATACTGCCATGTTCATCTTCTCTTGATTGAATCCACTGACGGACCGCTGCCATTCCTTGATCCAAGGAATTAGTGAGTTCTCCTTCTGGTATAGTAGAACCGTCGTTTTCCACAGGAGGTTGCGACGTTGATATTCGCCGACTTCCATTCCGAGATCTCGAATGCCTCCTGTTTCGATTTTGGGCAGTATTGTTGTGCATCTTTGCGGATGCGTTTTGTTGTGTAACTCCCTAGTGAACCCACAGCGACAACTCTTAATTTTCACCTCCAAGCCGTCTAGTCCGAAGAAAATGCCAAACAAGGAAGCACTCGTTGCCTCTATCTTGTGTGTATGCGTGGGTGTCACACTTTGGTTTTGAGGAACCTTCTTCTCGTGAGTTGATTCAACGATCCATCGATCCGTTGAGTGACAGGGGAACTTTTTTCGGTGTCCCCATATTCCTTTTCCGTCATTTCCCCTTATTTAATGGCAGGTCAATGTTTGATTGGTCTACGTCCTTCTTCCGTGCACAATGTACTGCGACTGAATCACGATATGTCCGATCGTTTGGTTTTGAGACCATGGCTGGTTCCGCAAACTTTCAAATTTGCAGTGGGGTATTCGCTACCGGTACTGTAGACTGACACTGCCACTCGAAGGCTGATTGTTTCCTATACATTATCTTTGGAAATAGATCTGCTAGTTTCTGCAAAAGTTCGCTAGAGCTATCTACACAAGGTACGGTTTTAGACATGCTTTTGTATCTTCCCATTTGCAATGGATAGGAAGAAAGTAGGATTGCTTTACTGTTGGAGGGAGATGGTTTGAGTAAGATGAACCACAAGGAGCTTGTATTTCTCACCATTGCTATTTTTCGCATTGTTGGGTGTATGGTTAACGATTTTAGTCGCTACTGAAAGGTATCCGAAAAGGAGATCCAATCGTAGTTTTGGCGTTCCCACTCTTACAACAACAATACCAAGATGTCAGCACAAGATGATCGATGGATCGATGGCATGATCGATATGCTGTTAAGCGCCAGAAATAAGAAACCAGGAACACCAGTCGATCTGTCAGTACAAGATGCCACGCAGCTATGCAATCAATCACGAGAAGTTTTTATGCAACAACCTATGCTGTTAGAATTAGGGGCACCAATCAAGATTTGTGGTGATATCCATGGTCAATATACGGATCTGTTGCGTCTCTTCGAATACGGAGGCTTTCCACCAGAGGTAGGTTCAATGAATGCATGCATGGTGCTCGGTGGAGTTGCGTAGTGTTGAGGATCGAGTTTCAAATGTTTGCATTGCATTGCAATGGATGGGGCTGGTTGTAACGACTTGTGTATGATTCCTTGATGAACCTTCGTATGCTGATATATATCATATTCCGACGTTATCATCACAGGCCAACTACGTATTCTTGGGAGATTATGTAGATCGTGGGAAGCAATCATTGGAGGTTGTTTGTCTGCTATTTGCTTACAAGATCAAGTATCCAGAGAACTTTTTCCTCTTGAGAGGCAATCACGAGTGCGCTGGAATCAACCGTATCTATGGGTTTTACGATGAATGCCGCCGCCGGTTCTCTGTAAAGATGTGGAAACAATTTTGTAATACATTCAATTGCTTGCCGTGTTGTGCAGTGATTGACGACAAGATCATTTGTATGCATGGAGGTCTTTCGCCTGAACTATCGCAGATGGAACAAATTGCTAATATTCCTCGGCCTTGTGATGTTCCTGATACCGGTCTCTTGTGTGATATTTTGTGGGCTGATCCAGATCCCAGTATCACGGTAAGTTTGAGCTCTTGATTGAATCGAATCGAATCAGTCTTTGTCTCTTGCGCGGTTCATAAACTAATATCTTTCTTTGAAAAATATAGGGTTGGGGTGAGAATGATCGTGGTGTTTCATTCACCTTTGGAGGAGATGTAGTGCGTCAATTCCTCCGCCGTCACGATTTAGATTTGGTAGTGAGGGCACATCAAGTGGTGGAGGATGGTTATGAATTCTTTGCTGGGCGGGAGCTTGTAACAGTATTCTCAGCGCCAAATTACTGTGGTGAATTCGATAATGCTGGGGCTATGATGACTGTGGATGATACACTGATGTGCTCCTTCCAGATTTTGAAACCAGCAAGTGCTGCCCAACAAAGGGGGTATGGTGGTGGTGGTGGTGGTCGACAGGCAACGCCGGGAAGAAGGTAACTGAATAGAGCATGAATAATATGCTAACGCATAATGTATGACTATTCATTCTCTCTAGACTTTTAATAGATTAACGACTAGTAAACATCGGGTGGTATGAGTCGAAATGAAAAACCTACAGTAGTCGTACGGTCGATGTCTTCGGTCTACGGTACCAGGTACCAGGTACACTGTCCCTACCGGTACCTATGCGCGCGTGTACGTGTACGTTCGTCTGTCCCTTCGAATTTTTTGTGGAGCTAAACTTTTCGCTCGGTAACGGTTTTCAATTCGAACCATGGTCTCATAATTTTCAAATTCACGAAGAAATCCGATCGACAGCTCAACAAGGTCGGTTGAGAACAAAGCAATCTTGTGACCAACTCGTTCAACTGACGGAAGAGAAAGTCGAGGAACTAGAACCGCTTGATTTACTGTAGTTGATCTGATAACAGTTGCATTGGCATCTGTCTCTTCTTGCAAGAAGGCCAAGTTCCGTTTCAGGCTGTGAATTTCTTTCTTTCTGGTTTGTTCCAACGGTTTCAGCGAAATTATCATAGTCGACAACTTTGTAGCAAAGAATGAGTGCGACAGAATGGGAACAGAGCAAGGAAAATGCAGCTCCTTTACGTCGTGGCCGTAAGGTGGAAACTTTGGCACCAAAAGCATTTGGGATCAGCAATCGCGACAAGACAGAAAGAGTGATTGATAAATTTGAAAGGTTGGTTCGACCTTCAGAGGACCCTGATGTAACAGAAATGGAAAATGATCCCTTGGAACACTGGCTATCATATATCAAGTTTTACCAGGAGTCGTTTCCTTCGGATACACACGAACAATTTCTCTTGATGGAGCGTTGTACACGAGCTCTCATCAAAATGCGCCAGTACGCCAACGATGATCGTTTCATTGGAGTTTGTGCCAAATATGCTGACAAAACGAAGGAGCCGATGATTGTTTTCAAATATTTGCACCAAGAAAAGATTGGAACGGAGAGTGCACTCCTTTGGATCGCTTGGGCCTTTGTAGCCGAGCGAAATAATGACTTTCAATTTGCAGAACAGATCTTCAAAAAGGGCATTAGCAAGAATGCTCAACCACTGCAGCTGCTAAAGACTCGACATCGTCAGTTTGAACGACGAATGAGTAGGAATTGGATGAATTCTTCGCAGCAAAGTGATCAAATTGACGACGAAGATGATGATACGGAAAGGCGAAGCGTTCTTGGCGGAACATCGAGACCTCGAAGGGGTACCAGCATGATGCGCCAAACGGAACGCACTAGGACGTTTGGTGTTCGGCAGAATCGTCGTTCTACTCGTCAAACCAGTAATGCAAACTCGAACACAAGCACTACCAATGATTTTTCTGTTTTTGAAGACGAAGAAACTGGTTATGATGGATACAACTTGGACCAATCGCATGGGACAGGACGGGTCATTGAAACGCATGCAGAGAGGAAAAAGGAGAATACGATGGAAGCAGAGCGATGGAATGAAAGAGGTGGACTTCGAAGAGGGCAAGAAGCACACCAACGGTCGCACAGTAAGGGGCCACCACCTGCTTTTGCGGTTTTTGTTGATGAAGAGTGCGTTGCTCAACACGAGGCCGAGGAGGTGACAAATCAAGCAGAAGCGGATCATCATAGAAGATGTCGAGATGATAGAACATTTCGAGAACGGGATGATGAAGGCATGGTAAGAGTGAAAGCTGTTGTGAAGGTTTATGATTTATTGGATCAATCCTTTCTAAATTGTTTTATTTTGCTCCTACTACAGGGAGAAAAGCTAGCGAAAGATCCCCTCAGATACTTACGCGACCGCACTCAACTTGAATCTGATACTGCTGTTGATAGCAAACAGAAGAGTGAGCTAGCGAAGAAGCCAGCTGCAAGCGTCCCGAAATCCAAGAGTGGACGTAAGCAAAAGAAAGGAACAGGGTTCGATTTGCGATTGCTTCGTAACAATCAAGGGGACGAGCAGAGCTTCGAGGAGGCCCGTGCCAATGCAAAATGTTTTTTCCTCCTTCCATCATCAGAAAACTTCAATTTGCTACATACTGTCGTCAGCGACGATCAAAGCTCTCAAATGGACCTGGATGAGAGTTCAGACGGCATGTCGATAGGTGAATTTCCCGAAGGGCTTGCAACCAACACAAGCAACCCCCACAACTCTGTAGATGCTCGGAACGACTCAATTGTCAGCAAGAAATCAGTCTTCGGAGCTTCTAGCTTTGATGGCAGCTTGAACCGAACAGCTATTTCAACAGCCAGTTCAACCGTTGATGAAATCGGTGCGGTTGGCGTACCAACAAGAAAAGAAGAAGAGACGATCAATACAAAGTTCGCAATGAGAGAGCTAAGCATGATGTTCTCCAGTCCCGCAGTCGGGGCCGATGATATGGTGAGAAAGACTGAGAGGGCAATTCTCAATAAATCAACGAGTGCAAATGATTCGTATGATCATGTCATGAACATCATGGACCACCAACAAATGAATAACTCAATATTCAACATCGAAGAAGACGAGAACAACGAGAACGATGGCGAGCGCAACTATGAAGGACGGGGGTCGTCTAGTCCAGGATTTCATGAAATGGCACTCAAAGAAATTGAAGGGGCTCAGGACGCCGCAAACTCCTTGTCCTGCCGTGCTCAACAGAGAAGGGGCATTCCTGGAGAGCTATCTCAAGAGAACCCGTTGAGCCGAAATGAAGTCGAACTTCACTCAGACGCTGGTTTTCAAATTTTTGAGGAGGATAGGGTGAACGAGAACCAAGCTATAGCATCAACGAAAGCAAAGTCAATGTTCGCAATCTTCCAAGATGAAGACGACAATACAAGGACAAAACCCCCAGCAGCAAAAGCATCATTTGGTATCTTCGAAGATGAAGTAGAAACGAAGGAACCTAAACCTCCAGCATCGAAATCAACTTTCACAATCTTTGACGACGAAGCAGAGAGCTCGACCTCTAGACTATCAAAAGAGAAATCTTCGTTTGCAATCTTTCAAGATGAGCAAGACAGCACGGCAGTCCAGTCGTTTTCTCGGGAATCACGCAATGGACGCTCTTCAAAGGCACCTGGGTTTTCAATTTTTGATGAAGAGAAGAGAATCTCTTCCGCTAACGACGTTAAGCAGTCCCCACAATCTTCACATACGGCATCTGATAATGGTGAAACAGCAACATTGTCCCTATTTGAGGGCGCTATTGGAATGCTGGCCGGAAACGACGACAGTAATTGCTCTGGACGCTCTGAGCCTAGCGTAAATGAGGACCGAAAAAGACAGAGCAGCGGCGACACTGCATCAATATCGCTATTCAACGAAGCATTTGCCGAGTTCGGAATTGAGACAAGCGAGAAAGGCCTCTCCCAGGAAAAGCCGCCCTCTGCGTCCTCAAAGAAACACAAGTTCGATATCTTTGTGGACGAGAGTACGCGTGATGCAAAAGTAAGCTAAAGAGCCATATGGCAGTGATGACACCTTAGAACCGCTCACAGAGAGATTATTTTGCGTTTTGATGAAAGAGGGCATGTCGTAGCAGGTTCCAACAGAAGCGACGGGATCCTATAGATATCGATGCTGATCGGCAAAACGCATCTGTAGACTACCTGAAGGTTCACGAACATGAAAGCCAAGAGGCACTCCAACATCTTCAGAGGTCATCTGTCGTCCCACGTAGCAATGTCTCGCTCACGGATCTTCTTTCCAGCGCTGGTGATTCTTTCGATCTTCCTCACTTGCTCGTACCTAAGTTACTTCTTCGAAAAAGTGTCATACCTTCCAAGGCTAAGTTGTGCATTGGTGGGAAATACTCTGGACGAATATGTAATGAACTAGGAAGGGGTACATATGGTGTTGTTGTTCTCATGAAAAAGCACAAGACCGAAGAAGTAATGGCCGTGAAGTCACAAACGCCAACTTCATGTTTGGCATTGGAATATCAGAATCTTCGTCGACTAGAAGAACGAGTCTCGTCAAAGCAAGGCTGTCACCCCTTTCCCAAACCACTTTCGTTCATTTCTCTGGCGGACGGTGGAATTTTGACCATGACTGCAGGATCCAAGTCTGGACTAAATTTGGTCGACATGGTGAACATCTATAGGGTCAAGCTTGGCGAGACTGTCCCCGAGCTTCTTGCATTACACTACACTTCGCGAATGCTAAAGCATATTGAAACAATGCACCGGCACGGAAGAATACTTGTAAGTCTCATCACTCTTATGCTTTGGACCCCACCAAGAGCTGTCTCTCATCACGGTTATTATAGCATTGTGATGTGAAGCCAGACAATTTTGTACTGTGCAAACTCGATTGTCCGGACAATGCCTATCGACAAATCGAGTATTCGGATCTCTTTTTAGTTGATTTTGGTCGTTCCGTCGACCTAGACCTTTATTCTAACCAGTTTCGTGATGCTCGGAATGCAATGTTTCGTGGAAATGCTTCTTGTCCGGAAGCCAGGTGTATTGCCATGAGAAATGGTATGCCATGGTCCTATGACATTGACACATTTGGAATACTGTCTTCAGCACATATCCTACTCTTCGGAAATCACATGGAGCTACGGCAGAGCAGAGACTCAAGATGGCACATTCAACATCGATTTCGGCGGTACTGGAACAAGGACCTATGGAGTGAAATTTTCAATTCGTTGATGTATCCTGACGAGGAGACAGGGTTCGCACTTGAAAGTAGAGTACGCAACTTGCGTAGCCTTTACGAAAAGATAAACGATTGTATAAAAGGGGACGAAGCAAAGATTACAGCGCTCTTGAAACGCCAAGCAGCTCTCTTACCTAAGCGACGAGACCAAATGGGTTGAATCTCCATGTATTTTGGCAAGACGACATAATAATTATGGCTGGCTATCCTACAGTATGAACATACGAAGTAGCTGGATATCTTGCCACCTTTAAATCTCATAACGCACATTGTACAAATCAATGGTCTATACTGGTAAGCTACAGTACTTGTGTCGTCACACTGACATCGTTCGCGCCGTTTGCGTTACACCAGTTGGTGCGTTTCACCGACCACTTCGATTCGATTCAGATTCAAAAGAAAACGAGAAGAAAAGAAAACCAAACAGCTACGGTACTGTTACAGAAACAATGCAAACATCCCTGGGTTGTTCGGCGAGCTCTCTGGCCTCTGTTCTTTTGTTGGCAACAGGATTGCTCTATGTAGTGGTACAATTTAGGGACTCAGGTTCAAAGGTGAGCCAAATGCATATCCAGTACGGAGTTAACCTTTCCGTCACTGACCATCATTTATCTCCGCTCCTCAGGCGAGTGGTGCGATAGTGTCCATGCCCATGATCGGTATGTCTAATAGTCGAGGTCCATGGCCAAAGTGCGTCGGTATGACAGGTGACAACTGCGCGGAATATATCGAGACTTCAACGGAGAATATCCACACAACTATCATCCAGCCTTCAGACACAGATCAGGGTAAAAAGTTTGATGAGAGGAGAGTGCGCATCTACGTCGACGACGACGATCTTGTATTTATCATTCCGCGACTGGGCTGAAGAAGCGGAGTTTTCGTATACAATCTATGCAATCCTAAGTCAAACTCCTTCGCCGATTCTAGAAGTTGCTTTCATACTACTATTTTTATATTTCTTTCGTTGACCCATCGGCTCGTAGGAACAAATGATAGACTGGGTTATCAGTCTCTTCCGTATACCTGTAGCCCAATGTATCCAGGAATCGTGCGAGGTCGTGCTCGTGTTCACCGCTTTCTGGAGCTTGGATTCCTACAAGCACTCGTCCAAAGTCGTCCCCGTGATTTCTATAGTGAAACAAGGAGACATTCAAGTCAATATCAAGGCTCAAAAGGAACCGTTGCAATGCACCTGGAGATTCTGGGAAATCGAACCGGAAGAGGCGTTCATGTGGAACACTTGATCGTCCACCAGCAAGGTGACGAACGTGGCCTTTTGCCAACTCATTTTGACTGACATCCAAGCACGAAAAGCCATCCTCTTGGAGGCTGCTCATTACACCATCAAAATCGTTCTCAATAGTTGTGACTGGTTGGAAGGAAATCAAGACATGTGCATCACCTTCGCTTGCATATCGATACGAAAATTCAGTGACGTTTCTTGGCCAAATGAGTGAATACAAGGCACGGAAGGATCCAGGAGTTTCAGGGATTGTGACAGCAACTGTTCTTTCGGAGCCATCAGCACGCTCGGAAACGAATCTCAGACGATCAAAGTCCATATTTGCACCCGATGTGATACCGACAAGAGTTTGGCCAGTGATTTCATTCTCTTCCACATATTTCTTCATCCCGGCGACTGCCAATGCTCCTGCTGGTTCCAGGACAACGCGGCTGCAGTGTATACAACGTTAGTTATCATCACGACTGCCTGGAAGCTGTTTACTGTTGCATAACTTACGCATCGTTGTAGCTTAGTTTGATTGCATTGCAAATCTGATCAGTATTGACCGTGATCATGTCATCAACCAATTTGTTGCACACTCGAAATGTTTCAGTTCCAATTGTCTTCACTGCGGCCCCATCCGCGAACAAACCAACACTATCAAGTGTCACTACTTTACCCTCACGCAGCGAGGATGTCATGCCCGCGGCATCTTCAGCCTCAACTCCAATGACCTTGACAGATGGTCGAACCCTCTTGACGTATGCAGCAATCCCAGCAAGCATTCCACCACCACCACAGCAGACAAAGATAGCGTCTAATGGGCGACTGACGCAAGACTTCAAGATTTCCATCCCAATGGTTCCCTGGCCCGCAATTACATAAGGATCATCGAAAGGATGAATCATAGTCATCCCCTCGTCGTTCTGTAAACGCTTTGCTTCTCCAGCTGCTTCATCATAGTTGTTACCAAATAATCGGACTTCGACGGTTGGACCCCCATGAGTTCGAACCGCGTTGACTTTGATCGAAGGAGTAGCCAAAGGCATGACAATTACGGCATTGCAGCCCAGCATTTTTGCCGACATGGCAACTCCTTGGGCGTGATTACCAGCCGAACATGCAACCACCCCCTTATCTAGCTCCTCACTTGAAAGATGCGCCATTTTATTGTAAGCTCCTCTGATCTTGAAGGAGAAAACAGGTTGTGTATCTTCTCGTTTCAGGAGAACGTTATTTTGCAAGTGCTGTACAGTTGTTTAGAGAAGGAGCTAGAGGTGAATTCTGTAGCATTGCAATGGATACATACCGAACTGAGGTTCTTCGCCTCTTGTAACTCTGTCTCAATTGCTGCTTCGTACACTCTTGCGTTCAATATTCGGCCAAGATACCCAACTGCGTGCGCCTTGGAATTTAGGAGGACTGGCTGGGAAGCAGTTGCAGAGTCTCCATCTGTTTGTGAAGGGAAGGACACCATTTCTGTAGTACCTCCCTTCCTGTCGTTGAATACCTCATCATCGAAATCATCATCGAAGTCATCTGATCGCGCTGAAGTTGATTTGAATCGTTGTAAATTGAATTGAACGAAACCTCGTCCAGTGAAGCATCTCGCAGCTCCACTGCGGGAAAGTAGTCGAGTAGCGGGTGGAGAGAACATAGAAGAGAGGCAATATCAACGTTGCAGAATGAGAACCTTCGCTGGTTTCTTCTTTGATGACAGCGGACAAATCGAGCTTTGACTGTCTTCTAACCTCCTTCAAATAAATTTGAGAGAAATCGAAAATTGAAAGGCTCATGTTTTGACAGAACTTTTTTGAACGTCATGCGACGTGGCTTGAGTCGGACGAATCAATCAGTCAATCGTGATTGAAATCCATCCATGCTACAATAGTATCACTTTTATAGTACAGCATTATCTATGAGGCGTACCGATCCAACCTTGCATGCAATTGATATGATTGCGCCTGCTTCGTCCACAGTTTCTAAAGGTTGCATTGTTGCTTTGCTGTCCACGGTAATGTACTGGATTTCAGACACCAGTGGTTCACTCTCCAGCCCTTTTCTGACGACATTAATCAGTGCTGCGCTTTCAATGGTCTTCTTCTCTTTAAATAGTGCCTTTGCTGCGCTTAGGGAACGATAGATCACTGGGGCACCTGCTCTCTCGTCTGGCTTGAGATAGGCATTCCGGCTGGACATGGCGAGCCCATCGTCTTCTCGGATTGTATCCATTACAACAACATTCAAGTCCATGTCTAGATCTTCTACGACTCTTTTGATTAGGACACACTGAGCAGCATCTTTCTGACCAAAGTAAGCGTTTGTTGGTTTAACAATATTGAACAGCTTGGTGACGATGGTGGCAACTCCAGAAAAATGACCTGGCCGTGATCGCCCCTCTGCAGTATCATCAAATCCTTGAGGATCAACTTTTGTGACATGGTTTTTGCCATACATATCATCAATTTTAGGAGCAAATAAATGGTCTACCCCATATTCTGCTAATAGCTCTGAATCCTTTTCAAGTCGTCTGGGATACTTGTCGAAGTCTTCATTAGGTCCAAATTGAGTAGGATTCACAAATATGGAGGCAACGACGATATCATTGTGCTTTCTGGCCTCACGGACAAGCGATAGGTGCCCATCATGCAGTGCACCCATTGTGGGGACAAAACCAATCTTTATGGAAGGTTGAAGTTCCCTTCGCATTGATCGAAAGGCCGATATTGATTGGTAAAGAATTGGAGTCGCTTTACTCTGAACTGATTGCATATTGATGTCTAAATTTATTGTGAGAGGAGCTTGCAATTGTCGACTGTATGATACACGTTTGTTGCAGTGGCACGTTTGTTGACGTGCCTCGTATCTTCCGTTTTGATGATTTTTTTTGGATCGGTCCATGTTGGGTTTTCTTCCGCCTTTGGTCAGGCCGTATGTCCGGCAAGTACACGTACATATATCTGGAATATAGAATCTCACTATCTGAATAAATGAAAATCATCTCATCATCCAGATAATCTGAAAACCATCATGATGCAAATCCAAAGTTGAAGTTCCCTTTACGTGTACTTCCACCTGGAGCGATTCTTCTTCAAATCTCCTGACGACAACTGTATCAATTGAATTTCTTCACTTGTGTGTGTTGATCAAAGATGAAGGCCTTCGCAATCATCACCCTCGCTTTTGCTGGAGCCTCCGCCTTTGCTCCTCAAGCATCCACTCAAAAGACTTTTGCCTGTCTTCAATCCTCTGTGGATGATAAGACTGAAGTCCGCGAGTACTTCAACACAGAGGGATTCAATCGTTGGAACAAGATTTATTCCGAGAGTGATGAGGTCAACTCCGTCCAACTTGATATCCGTACTGGTCATGATCAGACTATCCAAAAGATTTTGAACTGGGTCCAGGCTGATGGTGACAATAAAGGAAAGACTTTCTGTGACTGCGGATGCGGCGTTGGCAGTCTTGCCATTCCACTCGCCCAAATGGGTAAGATTATCGAAGGCGCAACCCCATGATTGCTCTCGAGGCAAGGAACATTTTATTCATGCTTTTTGTTCTGTTTTCATAGGTGCCAAGATTTCTGCCAGTGATATTTCCGACTCCATGGCCAACGAAGCTGCTCGTCGTGCCAAGGAAATGGGAATTAAGAATGCCAAATTCTACACTTCCGACTTGGAGTCCGTCACTGGAAAGTACAACACTGTAACTTGTGTTGATGTTGCAATTCACTATCCTACCGAAAAGATGTCCGAGATGGTTGGCCACTTGTGTTCTTTAGCTCAAGACAGAGTTATCATTTCTTTCGCTCCCAAGACCTGGTACTACGTTTTCTTGAAGAAGATTGGAGAACTTTTCCCTGGCCCCAGCAAGACTACAAGAGCGTATTTGCACGAGGAAGAGGTTGTTAGACAGGCCTTGAGCAAGGCTGGATTTGAAGTTGCCAGAGACGAAATGACGGCAACCAACTTCTACTTCTCCAGACTTTTGGAAGCCAAGAGAGTATGAGCAGCTTGTTATAAATACTAGTACATTATGGACATAGATATTCCTTTTGATAATTGAAATCGTTCTTGTTTGAAATCACTGCTAGCTGGCTTTGTCAGTCTGTGGACACTTCGAGGTACTTCCTTGCTGGATGTGTTTGAGGTGAACATCCCATTGTCACATTTTGGGAAGTACTTCCTTATATCATTAGTTTGACGTTTTGAATCTATCCGTGACTCCACCTTAAACGTGACTGAGATCAGAAATCGCAGCACAGCCATCAAAACACCAAGAATTTACCAATCAAACGAGATGAGGACCCACGACGCTCCAATAGTGGCTTGCTTATCATGTATATTCCTTGCACTGGCGAATACTAGCGCCTATGTTCCGCAATATCGAAGCTCAACGACACAACTTTCGATGGCTTCGGTCAGCGATACCGACACCAAAGAGCAGTTTCCATTGACTCCACCCAGCAAATATCCCACAGCAAGAGGTGCAACCGTGGATTCTCGACAGATTGTCGCATCAGGGGCTGGGCGTCAGCACTTGACTGCTGTTCGACTGGCACACATTTTATTCGCATCACAGGATCTTGCCGATGAGGCACTTCGCAAACTTCGCACTGCAGAAATGTCGTTTGAAGAACTAGCCGGGCAGATCAGTGCGTGTACGGAAACTCGTGACAAGGGTGGGGAAATTGGCTGGATATCAGTCGACGAAAGCAATTCCAACAATGAGCACTTGGATCTTCTCATGCCGCCAGAAGCTCGCGAGCTTGCAATACAGATTACGACGAAGCCAGGAGATATTGTTTTGGTGCCGTCGTCAAGGGGAGTTCATCTTGTTCAAACTGTAGACGTCATGGCAGATGTTCGAAAGATGGCGTTCATCAAGGAACGGAAATCAAAGGCTGCCAGAGCTCGGGGTGGCGTTCTTTCAGGTGCCCTGGGATCAGATGGTTCCAAGCCTCTTACCTACAAACTTGAAACGATGGGCTGCCAAATGAATCTTGCTGACTCTGAGAGAATCGAAGGACAGCTTCAAAGTCTTGGTATTCGTCGACTTGATCCTATAACCGATAAAAAGATCGACCCAGACGTTGTTGTATTAAATACTTGTTCGATTCGAGAACATGCCGAGTCCAAAGTATACTCCTATCTAGGACCTCATGCCAAGCGAAAGCGTGACGGTGAGGACGTTGCTATCATCGTTGCTGGATGTGTCGCTCAACAAGAGGGAGAAGCATTATTGAGAAGGGTACCAGAGGTGGATTTGGTCATGGGGCCGCAGGTGTGTATTTTGTTGCTATATCAGACTTTACTCTAACTTTGCATCACTTACCAATTGGATGACTCTAACTTTGCATCACTTACCAATTCAGTATGCCAACCGAATTGCCGACCTTTTGGAAGACGTTTCGAACGGAAATCAAGTCGTAGCCACAGAGGCTACTCACATTATGGAGGACTCCTCGAAGCCAAGACGACAGTCAACAACATGTGCCTGGGTCAATGTCATTTATGGCTGTAACGAACGTTGCGCCTTTTGCATCGTCCCAACAACCAGAGGCGTGGAACAGTCGCGTCCAGCGGAAAGTATTGTTGAGGAAGTAGAAGGATTGATCGAACAAGGATTCAAGGAAGTTACTCTCTTGGGACAAAACATCGAGTAAGTCTTTGTCCATTAGTAGGTAGTTGTTGAAAGCGAATATTCGATACTTACATGATTCGGGATTTCTATAGTGCCTATGGACGAGACATGGTTCCAAAGCGCAAGTTTTCCGATCTTTTGCGAGCCGTTGGTAGCATTCCGGGTTTGAAGCGACTCCGTTTTGTTACCTCGCATCCAAAATACATGTCACTGGGTGTAGTCGATGCAGTTGCCGAGACTCCAGCCGCCTGCGAGAACTTTCATATTCCATTTCAGTCGGGGTCAGACACAATCCTTCAAACCATGGGGCGTGGTCACACTCGTGAAAAGTACCTGCATATTGTGAACAGAATTCGATCGGTAAGAGAGACAAAGGTTAGAAACTGCGACCCAACTACATGCTGATTTCCTCTAATATTTTTATTGCCCATTCTTTCCTACAGCGCCTACCCGAGGCATCCATTACAGCTGACGTGATTGTTGGATTTCCCGGAGAAACAGAAGAAGACTTTCAAGATACCCTCAGTTTGATGGAAGAAGTCAAGTTTGACAGTGTCAACACGGCCGCCTACTCTCCCCGTCCCAACACTCCCGCTGCCACGTGGGAGAACCAATTGGACGATGCCACCAAACAAGACCGACTACAACGCATCAATGTTTTGGTCAAACAACACGCGGCAGAACGTCGGGCCCGCCTGTTGGGCCGAACTGTTGAAGTTTTGGTGGAAGAACGCAATGTCCGAATCCCCACCCAAGTCATGGGCCGCACTACTCAGGGGTATATTGTCTATTGTGAAGGAGATATTGATGTACTCCGTGGAGAACTCGTCAATGTGGAGATTGAACTAACGAAACAATTCCATTTGGCAGGAACGATAGTTCCATAAATTGATTATAATAGTACGAGTATGTAAATCAACCAATGGTCAGAGATGGCAACTTCGAACGGATAATACACACTGATAGAGGCTCTTCACTTGATGCTTTTCCCAACCTCTAGTGGCAAGCATTTATGTATATGCAAAAGCGTAACATACGTAGTACAGTAGTATATAATAGCAGGAACAACAAGAAGAATTACATGTTATGCTATGCCATCCTCTGGAGTTTTTACAGTTGTTGGTTTGCCTTTTGTAGCGAAGGACTTTGTTTGTTGTTCTCACGCCTGCTGTTGCTGCTGTTGTTGCTGCTGTTGCTCCCAATTAGCATTACCAAAGGAGGACAGTTGGCAAAGAGCGGCCGCCGCAATCACAGCGCCCCGTCCCTCGGAAGGGTTTTCAGGATTGGGTGGTAATTGTTGAGTTGGATAGTTAGGATCGATGCGTTCTTCTTTATTGGTTTGACGCTTGCGTTTCGCTGCTGATAAGCTCTTTGGATCCGAGGGTAGTGCCAAGGAATCTCGCTGCTTCGCCGCTTGCACAATCAGGCTATCCACTATGCCGTAATTTTCCTCCAATCGACGAAATACATTCTCTCCAGCTTCCAATCGTTTCAGTACCTTTTGGGCGTGGCTTTTGATTTGAACTAGTGATCTATCGCAGTCATTATAGAAGTGATGGGAAGAAATGTGTGAGCAAAGGTGTGCGATGGCAAAGATACTTTCGTAGAGTTCGCGTTCGCGAATGATACTCAATCCACGAGTCATCTTTTGATGGTTCGTGCATGGAGAAAGACTTACCGATGAGGCAGGTATATGCTCATCTTTTTCCATCGTCCCTTTCCGAATCTCTTGAGGCCATAGAGAAAAAGTATTTTTTCATCAGGAGTCCATCGCCCAGTCCGTTGCACGGGACCTATCGAGGATGATTTTGGTGATCGCGGTTTTGTGGAAACAGAATCATTTCCATCTTCAATTTGTGGAGCCAATGGAGGGGACATAATCTCTTGCGGTATCACTTCCTTCTTAATATGTTCTAGTTTGTCTTCCATTGGGGTTTCGGGGTTTGGTATGTGCATGGTTTGATGGGTTGTGGGCTTGCGAATTGCTCCCGTAGTGTTTTTTGCTGAGTTGGTATCTTCTTATCTTCTCGGCCATCCAAATTCGTATCTTCTCGCATGATCTGCGCACGATATTCCATTCGATTCCATTCGGATTACGCACTTTTGCCGGTAGGCTCTCTACGAGCAGCTACAGCAGTTCGACCAAACCAAAAATTTCAAACACAAATGTCCACGCTGACGTCGACACGTCAGCGATGACGGCACAACACTTCCGCCGATTTTACGAACGACGCACGAGCTAGAAGTCTGATGACATGTCACATGTCGCACTGATGACTGGTTTGTCCAGAAAAAGACCCAATTTCTGTACATCAAATAGACTACCAGGAATTGTGTAGATCGATTGACCAATCAGAATGCAGTGCGACAAAGTGAATTTGGGATCAGTTCATGATCATTGACTGTTGTCAAAAGCCACACCATTGTTGCCAACCAATTGTAGACAGACATCAACGGTCACATTCATTGAATTGCAGATTAGTCATTCAAGCGAATCTTTGGCAGTTTGAGATATACAAGACAGGTCAAATATATTAACTTTCAAATCGTTTTCATTGCAAAACGCAATTTCACCGAACGGCTGAATTCAAATTGTATTTTTGTGAACTCTTCAATATCGTGCTGAAGGATAAAGAGAACCATGTCGGCAGATGGAACTAATGTCGATGCTTCTATGAATAAAGAAGCGTCCAAGGAAAGCACCAGCGAATCACCTGGGGATCAAAATGACGGCGTCCCTGGTGCCAGTAGCGTTGTAGCAGAGAGTGCTGCTGATACTGATACTGCTGATGCCCAACTTGACGAAAATGTCAAGTCCATGGATGATAATAATAACAAGGCATCTAAAGGCGATGATACAGCTTCTGAAGCTCCAAGTGAATCCAAGGACGCAGATGCGTCTTCTACCAAAAAGGAAGCGGAACTCTCCACCTACAGCACCCGTGGTCGCAGCAGCAATGATCCAGACTTCGACAGTCGAGTCGCTCGTGAAGCACTTGAGGAAATTGGTCGCAAAGAATCCAGTTCGACAACTTCTCTAGGAGCCTCCTTTCTGGAATCTCTCAGTGAGGAGGAGCGTCGATCCCGTACCCGGTATCTTCCGGAAGTGGACGGAATGCATTCCTTGCGCAAATTGGAAATCAAGGAAGATTTGCATTTGGCGCGAGCTCTTCTTGCTTCTGCAAGTTCTATAACGGGAAAAAAGAAAAAGAGGGGCAGCCGCAACGATGAAGGCGCCATGGATGTGGATGGAGGTGGTGTCCTTTCTCCCGATGAAGATATTTCAGAAACCCCTCGATCTGGGCACATTGTAGAAATGAGATCCCGAGATTTGATCATTCCGTGTCAAGCCTTTGTGGCACCACCTGGTGTCATGGTCGATGAAGAGGGTGGAACCAGTCCTGTTCCACCTAAGAATGGCGTTCAATCTCCTTTGGAGGTCGACAGCGTCACTGCCTTCAACCCTCCAAGACCTCCTGAATCCATTGGTGCCAAGAAGAAGCACCGTATGTTGCGATGGGAACGTCGGCCTGAAGATGTCGAAAGTGACCTCAACAACTATCGCAAGACGGTCCAAAGAACTCGCCAAGAGTTGCAAAATGCCGAAACTGAATACGGGCGCCTTCAGACTGTAGATGCACATTTGCGTTGGCACTTTTTGAATCACCTGAATTTGTTGAATGATGAATATGTGCGATTGAATGGTGAAATGGGATTGGTCCAACAAGAGTGTATCAAGGCTGCCGATCTAGTTGCCTCTCGGACCCGCAGTCGGGGTGCCGGCAAGGGTAGCTACGTCATGAGAGATGTTTTGAATGTTTTGAAACAACGTCAAACTGAGAATCCGGATGAAATGCAAACGGACATTAACGAAGCAGCTGTACAGTCATTACTTCCAGCCATTGTTCCTGGCATTGGTGGGGTTCCCTTTGCGACTCTCAAAGATTTCAAAAACGATACCACCATTGAAATGAACAAACCTGCAAATGCATGGATTGTAGCTGGTGACAAGGTTGAGACTCCCTATGGAAAGGGAGAGGTCGTCGCTGTTCGTGCTGCTTCTGTGGATCGTACGAGCGGAAAGGCTTCTTCTAAGAATTCGGCAGGAGGCGAGGATCCAAGCAATGCTGATTCCTCAAAGCCGGGTGAAAAGTTGGAAGAGTACAAGCCGGCAGCGATCTTGCCACCTGTTATATCCGTTCGATTGCCCTTTGGAACTGGTCACTTCACCATGTCACAAATCAAAGTCCTAGAGTCTCCAGCTTCCTTTACGGATAAGCAGTTGGCCAAGCGATGGGAAAGCATGGTCGAGACGGCTATGGATGTCGGTGGGGCCCTCGATGTGGGAGCCATGTCATCGCTGGATGTTGTACCAGCCGAAGAAGAGATTGATGAAGACGCGGTCATGGACGTGGATAGACCTGCGGCTTCGAACGATGAAGAGAATAACGACGCCTTGGACGACGAGGATGCACGATTCCTACCATTTGGATCTGGTCTCATGCCAACAGCCTATGGGCGGGGTGTTTTCCTTGCTACCATGCCTTTGGAAGAGCTTGAGAAGGAAATTCACCACGCACTTCATGATGGAGAAGGAGTTCTTGGAAGAGTGAGTACCAGAAACGATGATGCTTCGTTGTTGCATGTTTTTATGACGTCTGACTTTTTGCTTTCCACTTTAGCCAACGAACCCTGGAGTACCAGATGACATCAAGGAGTGGGAGAAACAACAACAAGAGTTCCTTACTCTGAAGGCAGAATCTTTACACCTTCGGAATAATTTGTTTCGGCAACGACGAATTCGATTGTTGAACACGCGAACTAGGGATTCGGCTGTCGACCGCTACGAAAGGGCCGAGTCCCTAGTAGCGGAAATGAGAGTCGACTTGAAGAGTCTCATTGGTCGCCTCGACACAGACCTTAAGGAATTGGGTAAGTGACAGCATGGTAGAGTGATTGTAGTTTTGAATGTTGTCTCCCCTCACACAATGCTTGTACCTCAGGAATCAATGAAGATATGGCAGAGAAAATTCTTGCTGACTTTTACCGTGGAGAAGACGAAGAGGAAGGGGAAGCTTCGCCATTGAAGGTAAGATTGCAGGACGACTTCCATGTTGGTCAACAAAAACTCAATTCTTATGTTTTGCCGTGATAACGCAGCGTCAACGCCGATCGACAAGAACCGACGAGGAAATTGATGGTGATGTGATTGCGTACCGAGAAGGAGCAAGCGATCGAGAATCGTTTGAAGATCTTTCTGGCGACGAAATGGAAGCTCATCGTGCCAAGAAGATTCGTCCTAGTCAGTAGTCTGTAGGGGTACTCGTAACACTATTATTTCTCCACCTAATTCGAAAAGTAGAATATGCGAGCTATGACGAGAAAATTTGTGACGTTTTTAGTAGTTTATTTCCCTTGCCTACAGCAGCTTGCCTCAACCTCAGTCAAAATCAACCATATCAAGTTCTGGCTCTTTATCACTAGAAGTCACTTGCTCAACGTTCTCGGAGTCTCGCTCCTTCCAGTTTCTCATTCGAAGCAACTGCTGACCTCCCATTTGGACAACAAGAACGGCACAAGAACAGCCGAATAGAATAAGTACGAGAGCAACCCAAATGTTGAATCGAAAGCTCTCGTCACTCTCAAACGACAGGGTAGTTGGAATCCACGTCACGGCTGGGACAAACACGTTGGCCATAATGTGAAAGCAATCATCATTCACGCTTTTGTACTTTCGGTCAGCTCGGTTCAAACAGGGCCCTCCAACTCCGTCGTAGATTCGAATGACAATCCTGTCCTCTTGGCCCCAACGAAAGCCCTGGTATTGGATACTGGATAGGATGAGAGATGCGTCATCGGGCTCGGCGACAAAAGTCATGTTTTGACTTTCAGAAGGAGTACCATGCGAATGCCAGGATATTTCTGACGAAGTAGATGTGAACTCAAAGTTGGCAAGCTCGACATGGTCTTGAATTGTAATGGTTCCATTGTAGGCCCAGATATCCACTCGGACAAGATCTACGTTGAGATCAGGATCTTGCAAGTGAACTTCGTCAATTGAAGCAATTGGACCGATCTTGTTAAAATCTGGAACTTCTGCTAATTTCGCAGCCTTTGGAAGGACAAGTGTAGCGGGTTGATTCACATGCTGAATAGTGATTTCTTTCTTGACTTTGTCGGACCAGCCAACGAGACTGCCATTATCGCGGTCGAGAGCTACCAGTCGAAACACGAAAACATCTGAGCTCAAGCCAAGATCTCTGCCGCTGTACGATACGTTAGGGCTTGTGAAATACTCGTCCGAGTTTGCTCGATACATCAAATCAGTCTTCTTTGATGCTTTGGGCAACCGAATGCGTGTTCCAATCTCTGTAATTGGTCCATCGTCGTCAAGTATAGTTCCATCCGGTGGCAACGAGAGGATCTCGATTGCGACCACGTAGTCGGATGTGGATTTGGCTTTTCCACCAATCTCAAATGGCGACGCAGTTCCTTGGATAACAGTAGCTGCCTTTTCTACTATCACCAGACGAGCAGGTTCGTGCTCGAGAAGTGTTTCTTGTTTGCCAATCAATTCTTGCTGGTATCCCCACTGTATCTGCTTGGCTTCAATCAGTTGGCCGTAGAGTGAAACTTGGTGAAGGGTGATACGAGTCGAAGTATCTGTTTGATCTGAGAATAATTTCAATTTGTCATCAGTATCCCAGGTTTTCATGTTGGTGATAAGGTCATGGTTGGTAGTAATTGACAATGCCAATTCTCCATTGATGTAGACATTGGCTTCCCTGTAAATAATAGATCCCCACAAGAAAGAACTGTAAGCACAAAAAGCGGAATTGGATTACTCATGATATTCATGACACAATGATTTACCTGTTGTTCATTGTTAAGGCAATCTGGACTGGTTCGTCATTCTCCAAAGGCCGCTTGTCCACAAGAAGCACCCGACAAGACTGCTCCGAATCATTGTCCACGTATCGAACCTCTACGAGATTGGATCGCAGTCCCACATAAAGCGTAGTATCATGACACTCATTGCTATCAAAGTTGCCATCCTCGTCGTAACTGCTTTGATCGGCTACCGAATGATCCCCTCCAATGGCCAAGATAGGGACCGCAACTGAAAGATTGTCACGCACAGTGGGAGTCATCCAGACTTCCAACGAAAAGCCAGTAGCGTTGGTAGCTAGAAACCATTGTCGTAGAGTAGCAATGCTATTCTCCGATTCCAACAAATGTTGAGAAGAGACACCATTGTGATCGTAGTGGCAATGGGTCGACAAGTCCAGTCCAATCCAGTCCTCTCCAACTATGGATTGAGACGACGCCTCATCGTGGATTCGAGGCAATCCGACCACATCACACGAGAAACGATAATCAAAGACAGGATAGACTTGATTCTCGCCTTGATTGGCGTCTTGAGATGGCTTCTCTTCGTAATGAAGACCGTCTGGCGGAGCGACGATTTCTGGCAAAGCCTTGGAAGGTTGTTGATCAAAATCCCAGCGATTCTGCGCATTGGCCCCAACGGCAAACCACAGAGACAATGGAAGAGCAGCAAATAGAGAGTGAATCTTCATATCAAAATGTAAACAAGATCAACAGGAAACTTCAAAAGCTGTGGTCAATATTGTGAGCAATCACCAAATGGATCTACTATCAGAAACAAGAACCATCTCGCGAAACCACAACCACGAAGATGCAAGAAACCGCCATTTTCCTGCTGTAGCTGCATGGAACAATCGTGATTTACGTTTGTCGGTTTCTCAGAGCGTAGGCTCCAGCTATCGACCCTACTGAAATAAAAACCGACAATCATAACACACTTTGAAAGAAACCGACAACTGAATGAATCAATCGAAGTGGGAAGAAACAGAAGTGGGAAGAAATTTGACTGTGTCTGTTTGTTGTCCGGTTGATGTCCCCCATTTTGGACTGGTCAACCCAAAATTATCGAAACACCAACAAGACATGCATTACTGACTGCCGCTTGTATTGATTGTAACCACAACAGAGTCATAAAACCAGTCATACTTGTACACCATGTGTGAGCCGAAAGAATCCAGTCAACTAAAATCCTGGATCTTTACTCCAGAAAATTTGGAATTGTGTAGAGCCCGCGCCAACAGAGTCGCTCGCAAACTTTTGAGTGATCCTGCTGCCAACAACACTCCACCTCCAGTCCAATGCTTCGCCCGCGATTTTGATGCATCTAAATACCCCGAAGACCAAGAAGAAGGGCCTCTGGAGCTGAAGGGTAGCCCCTTTTTGAATCCAGAGGAAGAAGCTCTGATAGTGAACTTTTATGTCTCTAAACTCCCAACACTAATGGGTCCTCAGGCCCAAGTCTCGCGGTTACGAAGGGAATCTAAAATTCCCGCCACCGCAGCCATGTTGCTAAGGAGATTTTTCTTGTCCAATTCTGTCATGATGTTTGATCCCAAGGCCATTATGGTAGCTTCGGCCTTTTTGGCTTCCAAAGTAGAAGATGCCATGACCGACATTCGGTACCTTGAAGAAGGAACCCAACGCATGAATGCGCCCGTAACTCAAGCAGAGATTCTACCTGCGGAAATTGACCTACTGTCGGGTATCAATTTTGAATTACTTTGCTTTCACCCCTACAAGGCTGTCTTGGCCATTACTGAGGACTTGCGAACCTACCTCAAATCCGAACAGGGAAAGTCGTTGGTGCATTTTTCTGATGGCAATCAACGGCCGATCACTGGTCACGACTTGAAACCAATGCACGATGCCGCCCAGTTGATTGTCAATGACGTAATCGTCAGCGATATTCCCATGTTGTACACTCCAGCTCAGATTGGGCTGGCTTCCATGGTGGTAGCGAATGAAGAACAACAATCCAAACCGGACATTCCACAAATTGATCTCAAGGGATATTTGGCACAGCGCTTTGAAGAGGCAGATCAAAAGAGCATGACCCAGCTGCTAGACAACATTTGCGTCATGTTGCGTGGATTGAAGGACGGAAAGTATGGGTGCGGCAATCACAAAGTGGACATGCAAGTGTTGAAAGGAATTCACAAAAAGTTGAAAAAGTGTCGACTGTGGGGTGCTAAGGAAAAGAAGAAGAAGCGCAAAAAGGATGCTGCCGCAGAGGGATCGGAGTCAGACAAGAAAAGGACAAAGACGTCTTAGGTGGTTGGCAGGAGCTTTTGTAAAGGGATAGCTAGTATAACTTGTAATTCAATAGAGAAGAGTGTGTAATAGACTTCGATGATGACGATGGTGATCAATTCATGTAGAGTCTGGGCTTTGTTTGGTTAGATGTACTTATCCTGGCACTAAGGACGCTGTTATGAGTAGGTTCATGGATTCATTCATTCAACGAAGACAACTTTCTCGATCGAAATATTTGAAGCTGTTGAAGTACCTTATGAAAGGCCTAAATGAGCACCACAGGTTGAAATCAAGATCTCAATCTTCAACCCCGAAGACCGAAGGACACACATCAAACAAAAGAACCCCGATCCCCGATGTCCACTACCTGCACATCTTGAGATAGTTCCACAATGACCAAAAACATACCCATAGCACTCCACAAAGCAGTGTTACTGGCAACGCTTGTCCCATTACTAGCGCCGCCAGGAACAGCTGATGCCTTTTCTGCTGGTGTCATATCGGCGCGACATGAGAACCTTCCAACTCCCCAACATTGGCCGCTGCATGCTCAAGCAGAGGATGAAAGCAACGGTGCCATATCCGAACCTGCCTTTTCACCTCAACCTCCGGATTTTCCTCCAGTGGTTGACGAGCAGCTTCAGACTGATCTGATGGAATCTGAACGGCGAATAATGATGTACGAAGCCGAAATCAAGATGGTCCGCGAACAATTGGAAATCAAGCAGGATGAGCTGCAAGAAGAACGGAATTTCTTTCGGGACGAAAAGTCTTCCTTGATGGGCAAGATTGCCGATTTCACCAACATTTTGGCCCAGAAAGAAAACGAACTCGGCGAGTTGCAAAAATCGCAATCAGATGTACAACCGAGTGAAGCCAAGATGGAAAAAGTCAATGAATTGGTCGAGGAAGTAAAGCTGTTGTCCAGCGACCTCGATGCCAAGACTGCCATGTACTTGAATCAACAGAAAACGACGGATGAACTCCGGAAGCGGTTCGAACAAGCCCAGGATAACTTGGAGTTTGAGCAGATGCGATTTGAAAAGGAAAAGTCAGTTTTACAGGAAGCGATCGAGGAGGAACGCAAGAACTTGAGATCGATGCAACAAAAGATGAATGAAAGCCAAGAATTTTTCGACACTTCGAAGCAAGAGCTTTTGGATAAGATCAAGAGCGAGGAAGAAAAGTTTCAAAATGCAAAAGCAACTTGGAGTGAAACACAGTCCATGATGGAGGCAGTCGAACAGGAACTCCGCGCCACAATACAACAAAACGAGGCCTCCATGGAGGAGCGCAAAAAGTTGGAGAACGATGCTAAGGATACCTTGAATGATCAACTGGATGAAATGCGCAATAATCTAAAACAAGAACAGTCCAATGCGAAACGGACAGTGCAGGAACTTATGGATCAAAAGAAGCAATTCGAACAGGAAAAGAATGATCTAGAAGATATCATCAAGAAGGAGCGAAACCAAATTGAGAAACTGCGAGTGGGACTCATACAAGAGGAACAAAAGTTTGATAAGGAAAGAATTCAACTGGAGGAAAAACTCTCGTCGGAAACCGAGAAACTAAAAACCATTGAAGCCGAGCTCATGGAAGAAAAAGACACTTTTTCTAAGGAGAAAGAACAGTTGGAGAAGAAACTTGAACAAGAGATCCGTGTACGACAACTTAAAAAGCGTGTCATGCACGATCGATACGATGAGATCCGCAAGGAAATGACGGAACTTTGGGAAAATACCAAGCGACAAGCCAGAAAAGAAGAGGCTCGTCTGAAGAAAAAGTATGAAAAGAAGCTGGCAGGTGTCAAGAAAAATGTACTCCGTCTGGAAGATGCACTGCAAGAATCGGATGCCACCAATGCAGATCTCACAGCAAAGTTACTCGCAGCCCAAGAGGAAAACAAGGATTTGATTGTAAAGACAGAGCAGTTGGAAACAAAGTACAAGACTTTGCTAAGGAACCGCGACAGCATCATCGATCAGCAATCAATGATCATCGACGAGCAGACCCAAACAATTGAGCGCTACGAAAGCAGCTTTAGAGTCTTGGCACAGCTCTCGGCTAAAGTGACGGGCAAGAAGATTCGACAAATCGGGGGATCGGTCAAACGAATATTCCAACAGGATACCAAGACGGAAAATACAGACATGGATGCTTAGATTCTTTTCAGCCATGTAAGTATACTAAAAACAACTTTTTGGACTTCATCAATCCTATGAACTGCTGTAGCTGTTAGTTTATTGGTGGTATATCCGTTCCGTTCCAGCGATATTCCGAGCACTGATAAAATACAGTGCTTGTATTGGTTTCACTTTCCTCCAAAATTCGGAAGCCGTTGTCGCGCGACCTCACGCGAAAAAAAGCGCGACAGCTAAATCCCGAAACCGGGCAACCGCAGATTGAGTCGACTGCTTTCACCATCTGCATATTTGCTGCAACTGTTGTCGTTCATCAACAAAAGCAAAACGATTCAACATGGCAGGAAGTGGTGATACCTTTCACGACGGATCTAAGGGGAAGGATGTTCGTACGTCCAATATTGTGGCTGCCAAGGTAAATCTTCCCTTTAAATTGTTGAAATGATTCCAAAGCATTGGTTTCCTGTCTTTTTCATCATTGGTCCATTGGATTCTCACAATTTCCAACCATTGTATTATCGTTTTCTTTAGGCAATTGCCAATGCTGTCAGAACATCCCTTGGACCCCGTGGTATGGACAAACTTTTGCAGCTCGAAAATGGAGAAATCCTGATTAGCAATGATGGTGCCACAATTTTGAAAAATATGAAGGTCCTGCATCCTGCCGCGAAAATGCTCGTCGATTTGTCACAGTCACAAGATATCGAAGCCGGAGATGGTACCACAACTGTCGTTGTCTTGGCGGGAGCCTTGTTGAATTCTTGTTCCGCACTATTGGCCAAGGGTATCCACCCCACTGCGATTGCCAATTCCTTTATGAATGCTGCCGACAAGGCTTGCGAAATATTGGAAGGCATTTCTAAGCCTGTTGACTTGGCGGATAGAGAGTCACTCTTGTCATCAGTGGATACATGCCTCAGTAGTAAGGTTGTTGGTCAAAACTCGGAGGTTCTTTCGCCAATTGCAGTCGACTCTGTGTTGGGTGTGTTGGAGGATATCGAAAAGTCGCGGTCGGTGGATCTGAGGGATATCCGATTGGTGCAACAGATGGGAGGAACAGTCGATGACACAGAACTAGTTGAAGGTCTTGTTTTAACAAAGGGGTCATCCAAAACTGGTGGTGGACCATCGTCCATGAATAACGCCAAGGTTGCCTTGATTCAATATTGCTTATCAGCACCCAAGACCGACATGGACAACAACGTGGTTGTCAGTGACTACGCAGCAATGGATCGCATTCTGAGAGAAGAGAGAAAATACATCTTGCAACAGTGTAAAGCTATCAAAAAGTCGGGGGCCAATGTTGTGCTGATTCAAAAATCAATTCTGAGAGACGCATACAATGAATTGTCTCTGCATTTCTTGGCCAAGATGGGCATGTTGGTCGTTACTGATATTGATAGAGCTGATATCGAATTCATTTGCCGAACCCTTGGATGCACGCCAGTGGCCCATCCCGATCAAATGACGGCTGATAAGCTTGGAAGCGCCGAATTGGTTGCTGACGTTTTCATGGAAGGTGGTTCCAATAAGGTGGTCAAGTTCACTGGCGTCAAGAACCTTGGAAACACCATGACTGTCCTGTTGCGTGGATCCAATGAATTTGTGTTGGGAGAAGCCGAGAGGAGTTTGCACGATGCTCAATGCGTGGTTCGATCGTTGGTGAAGAAGAGATTTTTGATTGCTGGTGGTGGTGCTGCCGAAACTGAAGTCTCACTGAAATTGATGGAATACTCAAATGAATTGACGGGCATGGATGCCTACTGCTTCCAGGCTTTTGCAGATGCCTTGGAAGTCATCCCTTACACTTTGGCTGAGAACGCCGGAATGAAGCCAATTGAAGTTGTCACAGAGCTTCGCAAACAACACGCGGAAGGCATTACTGGAGCTGGTATCAATGTGAAGAAGGGAAAAGTAACAGACATGTACGCAATGAATGTTGTTCAACCACTATTGGTGTCGACATCGGCTATTCAACTGGCAACAGAAACAGTATGTATGCTGATGAAGGTTGATGATCTTGTTATTGTTGCTAGAGCATAGGAATAATAATAGAAGTGAACAAAGATCTATCACATATCGCATTATATAATACAGTAATCAATCTAATAGCCGACAGAGACAGAACAACAAACTACTACCATGTCGTCACCCTGATCCCCGAGGGAATCGATTGCTAAAGGGCAACGAAGTCAGGGCCTTGGACTCGACAAAAGAACAAGAACGCTACAATAGCAACGTACCTATGCCACTGGGAGCGACCATTCCACCGTCCTGGAGTTGAAAGCGAATTGATCCGTAAGGAAACACTTCGGCTACTTTTTCCAAATCCAAAGTGCTACGATACTTGGGAGGGACCGCAAGCAAAACATCAAGCTTGAGACAGTCGTATCCTCCTGGTACTAGTCGATTCACGGATGGAATGCTGTTGAACTCGATTGCGTTCCTACAAGCTCGAACTATGAATTTCAAATTGTTAGAGACACTCACTGCTATATCAGTATGCATAGAAAATTATCCGAATAACAACGTACCAGCGGCCTTCGTGGCATTTTGCCCATGAGAATCATTCCCAAAGCCACATTCAATAAACAAAAGATTCTCGATATGAGGATCGCCTTCGATACGATCTGAGGACATTTTCGTCTCCGTATTTCTGTACGATGACTTCAATTTGCTATTGGTGGGATCAATCACAAAGGAGTTTGCTGTACTTCGTAGCAGCAATGCACAAAAATAGAGGCATATGAGATGGGGTCGCATCTTTGGTTGTTGATGGATCAGGAAGAAAGATGTGGCGAATGTCCGGGTTTCCTCTGGATCGTAAATTGCAACCGACCGACGTCAACAAACTGATAGACTGAAGACGAAGATGACAGTTCACATCATTGACTTTTCCAGGGCCAGTTCCAACCCATTAAATCCTTTGGGACTCAACCTGAGAAAACACATCTGGGAAGAGCTGGACAAAGCTTTAAATAATGAGGAAGTTACAAGCGTTCTGCTGACGGGAGGGAAATCAGGTAATTTCTCAGCTGGAGCAGATATCAAGGAATTTTCGCAGCTGGATAGTGTTGCTACGGGTACCAACGTGTACTCGCTGGTGGATGTGGTTGACAAGATTGAGAACTTTTCAAAGCCGATTGTTGCTGCAATTAGTGGCGTCGCCTTGGGTGGTGGATTGGAGGTTGCTTTGAGTTCGCACTATCGCATCGCTAACAAATCGAGCAAATTCGGTCTGCCAGAAGTAAATGTTGGTGTCATCCCAGGTGCAGGTGGAACCCAAAGGCTTCCTCGATTGGTTGGGTTTCAAACAGCTTTGACAATGATTCTCACTGGAAAGCCAATCAAGGCTGAAAAAGCAAAGCAATCCGGGCTTGTGGACCACATCACATCGAATGGCGAATCTGTCTTGACCTCTGGAATCAAATGGGCAGAATGGGCAGCTCTCATGCCACTAGTTGGTCGTAGAGTGGGATCGTTGAAGATCAAGGAGACCGTCGAGGAAGTGGAGATAATTGCTTCCGTAGCAGGAAAGAGGTTGCCACCTCAAAATAAAGGGGGACAAGGGCTTCGTGCTGCTATTGAGGCTACAAAAGCATGCACCAAGCCAATCAAGGAAGGTTGTACTGTCGAATTAAACCTCTTCCTACAGACTCTTGCCGGTGAAGAAGGTAAAGCCAAACGACATGCCTTTTTCGCAGTTCGAAAGGCTCAGAAGCCACTCGGAAAGCCTCCGTCCCAACATCCTCTCCTCCAAAAGTCTGTGGCGTCAGAGACTGTTGCGGTTGTGGGCGCTGGGTTGATGGGAAGTGGTATATGTATGGTCCTTCTACAAGCCGGGTTCACTGTTTACCTTGTAGACGTATACAAGGAATCGTTGGACAAGGGTGTTGCTTTCCTGAGGGGCACTATCCAATCCTATGTCAAACGTGGACGGATGACAGAGGAGATCGCCGCCAAGATGCTAAAGTCGATGAAGCCAACCCAAAAGTTCGAGGACCTTGCGGCTTGCTCACTCGTGGTCGAAGCTGTGATTGAAGACATGAAGATCAAGAAGAAGATCTTTTCATCATTGGATAAGATTACTTCACCAAGCTGCATCATTCTCAGTAACACTTCTACTCTCGATATCGATGAAATGGCTTCTGCTGTTTCCCCACAACGTCAGTCTCAGTTTGCTGGTTGGCATTTCTTCTCACCTGCACACATTATGAAGCTAGTCGAAATAGTTGCTGGAAAGGCAACATCACCTGCTACAATTTGTGTTTTGCAGAGTTTGACTCGGCGCATTGGCAAGATTGGTGTGGTAGTTGGCAACTGCGATGGTTTTGTAGGCAACCGTATGCTCATCTCGTACAGTGCCGAAACTGCGCTGTTACTTGAAGAAGGTGCCGGGTCGGTTCCTACCATTGACAAAGCCTTTATTAATTTCGGGATGGCGATGGGTCCTCTTCAGATGGGTGACATGGCTGGTCTAGATATTGGCTACAATATCCGAAAGCAAAGAGGTTGGATTGGTGGTGGGACTGCTGCCAGAAGTATGCCAAAACCTGCACGCTACCCAGAAGTTGCTGATGTAATCGTCGCAGACTACAAGCGTCTTGGGCAAAAATCTGGAAAGGTGAGATCAATTCAGCGTCATGACACTGCATTCGTCGAAAACTGTTTCTCAGTAAAATCATTTTGTACTTTCCAGGGATGGTACGACTATGACAAAAATATTGGCAAGGGACGCAAGCCTTTGCCAAGCAAAGAAGTTGATGCTCTTGTCCGCAGATACGTAAAACATGGCAGCAAGTCTCTTGCAGAAAAGGAAATTATCGAACGAGTTCTGTTTCCACTTGTCAATGAAGGATTCAAGTGCCTAGAGGAGGGTGTTGCACAGCAGCCCTCGGATATTGATGTGGTGTATCTATATGGTTATGGATGGCCAGTTTTTCATGGTGGTGAGTGAAACAGAGTAAAGGGTCAACCATGAATGTTTGGTTTCTGCTGCTAACTTGCTTTTTTTACTTGATTCTTTCAGGACCCATGTATTGGGCAGACCATCAAGTAGGATTGGAGTACATGTTATCTCGCCTTCGAACGTTTGCAAAACAATTCCCAGACACGGATTACTACCAACCAAGCAAATTGCTAGAAACTTGCGTTACAATGCAAGTAACAGTCGAGCAATACTTTGAACTTGGTATCAACAAGCGTCAGACTGGTGGTCTAGTTGCTAAACTATAAAACGAAAAATGAACTAGCTACTGCTGTACCTACCTACAGAACTTAGTTGGCACATAATGATTCGATGAGTGACTGACGTCACACACGTCTCATTAGAACACTTTCCGAGAAAGGAATTTCTGTTGTCCATCAAAAACGTCATTGTCATAAATCGCCATTCAACATCACTATGACATCTATAACCGACAACGGCAAAAAAGCTGAAGAAGTAGCAAGTGGCATTCCACCATGGCACGCGCAATTATTCATTGGGAGTTTATTAGCTATCTCTGTACAGAATCTGCCGTCGAGGGCCTCCCTTGACCAAGTAGCGACGATTGAAGCGTTAACCGCCCCGGTGCTCCCCAACGTTTTCTCGCTCAAGAGCCTGGGAATTGTCCGTCTTTCAATCGCTGCATCGATATGGATTGTCATGTTCTTCATTGCGGTGATTTCAGATGGATGGAAGATACATACAGTCTACAAGCCACAAACAAAGTTGAAGAAATCTGTGATCCACATGAAAGGAATTCGAACGTTCTTCCCGTTCACTTCGTGGTCCTGGATTTTGCTGGGACTCTATTTTTCCATCAACGGATACATTGCACTCACCGTGGAGGCTGGAGCACCAGAGAAGATTCAACCTTGGATGTTGAGAGCGGCCTCGATTCTCTTTGAAATTTCGGCACCCTTTGCGTTGTTGGTCTCTGCAGTCATTCGCTATGCAATTTGGCCAGCGGTTTTAAAGTCAGGAAAACCCCACGCGCTTGACAGCTTCCGAAATCAAATGATGCACAACATGAACGCAGTCTACGCCCTCAGTGAAATGGCATTACTAGGTGGCCCTGCAATGAATTTTTCCCACATTTCACTGCCCTGCTTTGTTGGCTGTTGTTACATTCTCTTCGCATGGTCGGCTGCTCACTTTTTGGGGAAGGCTGGGACGACACCAGGACCTCAGTATCAGTACTTTTTCTTGGACACAACTCTTGGGAAGGCAACAACAATCTCATTGGCAGTTCTTTTGGTTGTGCTGATGACATTCTTTGCTTTCTTTGTTGGAATTAGCGCACTTGTAAATCTTTCTGGTGGGAACCTAATTCTCAACTCCCTCGCTGTCATACTGGTATCTAGTCTAGTGTGCAAGGTGAAGGCATAAGGCATAATGACTGCTGGTGCGATTTGATTGGAAACTGTGAAATAAGTCAAATGTAATTGCGATAGAGTTAAACATCATGCTGACGATTCTTCAGTTGTCTACAAGTCGAGCTAAAGCCTTTATTTTTCATTGTCAGCCTGTTCTCAAATCCATTTACCGGAAGGTACCTTCCCTGGTACTATGATCGAGACGAAGTGTCATTGGAAACTCCAATCACCAGTTCTGGGTCACGGTATTGTCATTTGATGAATGTCGCGCAATACTCCTGTTTTAGTTAGGCTAGTCTTCACAGTTTATGGAGACTACTTCCTTTGTTGGCTGAGTTGTGGTGGAATATCCCTCCGAAGTCAACAAGGAAAAGCACTTCAGTCGAACGAGTCAATCCAATGCCATTCCGAATCATCCCATGCAATCTCAATCATATCATGCACAGAAAACGAAACAAAAACGCATGATGATGTCGGCCATCGGATATGTCATGGCAGCAGGCGCCACTGCTTTGGCCATTACCTTTGCCAAAATTGACGCTAATCCATCTCTATTTATCACTGATTTCATGGCCTCAGAACGACGGAAGATGGAGTATTTTGATCGCAAGACAATGTGGATCACTGGTGCATCCAGTGGGATTGGAGCTCAGATGGCAATGCAACTTTCTAGGTATGGTGTCAACCTGATTCTATCTGCTCGTTCAGAGGAGAAGTTGAATGATGTTGCGCAAGCCTGTCGAGAAGCTTCGGATAAGAACAATGCCATTTCCGTCCTTCCACTCGACATGACTTGTTCTGAGGAGGAACTTGAACTGGCAGTGGACAAGGTGATGGAGATTATTGGCAATGGAAGCTTGGATTTTGTAGTGATGAACGCTGGAAAAGGTCAATTGAAGCTGGAAAATACCATGACGAAAAAAGAGACGGAAGAATTGTTCCTGATAAATGCAGTTGCTCCAATATCATTGACGCAATTGTTATTGCGAAAAAAAATTCTACGAGCGGACAGGGGGAAGAATCTAATGGTGACGTCTTCTGTTGGTGGAAAGTACGGACTGCCTTTGTCAGCTTCCTATGCTGCTTCTAAGCACGCTCTCCATGGCTATTTCGATTCGCTGAAAGCAGAGTGTCCATGGTTGCGTATTGATCTTGTCTGCCCTGGACCTATTGATACTGCCTTTCATTACAGCAAAGAAGGACAAGAGAACGCAAAGGAAACAAAGTCTGATGTACGAGAAATGAAAATGCCTGTTGACCGGTGCGCTCAATTGATGGTTTCAAGTTTTCTTGTGAAAGGAGGAGGGGAGCATTATATCGCCGAACAACCAAGTCTAATCGGGTTGTACATCAAGCAACTATTTCCTGGCCTATTTCAAGTCATGCTTGGAAAGGTAGCATCCCTTCGCATCCAAGCCTGGAAGGAGGGATTGAATCTTTATGATCCTCAGACTTGGAAAGACATGAGAAAACGAAAGTAGAAGCAAGACTTGCACAGATTGAATTTGAATCTGAATCATATTAGTCGACTTTGGTTTTATACGTCATTTATATTTGCCAACGAACGACGGACGTTATCCATGACATTTGAACTTCAAACTAGTCTCCAAGCTGTCGTTTTTCAAGAACAAAAGATACTGCAACACTGCAACACCCCCAACCGAAAGAACCATGTCTTTTCGAATGCTCTTGTCTACACTCTTGTCACTCCTTGCCTTAGAGGCTACCATTGCCTTCCATCATCCTCTAACCACGAATCAACGCCATTCGTCACAAAGGCAATCATTTTTTAGTCAACCTGAAAACTATCGACGACTTGCAACGACGACATCCTTACGATCGGAAAGTGCAGAAGATGGTTCGTCTGGGGGACTCATGTCCATGGGTGACTCGATAAAATCTCAATTAGCTTCAGCGTTTTCGGCTTTGGACGAAACTGATCAATACGATGCCGTTTTGACAGGACTTTGCGCAAAAATTCTGGATCAGCCATCGGAAGATCTAGCTCAAGTTTCCGAAGCTTTGCAAGATCCGATTCAATTGATGGAAGAAATGAACGCAAGAAGAATCAAGGCAGGTAGCCGATCTCTCATGGCACTCATCGATGTAAGTCATTTCCGTTAGCTGGGAACTGAAGTGCAAGTGAGTGAGTTGGTGACTAACTCATTCCTATGTTATCAAAATCTCGTTGTATTTGTGATTTCTACAGGCTGCAGTGACTTCGCAAGATGCCAAACTCGTCGGCAAGATTTTGTCCTTGGGAGCTCGAAATGGAAGAATTGCCCTATTTGGTAACTTGCAAACTGATTTTCTCCCACTTCCTACGGCTCGCATGTCCAAAGTCCGTTGCCCCGATGGTGTCACTAGAACAAGAGGAGAACGCTTGGATTTGCTTCCTGATATCCCAACCGACGAGAGAGAGAAGGAAATTACTAGCGCCTTAATCGTTGGCAGTATTTTGGCTTTTTGTGGGACTGTAAACGTTTTGGGAATGGACGAGATTTCACCTGCCACCAACTTTGTAAGTATATACAAATGTAACATGCATTCCAATGAGGTCTTGAGAAATTTGCACTGATGAGATGGAATTCTCTTCTTAGGTCTGGTTCCTGATTCTCACCGTTGGAGCACTCGACAACTTTTATGATATCATCAAATTTGCCGTCAAGAATATTGCACGAGACAAGCTAGGAGATTTGCCAAAGGAATTGCCACTTTCCTTGGGTTCGGGACAAGTATCAGGGACTGTTGTCAAGGGATTCAATCGAGTATTGAAGGTAGACACCGAACGGGAGTGCGAATGCGAGGCAGCCTCTTTCTTCATGGCATATTCTCTTGGACTTCCATGCTTTTCCTTCCGTCCCAATGCTTTGGAAGCTGCCGTGTTGGTAGCAGAGTCGAATCAAAGTAACAACGATCTTGATCCCCTCCTCACCAACACTGGGATAATGAAAGTGCTTGTGTGGCTCATGGCACCTGTAGCAATGGAGAGCATTAAGCATCCGGAATTGATTCACTCAGACCCTCGAGAAGCAGAAGGTTTCCTCTCCAGACTGCAGCGATCTAATCTCATTGACAATGATGCTCTCTGGTGGCTACAAGAAGGACCCGAAGAGGTAGAAGACATGCTCAAATGGGCCTACACCGAAGCCGACCTGATGCTCCGAACGAACATGGATAAGGTTACGGAAATATCAAAGCGATTGACGGGTGGAGCAGCCACTGTTGCCGATTGTGTTGCTGCCACCGAGGAGTGGTGATCCAAGCAAACTAGGAGTAAGGCAAAAATAACAAGTCACAATTATTTTAAAATAACAAGGAGTATCAACAATTCCTACCACTGGCTAGGTATTATTGTGTACCTGGTACCACCGGCAGGAGTATCACACAAGAAAGTCAATTGAGATTTGCCTCTTCTTCTGGACTCGTCGGAATAAAAACAATCGGCTAAATAACGGTTTTAGAAGTTTTTCAGAAGTTTGAACCACTTTTTCCTGGTACGAATTGTACGAAGAAAGTCGTAATGCCGACTCACTCCAAAAATGCTCACAGCTGATCCTGGCTGAGTTTGAAGACAGGTGCTGCAAACATCGATTGATTGATTATTCAACTTCTTTTAACACCACTCATATTCTACAAACGCAACTAACTAGAAAGGATGGCAAACAACGGGGGACGCCAAGGTGGTGCTGGTGGTAACAACCAAGCCGAACATGTTGAATTTACAGTCCGGGTAAGCGCATGATGTTTTGCCTTGTTCCTTCGCCTTCCATGTGTGAGGTTCTCTCGTTTGAATGTTTGCCAAGTGCAATCCAATCAGTCCACTGTCAATTGACTTGCCACTTACCAATTGGTTTCCCTTTTTATTCTCATTATGGTATGACAGGCAGAAGAAGATTTGTACTTGACGGGTTCAGAGAATACGATTCGTCGGGTGACTGCCGAAACTAATTACTCGTGTTTGATGTTGAAGACACAGCGCTTTTCGTCCTTGTTTCGTCACTACGCCAAATACCATGGACTGCGAAAGGAGGACTTGGAGTATTACTTTGTCAATCCATTAGAAAATGAAGATACACCGGAATCAGTTCAATTGCAGCGGGGTGACACGATTATGGTTCGCAAACGACGAAAGCCAGAGCCTCCAGAGCCAGCGGCGGACGACGATGAAATTTTTAGAGACTTTCGGGATCTGTTAGAAGATGACGAGCACATGGACGCAATATTTTTAGTTCCCAATGAGAGTACTAGTGATACTATGGAGGAGGAGGAAGCCAAGCTTCCAGCCTCCATGACCGAAATTCGTGCGCACAAGTGCATACTCACAGCTCGTACCGACTACTTCAAGGCCCTCTTTCGCAAGGCAGAAGATGGAGAAATGGCGTTTCGAGAGTCCCAGGAGTGCACCATTAATGTGGAGCCCTCGTTTACTGCTGGACACATTCGGTATATGCTGGAATTCATCTACACGAATCGCATTCAATCAATTCGATCCATTTCGACAGATGATCTCCTTTGTATATTGCACTTGTCGGACAAGTGGCTCTTGCGTGACTTGAAGCGTCTCGTCGAACACGAGCTAATTCGTCACCACATGAATGTCCATACTGTGGCTCGCATGTACGGAGCCACGGAAGACTTCAAGGCCCAACGATTGTCTCGGGCTTGCATCAACTTTATCATGACCAACCTTCGCCAAGTGACTGGGAACACTTCCTTTGAAGAGGAAATGAAGAATTATCCACACTTGTGTATTCCAGTGCTCAAGGCTGCTGCGGATTTGATTCCAGAAGGGCCAGTCCACAAGAAACAACGGACGGATCACGGGACGCTGTCCAGTGGAGTTTCCAGCACTCCTACTAATGCAGCCGCCGCCATGGGATCTTCTCCGGTGCCAGACTCGGACCCTTAGATATGGCTGCCATGCCGTGTCGGCGCTATCGTTTTGCATCATTTACTCTGGTCGCTCACGCAAATACTGGATGCTTCTTGTGAAGTTTGTATCGTAGCTGTAACAAACACTACTTCTAGATTGGGAATTTCATTTACCATTTCTTTTTATTATTTTCATTACAATAAAATAGTAATTTCATGGTCATCCAACCAGGCATTGGTTGATCAAAGTGATGATAGCATCAAAGTCTTTGTACAGTACCGGTAGGTACGTGTACCTGTTAAATATGTGTGCGCATATCGTTATTTTGCGCGTCACTTCAGACTTGATCTCTGCTGATCGCACATTCCAATATAACCACTGCTTGTGCACGGTGGTGTGTCATCGTGTATTTGAGGTCCGCTTTGATGGACGAATACGTCTAACGGCTGGATTCATCGTGAATCTTTTGCTGGTTGTCTCAAGCTGCGGCTACTTTGCGACTGTTGTGTGTGGCTCCTCCTCAATAATCACCAATTTCGGTCGATGTATAATATGTGTAGACTAACTCGTCATGATCTCTTTCCAATCAGGTCAGAAAAAGTGCCATATCTGCTCTATTCTTCATTTCCTTGGTTCATTTCCAATTCGATAAATAATTTCATTCATACAAACCCATATGGCTGCGTCCGCTCATCATCCTCTCTGAGCAACAAACTGGTAGTCCGAACCGGTCTGTTCCGCCGCCGAGCACCCTCATTGCGTACAATGACACGTCGCTCCCGCATCCGCCGTCGATTTGATTTGACCACACGTACTTCAACATCGTAGACAAAACAGCCGAGGAAGCACATGTACACCACGGCAACAATATCCATGAACCAGCGTTTGCAAGCTTTGACAATGTCCATAACTTTGACCCTCCAAAGATTAATATTCCGACTCTTCTTGTCAGCTTCCAATGCACCCTCCAAATCCAACCAATCAATTGACGATGGTGGTGACACGGGTCTATCATAATTTGAATGGGAAGGAACTTCGACCAAAAGTGGAATCAAAGAGGCCGTTGTGACATCATCATCCGCGGCACCTGCACTGGCAGTATCGGGGTAGAGATCAGCAGAAGGTGCCACATAGGCCGCTCTGTGTCTTCGTTGAGCAAGATCGTTGGCTTGGCACATTCCGGGGCTCCCGTAATTTTGCTTATATTGAAGAATGATGAAATAGTTTTGTTGTTGTTGATCTTGATCTTGTTGTTGTTGTTCTTGTGACTCTCAAAATGTTAGAGCGCCGTTTTCACCCAAAAGAAGAAATGCCAATCGTTGAACGTGAATACTATCTCTTTTTCGTCTCTTTATGCTGTTTCGAAAGAGATTTCTTGGTTGTCTGCCGTGGAAACTACAAAATTGTAGCTTGTCCTTGGATTCAAATTCCAACGTCAATGATGATGATGATGATGGGTTTCTTTTTTTCGAATGATGATTGTTCCAATTTTGCAGTTTTGGGTTCTTGGGCGTTGCTTTCAGGTGATCGTGGCAACTCACGCACACGTACACGTACACCAAACTTTTAACTGAAATGGGAGACTTTTTCAATGTTGCTCAAGAAGTCGCACGTTCGTTCCTTCGTTCGTTCGGTCGTTCTATCGTGTTTTCAATTTCGTTGTTCGGAAGATGAGACGTGGGCGTTTTATCTCAGAATGTAACGATGAAAAGAAACTGGAAAAAGATGATTTACACAGCGTGACTCTATTACCATGAGGCAACGAATTGGTAAAGTGCAATACCGGGATGTTATTGTAGTTCCAACCAACAAGAGTGCACTTAAAAATCTGGAGGTGCGCTCTCACTGGAAAAAACAAAAAAGAAATGATGGAGAGGTTTCAGAAGTAGTGTCAAACGAATGAATCTCACACTCATTTTGCCACGTAAGCCGGCGTGCGGTGAGACGAAGTTGACAGATTGACACCCAATCAGAATTCTGAAAGGATCGAAACGGTCGAATTTGATTGACACCCAATCAAAAGGGTCGAAACAGTCGAATTTTGGATCTCCACGATTGATTGATTTGATTTGATTGATTCATTCATTCATTCTTCGCTTCGATTATGTCATTTCACAGTAAATCCTGATGACATCTTATTTATCGCCATAGTTGCCATGATGCAACCTCACGATGATGCTCAAAATGATACCACTGACCCAGAAAGTTCGCTTCAAATGGCCCTCTCAGTCCTTGCCGAACAGGAGGATCTTTTTTCCATGATACTAAACCAAACTGAAAGCACCAATGCGACAACCACAATTTCATCGTCGTCGTCGTCGTCGTCCCGGTCTCATCCACCAACCAATCCAACAGAATTTTTGGCATGGATAGTGCAAGCATTGTCGCCAATACGGCCCAGTTCCAACAAGACAGTAATGCCTCAAGCCAATACGCCATGGTATTCTTGGTGGACAGAACTCTCCAAGATTGCTATCTTATTGCCCAGTTTGTCTCCCTTTGAATTACATTCTGTGGCCAGTGAAATGGTGTGGATGAGCGACGATGACAATGTCAATGATCACAATCATTCAAAACTATTAGTAGCAACTTATCCATCCGTCTGTCTACTGTTGTGCATTCATGCCTTGCAACAGGCTCCATCGCCCACCATCACACGTCGGTCAAAACGGTGGCAATCCTTGGTGTGCGAAACCATTCGACAATTTCAAATTCATTGGGAACGAGCAACTGCTGCTACCATTCATCAGGAGGATGACGAGGATGAGAACGACGATGACGAGAACGAGAACGACAATGACGATCCAATGAATCACAACAACTCGTCACAAAACAATACTCTGTCATTATCATCACAACGACGACTCGTCCATCAACTATGGACACAAATTTGGTGTCAGCATGTTTTACCAGCAGCTTTGAAGGTATTACTTGCATTGCCAGAAGATACTTCCAAGGTGGCCATACAGTGTGGTTTCATTTCCACTACAACGCAGTTGGTGACCTTTTGGTCTACTACGACTACTAGTAGTAGCAGCAACGATGATGATAATGATGGTGACATGATGCGAGGATATCTCGAAACCTTTTATGCTTCCCTCAAGCGTATATTTGGAGCAAATAAGAACTTACCGGGAACATCAACAACAGATACGGAAAACAGCGACGAGCAACTAATGGACTTGTGGATGTATCCTTGGCACAAACATCAAGCTGAGATTGCTAGGAAATACAACACGAAGCGCAGCAATGAGGATAGTGACGACAAAGAGGACCAGTGGTATGATGATGACGATGACGATGACGACAATGATGATGATGATGATGATGATGATGAAGACTTTGCAACTCATCGACAGGATGCAATTTGGTGGGCCAGTCAAGCGCAACGCCACGAACACGTCGTGGGGATGAGTACCTCGTATGATGATCTAGGACTGGCTGTCTTGGCGTATTATGGGTGGAAAGATCGACCGCAAGTGCTGACGCCTTCCTATGCCTGGAAAATTTGGTTTCCACACGTCAAGCGCTTGTTGTTATCCTTTGAATTGTCGGGTGTCGTACTGCGGCAACGAATGCGATTCCGATTCTTTGAGCAACTTTTGAAGAGTACACCACCAAGCTCCATCACCTGGGAGTCTTCAAATACAAGTGACACGTTTTCGCCGGGTTCGCCCTTGCCCATCTTTCACCTATTGTCCAATCGCATGTTGGTCCTTCGTAGACCGGATATTGAGGATCTCGAAGTGCAAGCCAACTTGAAACGGCAAACAGATCAAATGGTACTATGGATCAAGACCTTGCTTTATTGCTATCAACCTATCGACCAAGTGGACATGGTCCAAAGGCTAGTACAAGATTGCCCATATCCAGGACTACAAGCCATGTTTCTTGATACTTTGCGGCCACTCATTTTGAACGACCAAAAGGATGTTGGCAAGCTCTGGAAGTACATTGGATCTCTCCTGGAGACACTGCAGAAAAAGTACATGCCCAATGGTACACTGGTAGAAATAGTGGATTTGATTGATCATTTGGAAATCTACATTGGTGCCATTGCCATGCTGCAACTCTGTGTTTTGGCCAAGAGTGCCTTGCCACAGGGCCAGACAAGTGCTGGTGAAACGCTTGACTGGGAGGGTCAGTTGAAGGATTGTCATCAAGTTTTGACGAAAACTCTGCGGAAGTGGGAGACTTCATCACCGGAGTCGCTTCCTCCCAGTGCTTTTCGCTTGAATTTATTGGAAGTTTCCATGAGTGAGATACTGCGATTCTTAAAGGAAACTAGCAATGGTGCCAGTAGTGGTAGCACCAAAGTCTAGCTACAAAATTGCGAAGAACAAAAAGATATTTAAACTAGAGAGAACAGTCACACAGTCAAGAGGCTTCAAACATTGGTTCACGTTCATCTTTCCACGATAGCAAGACCAATCCGTGAACTGCCAAGCAAAAGAATTGCTGTTGCAGACTTGTTCGACTTTGATGATACGCCAAAAAAGTGATGTTTAAACTGCTAGCCAGAGTCTAAACAACGAAAAAGAAGAGTCAAATATTTGATTTCTTTGATATTGCTAAATTAGATTGCCTTAGCCAAAACAACACCCTCGAATTTGTCTTGGAACCACTTGATGGCATCCTCCTTGGCAATTCTGTGGCTGTATCCCAAATGGGCTCTGCGGACCTTTCTCTTGGACACACGGTTTCCTGGCCTTGTTAGGCAGACGAAGAAATCCATACCGTAGATACCGGTGGTGGGATCGTACTTGATACCCAAATCAATGTGTTCGTTAATACCGAATCCAAAGTTTCCGGTTTCAGAGAAATTTTGTTGAAGAAGTTCGTATTCCTTAACCTTCAATCCACGCTCAAGAATCTCAAGGGCCTTTTCTCCTCTGACAGTGACGTGAACGGCAATCTTTTCGTTACGTCTGATACCGAAGGAACGAAGAGTGTATCGGGCTTTGGAGAAAACTGGTTGTTGACCGGTCAATTGTTCCAACACACGGGCGGCACGGGTCAAACGATCTCCACTCTCACCAACGCAGCAGTTCAGGATCAACTTGTCGACCTTGATCTCTTTCATGGGGTTAACTTTTCCTTCAGCCATCTTGAATTCGTTTGTCTCTTATAAATTAGACTATCACTTGGGATGAAGTAAAAACTTGGGGGGTTGTTGATTTCGATTTTTACTCGGATTGGTCCATTCGGTACGGTTGACAGTACTTGGGTCAAACGTAGAAATCGTAAGTAAAAGGCATGATCGGTAAACAAGAATTCACATGCACCTTGGCGATTGGAGAGATGGAGAACTTTTCGATAAGAAATGGTGTCTGTGCTAAAATAAGAAATCGTGAAGTTTTGGTTCATTGGTTCATGCTCTATTATCCTCTATAGTACCTTTACACCAAAATCAGCCAACGATAGACCCATTAGCCTAATAAACATCTCCCATAGCGGTTTCCCATATCGATTGTTCGATTCATCCTTTTTCACACGGCTGACGTCGATGAAGTATCCGTTGAGTGTGCTGTCATCCAGCACTAGGTCTCGCAGACCTTCGTCCCAGGATACTAAATCTTCCGAGCTCCGCGTAGACCAATGTGGAAGAATGCCAAATCTAATGATTGTCCCGCAAGTTGGTTTCAGCAATTCATGAAACTGTTTCGTATTCTCCAAAAATTCCGATTTTGTTCGTTTCGGTGCCTTAATCATCTCAGCACCATTTATTTGGACGATGCATACTGTTTTTTCATGTTCGTGATAGTGCTCTGATATCCATTTGGCAACCGTTTCTTGGGATGTTTCTGTTGTCTGGGTCGGGAAGAAGTAGTCACGAGAGGTCTCCACCACTAGACTTTCCATTGTGAGATTCTTGGATGTTGATCGCAGCTTGGACTGACGACATCTTGTACAGATTCCCTTCCCAACGATCGTATGAAATATTTCATTCCGTAGCCGTAGCTGGCCTGCTTTCTTTATAAATCCATCGTGGTCCACTGGTGGATAACGATAATAGTGCTTGTTCTTTTTCGCGTTGTTGTCATCGTCCAAAAGGATTGAGAATGGATGCTTCTTTGATTTTAGAAAGTTTTGAAAGATCCTGAAGACTGGATTATTCCCAATGAAAATCACACCCGTTGCATTTTTCATTGCTGCTGTTCGTAGAGTCTTCTCGCACTCTGTTGGAACTGTAATGTCATTTCGGAAGTCGAATTCGAGTGAGCAAAGCTTGGGATGCTCACGTTTCGTTCGGAATTCATCTCCACTGGGAGGCATAAAGTTCTCGTGGTAAATAAGAGCAGACGCATTTGTTGTCGTTTGATAGTCTCGGAATTTGACCTCGGCTTGTTCGACTATCAACTTTCTGTTGTATGCAACGTCTTCCCACTTGACATGTATGCCTGGTTCATCTTTTCTTCCATCAGCGTAATCGTCTTCAACATTGGGAAGAACTCTTTTGATATCTGCAATTCGGAATCCTCCGTACCACGCTAGCGGCATTTGGTAGCACTCGGCGAACTGATAGACATTGGCCTTTACCATATTATAGACATAGTTTCCAAAGTCTCTCGAATGCCGATAGAGTGTGTCGGACATACAAGTCCACACAGGTAATTCGTTCTCTCCCCATTCATTCCAGACACGCGATCGTTTTTGCCCATCCATCCTCAAAAGTGTTCGATTTCGATGTTGCCATCCAGTAGCCTTCATGGCCATCAAGATTTCGCGATATGAAAAGGTGTGACGTTCTTTTGTCATCTTTGTATAAGGAATACCGTTCGTGGCGATTTTAGCACCACACAAAGATGCGTTCTTTCCTTGCAATGAGTCATCAAGATTGCGAAGCAATTCGACAATTGGTTTTCCAATCGACCAAAGGTCATCTTCAAAGACCCATGTGTAATCATACTCTTGATGGTAGTGCACAAATGTCACAAAAGTTGGCATCAATAGTTGCCACATAAGGGGTTGGCCACAACATGTTCCAGGTCCACCATCTACCAAAGGTCCTTTGACATATCCAGCGGCTAGTTTCGGGAATTCGTCGAGAATCATCTTCTCGGTCACACTAAACACATTCGGGGCTTTCAGATGTGTGGCATTTTTGGATCCGAAATAGGCTTGTAGCCTTTCGGTTGTGGTTATTTTTTGCCTCGTTTGATCAACCATAATATGAAAGTCGTAATTCTTGAATTCATCCTTTTGGAGTGTTTCAGCAACCTGTATCAGCCTGTCAAGAACATTAGGTTTGACTGGATCCATGACTCGCATTACAATCGCAATTCTTTCATTTGGCGAGTTCGCTGATTCCAAGGCTTTTGGGGAAGGCGTGCTCTGGGCGGCAGTGTCATCGTTGACAACATCAGGCGTTTCCGTCTTGCGTGAAAAATCGGTTTGAATACTGCTGTCTTCCTTGTTCGTATCCCCAACAGCTAAAACATTCAACGACTCCACAGTTGGTGAGTTTGCTGATTCCAAGGCTTTTGGAGGAGGCGTGCTTTGGGCGCCAGTGTCATCGTTGATAATAATATCAGTCGTTTCCATTTTGCGCGATACATCGGTTTGAACGCTGCCATCCTTGCTCGCATCCCCAACAGCTGACACATTCAATGATTCCTCATCTTGCGGACTTCTGATTTCTGGACCTCCCGGGTCGGCTGACGTGTAGAATATGGCTGTGTCAATGGTTTGAAACGATTTTCCGATAAGAGAAAACGACAAGAGCACAGTCAGTATCAACAGACTTCGAATTGCGTTTGTCTTTGCGGAAAAATTGCTGCTGATGTTCTGTTGGGCTGGGTATAGCTCATCCCTTTTCTTTGAAGAGACTTCCATTGCCCTTGTCTCAATTTTCCTTTCCGGTGATGAGAAAGCCAATAGTCAGTGTGGCCATGGTCAAAATGACTTTCCGTCAAGGATAAATGTTTACTTTTCAGTTTCCAAATTGACTCCTATGACTACATAACGGCACGACTGCATTGAAATCCACGACACGATCTTTTAGAAACTGCATCCATTGTTTGTGAGCGTGTGAAACAATGTGTGCTTTCCAACGGAGTATCTTCAAACGCAAAGAGATGGATACCAGGAAGCGTGTCGACTCGCCATCGAACGACTTGTGTGCTATTTTCAATCACACTAGTTGTTCTTGGATCCATGCTTCGATAGCTACATCACGACCATAAAACAATCCTACGACCATGAGACTGATTCCACACTTCTTGGCCTCATTTCTTGTGTTCTACACGACATGTAACAGCACTTCTGGAAGTGATGAAGTGCTCTCTGTAGTCACATCCTCTGATTTTCAGATGGAGCTATCTCCGACCGTGGAAAAGCTCGATGCTACTGCAGCATCCAAGGTCGAACTGGCCATCAAGTCGGCGATTCTCTTGGCCGCTTCAGAAACGGAGACCTTTCAATTTGCCTTTGACGTCGATATTGTGCTCCAAAAGATTGAATGGCTGGAGCGCACTAATGAGTCAGTAATTACGTCGTCGAGTCTTTTGCAGTTTGAAGTGCACATGGCTTTCTTCAAGGGTGATGCAGACCTGCCGTCTGCGTTTGCCTTGGACAATCTCATTTCGCGAACTTTTTCGCAACCTTCTTCACGAGCAACATTTCTGGGGACTCTGGAACTTTCTCAAGAGCCCGTCCTTTCGTCCATCAAAACGGTACAAATTGGAGTTTTGGAGGACACGTCTAGTGAAGATGTGACTACTGCACAGCCAAAGCTACTGTCATCATTGGACATTGTGTTGATCACTGCAAGTGTGATCATGTTCCTCGGAGTGGTTTATGTCATTTACCAGTATCACAAAGATAAGACAAGGCTGGAAGAGCAGCAAAATAGAACTTTTCAACAGTGGAACCAAAGGACAAGAAAGGACAGAAATCATCATCCAAAGGTAAACTACGCTGCTGAGTTGAATCAAACAGGTTTTACATCAGTACAAAGTGATACTGAATCAACACCAGGAAGCGAAAGTAGAGATGAAACAACCACCCGTCATCCTGATAGCAACATTCGGATGTTTCCCAGTCCTCCCATCTCTCCAAATGTTGCAGATCCAATCTTACCAGATGAGTTGCACTCATCTGAAAAAAAGAAGCCGCCTACTTTGGCTCCCCCTGCAGCTACAAGATCCAACAGACTAGGTTTTCGACTATCAAGCTTACCTTCTATGAACCCCAGTGGACGTAGAAAAGGCATCTCGCAATCCTCTCTTTCGGCTCAAGAAAATTATATGAGGTCTGTGTCGGACATCAGTGCCTCGAAGGGATCAAGCGTTGGCGATATGTCTTCTGTATTCAAGATGTCCGCAATGTCAGCAGCGTCAAGCAATGGTGATGTATCATCCATTTTCAAGACGAGTGCTAGGCGAGGCTCGTACCAGCAATCCCAAGGCTCTGTTGCATCTAAAAGCAATGCTTCTTCGGAAAAGACGAGACGCATCACGAACCGGTGCTTCAACAACAACTGGTCCGAACACAAACGGAAGCCACTCGAAGATGTCGATGACCAGATAATGGCAAATGTATTTCATGTGGGTACAACGGAATCTCAGGACACAGACGAGGACGAGGATGATCGCAGCCGTATGAGCGGGAGTGGACTTTCTACTATCTCTGAATGGATGAAGTCTATTCGAGTGGTGTCCTCTCGATCAGAGAGAAGGCGTTCCTCTGTGAGGCAATATCGACTAGGTGCAAGATCAGTCGACGTTTTGCCCGATCACGCTTCGGTGCTATCATCCAACGATTCTTCCTCGGCAGCAAGTGCGCCCATCTAGTCAAAATAAGCTGACGGCGAACTTCAATCTTTTTTAAAAATAAATGAATCTACCTTGTGTTTCTCTTCCATGAATTAGGAAAGCTATCAAAGTCGTAATGCCCACTCGAAGTGGCATACCCCTCGCAAATTGTCTCCATTTTTTGTGGCCCCACACAAGATCGAACATTGCGCATCACAGATTGATCAACAAAACCATTTTTCTTGGCCTTTTCGAACAACGCGGATGCCACTTGACTGCATTCAGGGCCTGCGGGTAATAGCTTGGTAACAGCGTGCAATACCATTGAGTAAGTCATAGAGTTTACTTCCACGGCATCGTCAGCCTCCGCGGACTTGAGAATCGCAAAGGATATCTTCAAGGCTTCTGTTTGCTCTTCTCTCGACCCCACACACTTGGCACAAGCGTCAATAGCTGCATTGTATGTCATTATTGTCGGTCGTGCATCACTCTTTTGGCTGTTTTTCATATCAAGCAGTAGCTTCAAAACCCGTTTTGCTTTTTGGCTATCTTGAGATTTTCCCCAACACTGAATCGCAGATGTATAAGTTCGTGCATTTGGCTGTGCCGCGGGGTTTGATTTCATCTCATCAAGAAGCTCTTCGACTCTTGTAGGTGACTCATCAGAGCGGGTTCGAGACCAGGCTGTCAAGAGTGCTGTATACGTTCGAAAGTTTGGCTTCAGATTGTTTTGTTTGGTCTTTGCGAATTTCTCCTTTAGCTCCTTCAGTAACTCCTCCGCCTTCTGGGTTGCTTTGTATGTACCACATTTGGAGCAAATATCCATGAGAATTGTGTATGTCATTACATCTGGCAACCAAGCGGAATCTCCTATCTCATCAGCCTTCTTCTTTGTCTTGTCGAACAGATCAAATGCTGCTTCTGAATAGTCCTCAATCTTGTCGGTCCGCCTATTTTGAGCATGGCTGACTCTGGAGTAGGATGAGACTACTTTTGCATAAGCATTTAAGATAGCGTTTACGGTTCGGATTGTCGGTTGGATGTCCTTTCCTTGCTTTTGGAGTCCCTCCATATGGTGATATATTTGGACTATCTTGTCGATCCCATCTTCTCTACCACTATTCGCCCAAGCATCAAGGACTCCGTTATATGAAAAAGTGTCTGCTTCCACGTTGTCATTGTCGAGCATCAGCTTCAGCACTCTCTCAGCTGCTTCTGGTGCTTCAGGTGCTCTGCTTTTTGCCCACGTGTCTGTTTTTTTTTCAAAATTTAAAAGCAGGGTTGAGCCAGAGCGAAGGTTTCAGCATAGACAACATAGGCGAAGCTCTCATTACTTACCAATAATAATGTTGTAGGAGGCTAGGTCAACGGGCGGATCCTTTTGTTCCAGCAAAAGAGAGGTGGCGTGCCTGGCCGCATCTAATGGAGTGAAAACATTCACAGAACATTTGAAATCGGTCGGAACTGTGAGTTTCAATCGTTGACATTCCGAAAGTGTGCTGCAGCATCTATTCCAGGCCTTTAGCACTGTATTGAAACTGATTGTGTCGGGGAGAACTTCTCCATTTTCTATGATTTGAGTCTTCCAGATTTCTTCACATTCCGCGGCCTTTGAAATTACAGGCTTCTTTGTGTCACTGCACTGCTCTGCTAATTTATCTAGGACGACATTAAATTGCTGCAAGTCGGCCGATGAAGTCTCCATTGCCACAGACGTTGCACGTCGAGCAGGCAATCCATATACGTTGCTATTCAATGAAGAGCTGGCAGAAATTACGGAACTTGAAGGATTGGTGAACCCTTGTGCAGATGCCGCTAAGAAGGCAAGCATGCACGGTTGAAGATACTTCATGATTTCCAGGTGCTGCTTTGCCACTGATGGAAGTCTGAGTCAAAAGATACCGAATGTGGAATGTGGTCTGTTTGATAATGCTCTGAAAACAAATGAGAGAAAATCGTTGGCCCATGCTTGGCTTCAAGGTGGAACCAAAGAATCCGAAAACATCACATCTGCGTACGAACGTCGTACTACCGTACGGTGTGACGTAGAATTTTCACACCGGCACGGAAAGCTCTCGTCAGTCAATCAACCGCCCATCAACAAATGGCCCATCATCCAAAAACGAATCAAAATCAAGATCGGGATCACACATCAAACAAAATCACAAAAATTCAAAAATCAGTGGCAGATTATTTCTTCGACACAACCGGTTATGATATAGGAACCTGATTCACAATATGGATATACACATACTTGCATCGGGGAGTAGGCGGAGTTGCATTTTCGCCCTGATATGTTGCTTCCTACAGTCTCTGCCGCATCTCACTTTCTCCCTGCCGACGAGCAGAATGGGTAGAATTCAAAACAGCAATCCTGGCAACGTGATTACGAATTATGGTTTCCGGATATTTGCTGCCCGGTCTGATGCGGAGTATGATGCACAAAAAAATGACCTCGACAAAAAGATCCGAGAAATGGAGGAGCAACAGCGCAAGATAGCGGAGATGATGGAATCGCTCACATCGAGGGAGACCAGGCAACAACCATTGGAACCAAATCCTTTTCAGCAAAAATCGAGAGTTAAAAATTCGAGTTCTGGGATGGATTTCCAAGTATCATCGGCGCCGCTTAAGGTGATGATATTTGTCGATGGAACATGGCTGTACTATTCGCTTCACGAAGCCCAGTCGCCAATCCACCTACGATATGGGAGCGGCTGGCAGTATAAATACAAATTCGACTGGAATTCCCTCCCGAGGGTGATATGCAAATCCTTGCAAGAACAGGATAAGAATCTTGGCTGGTCAACAATGGCCCAGGACACCAAACGCTCTGGCCGTCCCATTGAAGTCGTTCGAGTTATGGTCTACACATCTTACAAAACAGATACTCCAAAACACTCATTTCGATATCAAATGTTTCAAGAAATGATGAATGCGAAATATGATGTTCATATGATGGAGACAGTTGGCAGGGTTGAAAAATGTATAGATATTCAGCTTGCTGGTAAGCCGCAATGGTTTGAAATTTTGGTCCCACTATGAATGTTTCTCACTGCTCCTATTTCCTCAGTCGATATGCTGCACTACGCTACAGTACCCGATGCCTATGATATAGCGGTCTTGCTTTCTGGTGACAAGGATTTTATGCCTGCAATGATAAGAACACGTCAGAAGGGACGTCGAGTTGGTCTTGCTAGTACTAGAACCGCATGCAATAGAGTGTTGAGAGAAAACTCAAACATCAAGGACTATGACGTCGTTTTCCTGGACGACTACCTTGACGAGCTTTTGATTCCGATGAAAAAAGACGAAGCATTCTTGGGAAATCCAAGTCTGTCACGATTCACTCTGTTGAAAATCATTAGCGATTTTGTGAGAGCTTCAAGGCTGGAGGCGGGGGTAAACTCGCGGGATATTGGGAGATATATGAAATCATTAACCCTGGGAAGTCGGAACTTGTTGGACGAAGTGAAAGAAATATACGGCGGATTGTATCAGTTCCTGGTTGTATCTGAAATTTTTAAGGTAGAGCCATGGGAGCGAAAAGAATTTCTTGTCTCAGTAGAAAGCAACGCAGACTTCGTGATGCAACAGGAACTCAAAGATACCCGATTTACTCGTGAAGAATCACAATTCTTTGAGGACTATAGCGTTGATTCGCTCGAAGAGAACAGAGACGACTTTTACGAATACAGTTTTCCGGCGCAAGGTGACTCCACGTCCCAGCCCAACAGTCGACCAGCTCCGATCAGAGAATCGGTAGTGATTAGTGATCCCAAAGAAGATAACATTGAAGATCTTTCATCACAAACTGTGGCACAGTTGAAGGAACTGTGCCGCGAACGAGGTCTTCCAATATCTGGGAGGAAAGCGGACTTGGTGAAAAGAATTGAGGCTGACAAAGAGAGCAAAAAACCGCAAAAACGACCAACTGAGGAATATTTGGAGGCTTTGATTCTCGAATTCCTACAAGCAAAAGGCGGACAAGCCAGCTCCCGAGACGTAGGTCGATATCTTGCAACCAACAAAGCCAGCCCTGGACGACTGGTTGAATCAGGAGGTGTTCGGACTGCGGCATTGACGGAGTTGAAAGAAGTACATGGCAGTCTGCAAAGGTTTATCATTCAGTCAGACGCATTCATCGCCAAGGGGATCAAGGGAAACGCAGAATTCACCGTGTATTCTTCAAAATAAGATAACATTCTTTATTCTATTTTACCAGTTCGTATCATTATAGACTGTCACTACTGTTCTAGGCTGAGTTTGAAGCAGAAGAAAACTCATATGCTCATGCAGAAAACTTTCTCTATTCCCATACTGAACAGTCAACGGTAATTCTGGGTCCATAGATGTTTCTGATGGCTGGGTATCTTGAATGGAGTCGTCCCATGATTCTGTTGTTGTGTTGCTTTGAAGTAAGCAATATTGCGAGTCTGTAGTCTTTGAATGTGATTTCTTACGTGTATTCAATGGGATCCGACGCTGCGATCGAGGTCGTTGTACGCTTTGTGACTTTGGCACCTTTGCTTCATCATGGTTGACGAGTTTGAAATGTCGCGGTTTCCTCCACTTTCCGCGGTATCTAGTAATCCAGCCCATGATCCAGTATTCCTTTTTGTGTTGTGTCTCGCAATGCAAGTAATTTCAAGACATATCGGAGAGTAGATTGACTGCTTGGAGTTTTATACTGTCGGAGTTGGAAACTTGGACTTATCATCGATCGATCGGAGTTTGTTGCTCCTCTCCTCAATATTGTGGGACTAATTTTTGCACATGTGAGCGAGCGAAAAATTTAGCTATTTCACTTGTCAATACCGGTACCGGTACACGCGTCCTTGATGCCTTACTGACAGGCGGTGTCGGGTTTGGATGTTCGTCCACTACAGTCTTGCAAAATCGAAAGTTATGTGTACTATTTTATATTAAATGCGGGATATGATGAAAGATCTGCATGCCATGTTTGCTGCAGTTGTCTTTTCAAAAGCGGCTTGCAAACGAGTGGCGGCAGTTGTACAGTTTTTCTCTACATGCCCATAGACGCTCGCCTTCTTCGGTTCTTTGTCTTCTCCTTTGGTTTCTCTGTTCTGTTTCTAGTTCCTTGGCCATCATCTTTCGGCTTTTTTGGCTTCTTCTTTTTGCCATCTTTCTTACTTGAACTAGCCTGGCTACTATTACTGCTGGCGTTTGGCGCAGAGACCTGCTGTGAAAATGGATCGACATTCGCAAAAACGTCGGTTGTGAAGAATCCGTCATCATCCACAACCTTTTCTACCTTCGCTGCACTTGTTCCAAATGGATCTTCACCAAATGTTGTGTCAAATTGCTCAAATGAGGGCCAGCCTGAGTCGTCGCCGCTGTTTCCCCAGTCGATTCCATCACCTTTTGAGCCTTTGCTCGACTTGCTTTTATCATCATGGTCCTTTTTCTTCTTTTTCTTGTCCGAGGTCTTCTTGACCTTGCCTTTCTGCGACTTTCCTTTTTTGTCGTCTTTCTCTGGTTCTTGCAGTTTTGCCATCGTGGTTTGGTAGTTTGCACGGCGTTGTGCAGCAGCTCCTCCACCTTTGGCGAGAGCACCACGATTCGCAGTGGCACTGACAGTAGCAAGCAAGTTTCGAGATTTCCCGCGACCTCCACCACCACCACCTATCGATGTTGGTGGTCTCCCTCCTATCGACATGGGCGGGGCCCCACCGCCCACTTCGCTGTAGTATTCTTCATCGTTGACATTTTGCTTTGTCATGACAGTTGGAGTCGACATTTCACTAACAACTGAAATTTCATCTGAGTAGCCAGGCCCGATCTTTGGATAGTTATCATCTTCGTCCTCCATTACATCGTGCAACGAAGGGGCAGGTGCTGGCGCTGGTGCTTTGGACTGAGCTGCTAGACTTGCCAACGCCAAAAGTTCAGGGCTCTGCAAAGCTTGTAAGATCTCAGGCGAATCAGCTTGTGCTTGCTGCAGTTTTTTAATAATTTCCATAATCTGAGAATCTGAGGATTGCGCAGTTGTTCCAGTTCCAGCAGAGGACCCATCCTTTTTGCCTGAAGCTAGTCGTTTTTGTTCTTCGACCAAGGCGTTTGGATCAACTCCATCAATTCCAACGATTTGCAATAAATTCACGATACCATTAAGTTTTTCATTGACATCGTCTACGCCAACTGTCATGTTGCTCTATCTATACAGTAATACTGAGGGATTGCGAAGTCGCTGATTGGTTATTCTGGTTGTCTTGGGTGGAAGATTGGTAGGATTGTCACAAGTCTTTTTCTTTGATCACTCTGCCCCTTCTCAGAAGAAGAATCTCTGGAGTCATAAAAAACTAGTTTGGTCACCAGCGTTTCCCTCCACTGCAATTGGTACTGATGCATACCATCAAGACCACTCGTGGCTCGACTCACTCGTTCAAAATTTGGATCTTTAAACGGATTACTTAACACTCCGATTGTTTCTTATGTGAATGGTCTTGCTGTTTGTCCACAGTACGAACGCACATACTTGACGGGCGGATACCAGACATACCACGTCACTATTCATCATCAAGAGTTCTACGGTACAAGTAATGACACAACGAGGACAAGGAGATCTTTTCTCCTCTCGGAGAGTGATGCAAGACAAGCGCAAACAACAGCACCAGTACCGGTACTGCTGTAAGATAGAAACTTCACTAATAGATTTGAAGCACTTATACCAGCAGTGCAAGAAATCACGCAGCTCCAACAAACTTCTTCCAACAAGAATCAGCATGTACCAAGAAGTTGAAGAACACGATGGTGCTCTTCGATGTCATGGTAGTGCCATTCATTCGATATTTCTGGCTCGACAGTTGTTGAAATTAGAGTTGTTGGAATTAATTTTGGTGTTGCCATCCAAAGAAATCTTGACGCTTGAGTGTCATCTTCATGTTGTCGGTGTCCTTCATGATTCATTCTTCATTCATTCCCGTGTGTCCTTTGGTCTTGCCTTCGTTGGAACAGCAGTAACTTGAACATCAAAGTTCAACAACAGACAGATCTGGGTGCTTCCATCTGGAAATCTGCAAAATTAGGCTATAACAAACGCGTTATTCATAGTTTTTGGTGTGGTATGTTCGTTCTATTTGTCACAATGTCGATCTATTTATCCTAATAATCACTTTAAAATACATGGATTGCGGTAAACAAAGAAAGCGATCTCCAAACCCCTGTGTCGTTGGCATTATCTTCCTCACCAACTCACAAACCCTACAGTAACGACGACAGCATGGTTCGCTTGTCTATTTCTCTATTCTTGGCCGGTGCAGCCACATCTTCTGCCTTTGCTCCCACTTTGCAACCAAGAGTCGTTCAAACATCTATTCATGCTGCCGCGATTGAAACCCCACCGTCACCGTTGACTGCCTGGGGTGAAACCATTCAAGATATTAAACAAGCACAAGCAGAATTCAAAAAGCAAAAATTGCCTGAATTCGCTCCAGAAATCTCGTCTGCTGATCTCGGAATTGCCAGCGACGACAAGGAAGCTCAATTGAAATACTTTGAAGAGAATGCTATGGAGATTAAGAAAAAGATGGAACTACATGGTGCCGTCGTTTTCCGTAACTTTGATTTGATGAAGGAGCAAGAGGGATTCCAACAATTCTACAACGCAATTGGCATGAAGGTTTGCCAAGATCCTTTGCAATCAGTTTCCGCTCGACCGACTGCTGATGGAAAGAAGGATTCTCCAGTTTACGAAGCCGTCAACAAGGAAAGCCGGAAGAACTTTTTCATTGGCATGCATAATGAATTTGTTGGTACTCGTGCACCTCGAGCTGCCGCTTTTGTTTGCTTCAAGGCTGCAGAAACTGGTGGAGAATTCATCGTTGCCGATGGACGTCGTATGTTCCGGGATCTTGACCCTGATGTCGTTGAGGAATTATACAACCGCAACATTCGTTACTCTGTCATGGAGTTGCCATTCTTTGGCTGGATTGACAGCATTCCAGAGCCCATCCAAGAAACAGCCAAGGCTGGCGTCAAAGGATTGGTCTCTGCTGCAATCAACGCCAAGGTTGACTTTAGTGTTGAGATGCTTTGGGGCGAAGGTGGATATGACAACAAACGAATGCTTCAGGCTCGGGCACCAAGCCAACCACCAATCGTTCTTCACCCTGTGACTGGAGAGCCAACATGGTTCTGCAACGTCCACTCTCATTCATCCAAATTGAGAAAGGAAAGAGAATCCCTGTAAGTTCAAATCGCAGCGACGAGTGGGTACATATTTTTTTTGCAATCACCTCACTTGTCTAATGTTCTCTATTTGTCAGGTATGGAGCCGAGCGATTTGAAGATGGTGCCTCCCAAATCAACAAATCTGACATGTTCTATGGTGATGACGGAGATATCTCAGAAAAGGCGCTCAAGAACATGGACGAAACCACATATAAGAATGCTCGCTATGTCAAGATGTCAGAGGGAGATGTTGTTCTGCTAGACAACTACAAGTGCATGCACGGGAGAAATGTTTTCGATGGAACAAGAAAGCATGCAGTCGCATGGTTTGGGGGTTTCGAAGGCGAGGAAGAAGTGAAGGAAATGGTTGCTGAGGAAATGAGCAAGCTTGGTTCAGACAAGGTTCCCTCCTTTGGAAAGTAGAAATATATTTTAGAACATTTGCAAACTTTTTCTTGTTCTTTTTAAGTGGACGATAGATATAGTGTGTTCTATGTCAACTTTAAAACCTTCGACATGTGTAAATGAAGTTTGTGGCGAAAACCTTCTTTGTATCGATAGCTTGCTTTTGCATTGCAACTGCTTGTGTTATATAGCCCAGTTCGTTGGGCAAATTTTATGAATATGGGGTAAAGTTTATCGGTGTTTTCAGTGATGCTGGGCAAATCCCTCGTCTTCTGATACTGGTCGAAAGAGTCGTTGCTTGACACGTTTTCTTTGGAGTTGTTGCGAAAAACCCTGGTTCGATGATTCAAAAGGGTCTGTTGGATATCTTGCCTGTGGACAAATCACATATTTGTACTTTCTTTTATCGTATAGACCATCGTGACCATTATGTGTATCCATGTGCTGATCGCCGACGCAAAGAGTGGTGAATGTATCCAACATGTTTGTAGTTCTGATAGCTTGCAATTGTTCGTTGCTGTATTTGTTTCTTCGGTTAGATACGCGGAGATTAGAGCTGGCGTATGCGTTATATTCATCGTACATGCTGTAGTTTCTGTGAGCCTTTCTCGGATCTTTGGCTTGCGGTGCTTGATGTCTCATGTTGTCGTTGATTGTGAAATTGTGAAACCAACCGTTTGACTTCAAGAACGTTCAACGGAAAAGTGAATCCGTTGATGGTTATTGAAGCGTTACACCTCCAGCCCAGGTTTTTGCATTCGACTCGTAGGAATCATCTCCTGGTTTCCCCGAAAATGAAGATCGAAATTTGGCCTTCTGACGAAGTAAAAAGAATGCTGACGACGATAACACAACAGAATAATTCATTCGTATTCCTCGTGTATAGGAGGGGAAAAGTTTGGAAGAAAGGATCGAAATAACGGATATTATTGCAATATGGGAAGTTCAATGAGTACACCCAACACGCGTTGCGACAGCAACAATTCTACAGCAGAAAACTACATTCCACCCCCTACGATGCAACGCCCATTGACGTTTGAAGAGAAATTGTATCAAAAGGTGTGTCGGATTTTCAGGCAGTATTATATCCAACTATTTGGGTAGCTCACACTTATTTTTCGATCTCAGTTTAAATCAGAACCGCTCGTTCCAATTGGTTGTGCTGGAACAGCTTACTTTTTGATGTCTGGCATCAAATCCTTCAAGGACCAAGACCCAAGGCGAGGCCAGAAAATGATGCGGATGCGAGTCGCTGCACAATTTGCAACTCTCATGGCATTTGTAGGATATATGGGGTTGGAAAACGTGAATTTTGAACTTGCTCCGAATTACTACGCCGCAAAGAAGGCAGAGGAAGAGATGAACAGACAGAAGGAGGCGCAAAATCAACAGAACTAACAAAATCCAGTAATGATCCAAGGTTGGCCTTTTTGCTTCTAACCATAGATGGGGCGAGATACGCACTGGATGGAGATCTCTAGAAAGACCATAGCATCTCGTGCCGAAATGATAGGTCTTGCGGATTCCAAACTGAAGTTCAGAATTCTTGTAGCCATGAATAATGCTTTATTGCACCTATAGTTAGTTGCAGATGTAAAAAGCATGTCGGAAAAAGAGAAGTCACTCAAAGCAATGATTTCCGGTATAATGCTTTGTTGCATATAGTTAGTTGCAGATGTAAAAAGCATGTCGGAAAAAGAATAGTCACTCAAAGCAATGATTTCCGTAGAGCTCTCGGAATGGCACTGCAACATTGCTGATGGTAATGGTAAATGGTAGTAGTTAAAAAAATGCGGTACTGTTGTGCCACCGCAAATTTGGGGAAAAAGGTCCATTCCGGGAATCGAACCCGGGACCTCCTGCACCCGAAGCAGGAATCATGCCTCTAGACCAAATGGACGCCATCGTGCATGTCAAAAAATCGTCATATGATCATACAGAAAACCGTTAGTCCCCTGGAAATCGTGTAACCCGCGTTGTCAGTTTAAAACCCTCTCAAACAAAACGTTTTGTTCCACAACTTGATGGCCACACTTACAATAAACTTGCTCTGCCATCTTTCCCATCATGAACGAATTTCAAAATCTACAAAATCTATGGCGTCGCTATATGGAACCAGGACCAGAAAGGGCCAACGATTTGGATGTCTTCAATCCACAAGAGATTATTGACCGGCTTTTTGGGAATCAACCTGGTACCAACACTGAACGGCCAGCTGAACAGCCGACACGACAGCCAACAGGACAGCAAGCAGGACAGCGAACAAGACAGCCAACAGAACAAATTCCGCAAGGCATACCACCGGCCTCTGCTAGAGCAATTCGCCAGCTACCAACTATTTGCGTCACGCCGGAAGACTTGGTTGATCCAAACAACCGGGAGTGTTGTATTTGCCTTGAAACGTGAGTCTGTGGTGGCCGTATTGAACAAAACAGAAGCCGCTTTCCTCTCTAACTTATAGCTTTTTTCTCAGAATTTCCTTGGGCAACAAGGTAACTCGTATACCATGTGCCCACATTTTTCATCAGGAGTGTATAGTGTAAGTAACATTCGTTACCGGTTTCGAAATGCTTTTTGACACTCCTCGGACGATTTTTCTCATTATTTCTCTACAGAGATTGGTTGTCAAACCATCATTGCACGTGCCCAGTGTGTAGATACGAGCTTCAAACAAATAATCCAATGTATGAGGCTGGTCGTCTAGAGCGCATGAAGAAAAGGAAGCCTAGATTTGCAATGTATGAGCTAAAGCGAATGTCAGTGCCTGAATTGCTTGCACTCAATCGACGGCCGGCTCCGAACATGGTTGACAAAGATGAACTCATCAACCTTCTGGCTCGAGACGAACAGATTGAGATCGTTCCGTCCCCGGAACCTGTCGAATACGACATTGACACTCTAAAGGCGATGAGAATTAGCGAGTTGAAGCTTACAATGGAAAGTGCTGGGGTTTTCTTTCACGCAAAAGATGTTGTTGAAAAATCTGATATGCTGGCAATTTTCTTGAACAGTGGGCGATTGAGTCTGTCTACGCCGGAAAATAAAGCCGCTGTTGCCGATACAGACAGCTCGAGTCAGCAGTCAATGTCATGCAAGGATCCAGAATTCTATAGAACTGGTGCGTCAGCAAAACGCCCTTTTGTTGAAACAGTCGAAGAAGACTCGGATAACGAACCTGAGCAAAAGAAAGCCGGGGCTTGCTATGCTTCGGAAACAGTAGTGGAAATGTTTGGGTCCAGCTCTTCTCCGAGCCTGGATAGACACGGACCCCCGAACGGTGTGGCAAATGAGGCAAATTCAGATGATTCCGTCAGGAATGATACTTATCGAGTAGACATGGAACCGACCAACGATGCTTCTATAGCTGAGAATGACAGCACGGCGGAGGTCGAGGGCAACCCAGTCGGTTGTCAATCGCAGTCCCCGGCTATTGACAGTGATGAATCCATTTCTGAGCCGTTGGGTAATAATGCTGGAACGAACCAGAAGTCTGATAGATCCCGATGGCTACCCCCAAGCGAACAAGATAACGGTACACCTCCAGATACAACCTATCTCGTGCGTGATATCTGTCCCTTTGAAGGGTATTCCGTATCCCATTTGCGTGACCTTGCAAGAATCAACAATGTCGATTTATCATGCTGCTTTGAACGCAGCGATATTGTTAGACTATTGACAAATAGCAGGGTTGAAATGAAGCATCCATCAGAACTTTTGCGGGATAGCCTCTCAAATTTCAGCATCTCCGAACTGGGAATCCTTGCATCAGAAGTGAAACTGGACCTATCAAAGTGCAAAAACAGAGAGGACATCCTCAGTCGTATGGTTCAAGAAGCTACGGTGGAGCGGCCTTATCTTCAGAAATACCTCCGTTCACTTTGTCCTTTGTCCACGCTTTCGCTTGGTCAACTCAAGAAAACAGCAAGGGACTGGGGAGTCAACATTAACGATTGTTTAGAGCGGGGAGAGATAATGCAGCGCCTCGTTGCAAGTAGGCACACAACTGCAAGATCCTGATTAAAAACTTCATAGATTGTTTTGATTCTGATGGCTCAAATTTTCACTGCTCATCTCCATGGCCATCTCAGAGTGCACGACCAGTCGGGTCGTGCTTAGGTCAATCTTTTTCTGCTCGGGTTTCATCACATCCACTCTGTAACAAGTACCATGCTCGGTTACTCCAATGAAGTGGCAAGTCGTAATGCTCAGAACATAACGCAATTGGTATGGAGTGTAAAACTTGAATAAGTACATTGAAAATTAGGCTCAATACTCTTGTGGTAGTGCTTTAGATGGTATTAATCGAAAAGTACAGTACTACAATGGATGGATGGTCTGTGCGTCTCACTGAAAAATGATAAAAAGAACATTGCTTTTCCGAAGGCACCTGAACAACAAAGTAACAAACAAGCCTATCTCCATTCCAAAGAAACTATCAATGACTTTCAGGCAGTAGTTGTCGTCACTTATGTTATCCCGTCGCAATCGTGGTGCACATTATGCAAGAGGATTTCACAAACAACAAGAATCTGGCCCAACGAGGCATCGAGAACCATCACCAACGAAGACTCGTGGGCGCCTAACTTCATGCCGTTTGATTCCATGCTTATTTGTCGTTGCAGTTCTTTTCTTGCTGTTGAGCCTTTTGGTTGGAGGATGCATGCTCTCTGTAGAGGATAGTCTATCCTCCCTGTTGGAAAGTTCTGTCTCGACATTCACTGGGCCTCGGCGACCGACCAATCGGGCATGTCTTGGTTACAGGGGAATATATCACATCGAGAAAGGAGATATCGGCGGGGCTGCTGGTACTGTATTCTTTCAATTCGTGATCGGTCAAATCTTATGGGCGGAGATTTACAATTTCAAGCCGTGGGTTCATTTGAGCAATGTGTCCTATATCGTCTATGACCCGAAGGTCCATGGGCAGGGCCCAGGTGTTCAATTCACGATGCAGGAAGGGCCAAACATCACATATATACATCGACCAAACGGTCATATAAAGGATTATGTACCAGGGCCACCAGAAAATATGGATGTTCCTGTTCAAAAGGACTACAACTTCTCGGGCAGTGGCGTGTGGAATGACTACTTTGAACCTGTATCAGATTTTGTACCAGGAGACACTTCGTGTCGAAACAAGCCACTAGTAACAATGGACCTCTTTCAAGTCACACCTGGTGTACATGGCTTTGCCGAATGGGCCCCACGATGCTGGAGATACGAGTACTTGCCGGATTATATCACCAGACCACACATTCCACTCCAAGAATGGCTCGAACCACAGAGGAGCATCGGACACCGTGTATTGAAACAATACATCAGATTCCTCCCGCACATTCGTAAAAAAGCTGAAACTTTCAACCCATCGTGCTCGCTGTTTTCGAATCCATGCTTGGGAATTCATATTCGACAATCCGATAAAGCAGCAGGTCGACGACAGATTCAAACCGACGAGTTTCTTCCATACGTCCTCTCATTTTTAGAATCTGGGGGCAGCTCGATATATTTGGCTACAGATTCCACTTCTGTTGTCGATCATATAAAAAATTCGTGGCCAGTAGGTATCCAAAAACGGATACGATCTATGGGTGATGACATTGTCCGTTCGACGAATGCAGAGGCGGTGTTTGACATTGGATCCCATCATCGCACAAACGAAGAAATTTTGATCGAAATCCTTGCATTGGCAAAGTGTCAATTTATGGTTCATGGACTCAGTGCCGTAACAGAATCAAGTATCTGGATCAATCTCAATCTACACGCTACTTCTGTCAATCTTGAAGATCCAGATCACAGTGATCCTTCTGCCTTTAAGGAGATGGTGTCGAAGGTTCTCACCGGAGGAAATGCAACCGATATTATGCTGCAGCGACGGACTAGCAACTGGTGGAAAAAAGACGAGACACATGTTTGGCCACGGGAACCAACTCATTCAGCTTGTGAAGGATCTTCTGGTCTCCTTCATATTGCTCATGTTGGCCATCAAGCAGGCTTTGGTACTGCATTCTTTACATCAGTTGTCAACCAGCTCATATATGCCGAGGATAATAATCTAACACCTTGGATTCATCTGTCGGAGAAAGCAGAATATATATACGACGATGACGTTCATGGCGTTGGGGAACCTATCTCCTTTCAAGCCAAAGTGGACCATGACATTAATTTTATCCGGCACACATTCAATGAAAGCTACTACTATCCAGGACCACCAACTTTAAGTGACAAAGGTCGGACGATTGCCATGAGTGTTGATGGAACTGGTATATGGAACAGCTACTTCGAGCCTGTGTCTGAATTCCACAAGGACGATTCTTCTTGCCATAATCAACCTTTCCTTTCGATGGAATACAACATGGTCACTTCGCCGTTGAATAGTTGGTCACCGTGGTCGGTCAAAGCATGGCGATACGATGATATACCCGGCAGGCTATGGAAGGATGAAAATATGAAACTAAAGGACTTTCTCGCACCCATGAGAATTAGAGCGAGTAAAATTGTCAAAAAGTATTTTCGATTCCATTCGTTCATTGAGACCAGGGCTCAAGAAGTTAATCCAGTCGATGCTTCATCCCCGTGTCTAGCTATTCACCTTCGAAATAGCGACAAGGGTGGCGAAAAACACCGTGGAAAGTTTCCACCAAATAAATTTCGACCGTACATGCAAGCTTTTATCGACGCTGGTGGCAAGGACATATACATCGCCTCAGATTCACATCGAACTCTGGAATACATTCAAGAACACTTTCCTTCAGAAATCACTAACGCAATTCGGACGCAAGGTCAATATGTTGTTCGTTCCACGAAGAAATGGCCAATCCATTCCCTTGAGAAGCACCATCGTACAAATAGTGAAGCATTGGTAGATATCCTGTCCATGTCCAAGTGCTCTATGCTTTTGCATGGTCACAGTGCCGTTTCAGAGGCTGCAATATATCTTAATCCAGACCTCCACGATACAAGTGTTAACTGGGAGGATCCAGACAAAATGAGTGTGATAGAGTTCAAAGAAATGTCACGGACCATCTTGAAAGAGTCCTTGTCGCAGCCTGCTGCAGAGACCGCGATTGCAGAGCCAAAAATCAAGGACCCACTGATATTGCATGGCAGCGAAAGCAGAATATGCAGGAAAAATGCCATTGTGTACCTTGCACAAAAAAAGCACTCGTCATACAAAGGAAGAGACAGCTATGGCCTACTTTTGGAGTCTCTGAGTCTCATTAACAAGAACTATTTGGCTTTGAAGAACAATGCTGATAATTTTGACATCATCATCTTCCATACCGCAGACTTTGATGCATCGGATCTAGACGTTTTCCGTGCGCGATTTGGTGAAGGTTTCGGAGAAATGGTTCACTTTGTTGATCTGGCCAACACCACCTACTGGAAGCGGCCAAAGTGGCATGAAAATGATGACCCTAGTAGTTGGTATGCTTTTCCCCTCTTCTCTGAGGGATACCGAAGGATGATGCATTTCTTTGCGATTGATATTTGGAATTTCTTCCGCGACTACGAGCAATCGTCTGGCTGTTCTTATAGGTACATTATGCGCTTCGATGAAGATTCCTATCTACACTCACCGATCCAATATAATATATTTGACTTTATGGAAAAGAACAAGTACTTGTATGGATTCAGGATTTGTGCCTACGAAATGCAGGTGACACAGAGAATTTGGAAGCTCTGGCGACGGAGAAAGAACAATCCCAAGCCTCTCCGTGATATTGAGCTCCAGATGTGCGGAATTTACAATAACTTTTTTGTTGCGAATCTGGCACACTTTCAGAGCCAACCAGTTCAACGATTTCTGAATTTTGTGGACCGACAAGGATTTATCTATCGTCGGCGACTTGGTGATTTAATGATTCATTCCATGGCCACTTATGCATTTACACCTCCAGAACAAATCCACCGCTTCCTTGACTTTACCTACGAGCATGGTACCGTCAACCATACTAGTGGTTGTGTTGTGTGGGGTGGAATTCAAGCTGGATACGATGACCCAAAAGCTGACGAAACGTTGAACTCATTTTGGCAAAGAAAGGTTGCTGATGTTGGCAATTGCGCCAACAAGGACTACCTCCTATCCAAGGAAAATCTATCACCGACGTATTCACATCTTCCACCGGAAAAGGCCGGAGTCCAGCTCAGAACCATAATGGATGGCAAGATTGAACTACCTGACAAGGGACCACTCAGCGGCTGATGAGCAAAACATTTTCAAAAAACTCGAAGTCTGGCTTCAGCTTCGTCTTCGTCGGACTGGTACGAAGTCTCGATCAGCTGCGTCTTCTTCCCCAATGAAATCATCTTTGTCAGTATCATCCTCGGAATCAGAGATATCCGAACCTTGGGCTTGCAATAAATCCCAAAGCTCGTCATCCTCAGCGAGCCTTGCTTCAATCTCCGGGCGATTCAGATAGGGGTAATCTCCGACCCATGCTTCAGCATCTGGGATCATGAAATCCGTAAGAGCAGCTAGCGATGTAAACTTTTGTGATGTACTCAAAAGAATGGAAAGCACAGGCATTCCAGTTTGAATATCCAAATAATCTTCACTCATTCTAGCGTGGGTCTGTAGCTCTCGTCCCTCACCATCACTCATCTTTACGCGAATGAGATAAGGGGTCCCAGAAAATTGTTCCAGTTCATCGGATTCCATTGTGTAATCTTGAAAATCATCCAATTCGTACTCTTCCAACGACGATGTGGAATAGACCACACACACATCATCTACTTTTCCAATAAAGAGTGATCCATACAGCCCCTGTTTTTCTTCATCTCTACCCCTCACAATCCAAGGATCTACCAATGCTCTACCGCCTAGGAATTCCCAATTACGTTGCCGTGCCTTTAGCTCTGGTGACAAGACCCCCCAAAAGGCAAAGGTTGCTCCGAAAAGTGTTGCCACAAAGCCTCCCAAGACAAAGCTAAGAAAGTAGGAAAAGAAAACGCCAAGGAATGTAACGATTGAAGCCTCTAGAAACCGGTTGTATCGCTCTCGCTAAAGACAAGTGTGAAGAAAATCGGTGCATTAGTATGTTGAGAACGAGATTCAAGTGGCGTTGTCAAGAGTTTGAATGCATACTTTTGTTCTACCCCAATAGGTTGCATACTGAGACCCCGATGGCGGTCCAATAACAAGATAATCTTCTAATTCATCCACCGGCAATGGGACCAAGGCCATGTTGAGGGCTATATTGTGCACAATGTTCACGTCCGTAGTTTGACGATTGTTCTTCATCACAAAAGGGGATGGTAATTGGAACGAAAGACCCGATTCAACAAAAGTTTCCAAAGCTAGCAACTTCAGTAAGATGGAAGTAGATTGCATTGTACTGCGCTGGTGCGATATTACAGTTTTAAGTTGGGAATAGCGAGAAAAATAGTGACACCATTCAAAGCATAGTGCACTCTTTGTTGTTTCGTTTGTTGCGTTCCCCTTTTCGCTTTTTCTCCTTGTCTCCACATACCGTTAGTGAGAGGTGAGGGACAGACGTGTGGCTGACAGGCTTTCCAGGTTTGAATTCTGTTCTTCAGGTTCCGGTTTTCCGTTGTGTGTCCTCGCATGTTCTGGCACGATCAGACGATAAATAATAGTCGAATCCATACCAGTGTCATCCCAAAACCGGTTTCTGTCGTGTAACATCGACGATAATATCGCTACTGTACTGTATTGAAATTCAATATCATTAAAGAAGAGAAACACTTGAAAATGCCAGGGTCTAAAGATCAAGTCGATAGAGGTGATACCGAGCTAGGCGATGTTGAGAAGGGTAAAGTTCAGAAGAAGAAAAACCCGAAGCGGGGAGTCGATATGAGTGGCGATGTATCCACTTTGAAGTCAATCTCTCCCAAAAGCAGTCCAGGAAACTCGTCAACAAGCAAAGGCGGAGATCCATTCACCGTTCAAGTGAATCAGCAGAGACGGAGTCGCGGACTCTTGGGCATGACAATGGGGAAATCTGCTCTGCTTTGCGGTACCGGATTGTGCCTTGCTGGAGGATTGGCATACTTTGTGATGGAATGGTTCGAAATTCCTGGTCTGAATGCTCAAATCGATCGATTAGAAGGAGAGGTTGACAAATTGTCGGCTGAAAATGATAGGTAAGAGGAAGGCAACAGAAAAGAGCCATGCGGTTTTCACTTTTTTAAAAACTAAACTGTACTGTACTTTTCAACTCACCAATCACAAATGGATGCAGATTTGGACAATTGAACAACGAGTTGAACGCAACTGTAACTGTACTCCAAAATATTACAGACGATTTAAATCAAACTGCAATCCGATTGGAAGATACCAACCAAGAGCTTAGTTCACGAATCATCACTTTGGAAGAACAGAACCAGTTCTTTGTTGAACAGAACGAGCAACTCTCGGGTACTATTGACGACCTGGCGACTATCGCAACATATTTGAATGACACGGCACTCAGTGGTCTTGACAATTCCTTGGAGCAGATATCGGGGCTGCTGGCGAATCAAATTATTGCAAATCAAGAGATTGTTTTGAGATCCCTTGAATACACCCTCATTCAGCGGGTGGATAACTGGAACTGTGACTACAATACGGTCTATTCGGAAAAGCCTTATGTCGAGGACTATAATGCTGTGATTCCAGAGTCGGACTTTGACCAAATCATGGCATATCTAGGCAATCTGGTTCTTGATGAACTATGTCTGAGCCTGGACGATTTCAAGCGGTACCTCGAGCAACCAATGTATTCACCCTTGACGAGCATAAAATTGGTTTCTGCAATGAAACTATATACAACTGAAGCCCTGGATTGGTACTTCCCAGAAAGGAATGAGAGTGGTTTGACGCATGAGCAGTGGTCTGAGGCTTCTTTCGAATGCAAGAACCTTGACCCAACCATTGAGTACAAATTTTCTTAGTTCATTGTTGGATATATATGATTCATTTCGTGTTATATTTTGTTACATAATAGCAATAGTATTTTAAAAATGTATTCTTAGTCCTACAGTACATCATTACATGGTACACATATGTGGAAAGATGAAAATTCGCAGTTTGGAAAAAGGAAAAAATGCAAAAGGAGCTGATGCATACTGCAGGGTTCGAACCTGCGCGGACGGAAAGTGTCCAGTGGGTCTTAAGCCCAACGCCTTAGACCACTCGGCCAAGTATGCTAACATCGAAATTTGTCAAAACTTTGGTACATAAACTGTAGATTAGAGAAGTGCAAAGATGAAACTAGCACAAACAACGGCCCAGTCAATGAAGTACACAGGGGAAATAGATTATATAGCCAGGTTATTTTTTTATTAAATTCTCAAGGGCATTGTTATTGCAAAGTGACTGCTGGAGCCAGCAGTTGGTGCTGCAATCTTATTCTTATCTTCTAGAGATATCGTTTGGTCTCAAAGAACTTTTTCCAGTACATGACTTGTCCCGTCGCCATCCCAATAACCAAAAAGGCCTCTATGTAGGTCCACTTTGCCAATCGATACAAAATGGAACTTGCCAAATCTTCGTAAACAGCCTCTCGATTGTGGGCATAATCCAAATGATCCAGCATGACCGACCAGTCTTCGTGTATTTTGACAGCTCGATCCACCAACTCATATGCCCGTTTCGTTTCGGGTCCAATCTCTTCTTCGCCTCTACCACGTGGTAGATCACCAACACGAATATTAAACCCAACATCAAAAGAATTGTCATCGTCGTCCCGAGCATTGTTGCGAAAACAAAGACTGTAGTGTGTGGATCGGAGGTCACTTTTCAATAGGAAGTGTCCTGCCAGGGCTTCTTTTTTCGGCTCATATACAATATTACCTTTTGGTAATTCTGTAATCGTTGCTGTAAAATCTTTTGGGGATACATCATTGTCTTCCACTTGAAAACTTCCACTGCGACATGGTGGTTTGTGAGAAAGGATATCAGAGAGCAACAGTGAGAAAGTTGTACACATCACTGAAAAATGCAATACCGGCAGAGCCTTCATTTCTTTCTGAGACAATAATAGATGTAAAACTTACCCAATGATTGATAACTTCCCTCTTGGGATTAAAATTACAAAGCAATCTTCGTTTTCGGGTTGCAAAGTTACTACGTATGAAAATGCATCGCAAGGACTAAGAATTGCCCCAAGAATCAGGAGCAGCGCCATTTTGGAGATTGAAGAAACCATTTTGCTCGTTTGTCAATATAACGACAAGCTGGATCTAAGCAATGAGGTTGCAATTTTCAAAGCAGTAAGCCGCCGATGTTGGGTGTGATGAAGCAGTCAACAAATAAAGCATAGAATCAAACGAGTCAAATACCTGAAAGAACTGTTGCACAAAATGCAAGAAAAAACAAGACTCAGAACTCGAGCTCTCTTTAGGTCTTATTTTCTTTCGTATTGTAGTATTTCTACCCATCTTGCTCTTTCACCGTTAAGATCTACTGGCAACATTGACCATGGTTCATGATCCTAGAATCACAACGTTGCTGAGTCGCCTTGGAGGACTATACAGAGACCCTGCTCGAGTGGACCGAGATGCCAGCAGTCTTTTGAAGAGTTCCTTAGGTGTTCATCTCATTCCTGGAATTGCCCCATTGGTGGAAAATAATGGTGACACGTCCAATTGTCTAGTGCTACAAGGAACGATAGCTATTGTATTTCGAGGGACAACCTACCAACTCTTGGTGGACATATTCTTGCCTCCTGGATATCCGCGACGCCCTCCTGTTTCCTATGTTCGTTTGGCGCCGAATATGTATCTTAAGGAAAACCATCCTCATGTAGGCAGTGACGGAATGGTATATCTTCCTTATACCCACGAATGGAACCCTCGGACTCACAGTCTCATTGAAAAGATAGTGGCAATGAGTAGTGTATTCTCAGCAGACCCACCAGTATTTTCCAGGTCGACACCCGCCCCAGCACCTGCCCCTGCGCCCGCTCCTCCGCCATCTCCACCACCGCCACTGGCATACAATGCACCAATGACAAATACCTACAATCCCTCTGGTAATTACGTTTCGCCATCCACATCACGGCAGCAAGACTTGGAATCGGAACGGTACATGCAAGAGCAAATGGATCTGATTGCTGCCCAAGAAGCCTCCGAAAAGGAACAAGCGATCGAGGCTGCGAAAAGGGCAGAGCAAAATCGTCTACAACAGATCGCCGCTCAACAGCAATGGGAAGAAAAGAAGACCGAGGATTTGAGACAGCGATTGAACCAAAAGATTCAAGCGCATATGGTAAATCTTGCCCATGAGACAAAAACAAGTGTACAATCCGATTGGCAAGATGAGGAAAAGCTAAAGAAATCCAAAGACACTATAGAGAGTCAGTTGAAACAGTTGGGGACTGCAGATGAGCAACTGACGGCGGCCATTGCTACGATTGATGCCAAGACGGCAGAGGTCAAGGATTTTCTTGAGGTGAATGGAGAATCAAAGGAAGAGGAAATTAGCGTAGATGACATGTGTCAACCAGTATCGAAGCTTCATGCTCAAATGTTGGAGTTGTCAGCAGAGAATGCAGCTTTGACGGACGCTTTGTACTTTGTGGATCGCGCGATGTACATGGGTCAAATGGACTGCACAACTCATCTCAAATCAGTCCGAAAACTAGCGAAACGCCAGTTTTTGATTCGCGCCCTTTTGATCAAGATCAATAAGGTTGTATCCAAGAAACATTAACTGGGTTGTACTATTAAATCCATGCAGTACTAATAAAAACTATTTTTGACAGTCACATGCTCCGATCATGCCGTTTGAACTTATTCTGCCATTAGGTAATGTCAGCGGTTACGTCGAAACTTCGCGCGACACCTTTGAAAAATCGTTCCGATGTAAGTATTTAAAAATTACGAAGTCCTTGTCATGGATTCTACCTTTTCAAAATCATGGATCCGGGGTGTCAACATCGGTGGGTGGCTGCTTATGGAGCGATGGATCACACCGTACATGTTTGCGATTACAGACTGCCATACCACAGGAGAGTCACTGTGCTTTTATCCAGGTCAAATTTCTGCTCCACCAACCACGAGTCCCCATCATCAATACTGTGACCTCTTTCACTGCGAGCCTCATTTGATCGAAAGCGTTAGTGGAAAAAAGGATTTTCCAGCGGATGAGTACACCTTGTCACAAAGTTTTGATAGCAAGGACATTGCCGAGAAGTATTTTTCATATCACTTTGACAACTTTGTGGGGAAGAATGATGTGATTGCTCTGAATGATGCCGGCGTCACTCATGTCAAGGTCCCTATGCCCCACTGGATCAAAAGGGAAACCAAGGATGATCCTTGGGTTGGAGGACGATGGCTTTATTTTATTCGCTTTGTAGGTTGGTGTCGGGAATACGGGATCGAGGTGTGGGTGGATATACAAACTGCACCTGGATCTCAGAATGGATTCGACCACTCTGGACAACTTCTTGCCCAGCCAACTTGCGAACATTGGAGTTCATCAGCCGAGAATGTAGAGCGCAGCTTACACGCCGTCAACGAAATTGCTCAGGGTATTATGAATGACAGCCTCAGGGATGTTGTCACTGGGTTTGGCATCCTTCACGAACCGTTCTCCGATTGCGATGTTTATGTCATCCGAGATTTCAGCAACATGGCATTTGAGAGTGTCCGTAGCATCATGGGCAGTGATACTCATGTTTTCATGGGAGATAGCTTCGATGCTGCAGAGTGGAACTCTGGATGGTGGACGGATCCTGGGCATTCGCACACCTACCTCGATAGTCACTACTTTCATGGTACGACATTATGGTCTCACAAGGTGTATCCATGCATATTGCTTGTCTTGGCCCTCACGAATCTTTAGTGTTTGGTGAACGGAATCGCGCCCTATCACCAAAGCAGCATATCGCACTTCTCTGCACAAGAAATGCTCGAGACACTTCATCCTGCTGTTACGAAGATGCACCAACGAACCAAATACCATCTCGCGGAATCAGCCGAATAGTTGGAAAATGGACTGCCGCCTTTGATACACTCACAGCTTTAAAGTTGAAGGATGTGATGGCTAACATCCAGCAGCATGGCGAAGCACTGGAATTCAACCGCACGATAACTGAAGGTAGAATGCGGTTCCTCAGCAATTTTGTGCATGCACAAATGGTAAGGAACTTGATGTAAACGTCTCGTTCGTTGTTAGCTGTTTTCAATTCTCATGTGAACAAATGAAGGTGACATATGAATCCATGAACTCGGGTGTCTCCAGTGGATGGTTTTTTCATACGCTGAAGACGGAGGGTGGAGCTTTTCTTGAATGGAACTTCTTGTACGGCATCAAGCAAGGGTGGATCCAGAATTTGCCGCCGAGAGAGAGGAGTGCAGAATCCATGTATGGCTCTTGTGAAAGCATCGCAACAAAGACGTCAGATGACACATCGATTGTACATGAATTCCCCGATCCGAACCAGAAGAGTGTTGAGTTGTGGTTAGGAGATGAATTTGACGACGACTATGTGATATCTCACGCTGCGAGTATTGATGCAAATGGCCACACCATTGCACCTGAGAACACCGTAGAAAAGGATTTCAATTTAGCTGGTGGCTCCAATGGCCAAACAATTGCACCTGAGAGCATAGTAGAAGAGGATTTCAATTTAGCTGGTGGCTCTGAAGCCTTATCGGTTGGCCAAAGTGAGGTCGTTGAAGCAAAGAGAAGTGGGGGTGCATTTCCACTTTTCGTAATGGTACTATTTTGCTACGGAATCTGGAAGGTTTTCTTTGCTCAGGGTCAGTCTCCGTTGGGAGGATTCCGAAACCAGCATCAATACACAGATCTTGAAGGCAGCTTGGGTCGTTCCACCGAGCTACAGGTCCGTAGCTTTTAGAAAGTTGAATACTGTACAGATTATTTTAATATACAGTTCGCGAAAAAATGATACAAAGTGAGCAAGGTAGCAAGGTTCCAGTCGGGCTATTTCACAGCTAGTCGAGGATCGCGTTCGTTTACTCCTTCAAAAGCAGCTTTCCTCGCCAGTGTCACAGCCGCTTCCGTTGCTTTCGGAGTGAGTTGGCCTCCTTCCGCGTTCGACTTCTCTGACTTCAACTTCTCTCGTGCAATTTCGTAAGCAAGAGCAGCCTTCTCCCTGGTATCAAACACCCCAATGTAACGCGATTTGCCAGCAAAGTACAGCTGCGCCTGCCATTTCCCTGACGGTCTCATAGTGACTCCACGCAAGATCGCAGCTGCTAGAGCAGCAGCTTTATCATTCTTTCCCCCACTTGCAGCATTCACTGCCTGAATTGTAGCAGCAGCTTTTTGGCGCTCCACTTTATCAGTAATTTGAGGTGATTTATTCTTCTTCTTTGGAGGCGATGACTTCTTCTTTTTCGCAGGTACCTTTTGAATAGGAGTTGATAGCGGTCGCTTAGTACCTGGTTTTGGTGCCTTTGGCAGTTTCTTTGGCAGCTTTCCCTTCGGTGGGGGATGTTGAGCCCCATACAAGGGCATGTGCGCCCGTGGTGGCGGGTGATGATGTGGTGGATAATGCCCGTAATGAGGATGCATGTGGTGTGGTGGAACTCCTGGATGATGATAATGTCCAGGAGGTGGAGGGTAGGGTGGCGGAGGATAATTCGGATCATTTGGTCCCATCGGATAGGGTGGCCTTGGTCCATGTGGTGGTCTGTTCGGTGATCCTGATGTTTTTCCACGCTGAGGAGGCGGAGGACCTCCCACTACAACCCTCATATTTCCACCATGCGGCATACCAGGAGGCATATAATAGCCACCTGGGTGTGCTTCGTACGGATGCGGTAACGGGTATGGAGGCCTTGGAGGATGTAGACTGCCTTGTTTCATGGGCTTTTTCATACCATCACTACTTTGTTCGTCTTTTCGCTTGTCCCCAGACTTGTCACTCGTCGCCTTCTCCTTTGCATAACTAGCCTTTGCTACATCTTCCGGATGCATTCTGTATACTTCTGTGGGGTCGCCGTGATCCCGAGAATGGGTCTTTCTGGCTAGTCTTGCTCCTTTCCCGTGATTGTCCTGTCCCCCAATGATCGGTAATTGGAGAGATGGTAGATTCTCATCACCGCTTCCACTCTTTGGAGGTCGGAAAACATCAGTGCCCTCTGATCCAGATACAGTGACTGGGCGATCTCCAGCAGCAGCCCGGCTTGGCGTATTTGAGGCGAGTTGGAGCAGTACACTCAAATCTTCGTCTTCCATAAGATCACGTTCCGCTAGGTGCACAGCATCCAAACTTGGATCTCTGTTTGCCGAGCGAACGATCCCGCGGGCCTTGAGCCCCTTTGCTGGTGAGTCTCCAAGGAATGATAGGCTTTGAGGTCTCCCTTCTGGAGACGCAAACATGTCCCGGTAATTTATGGCTGGTGGAGTGTGTGAAGTCCCATTCTTTGTCTTGGAAGATGCCAATGGCGAAATACAGATGATATTAGAATATCCCCGACTTCCGCGCTTCGCATTATCTCCAGGCTTTGGTGAAATGGTATAGTCTCCACTTCGCGGCAATCCAGCAACATCAGAAAAGAAAAACGAGGTGCTAACAGTGGGAGTCCTTGGTGTTCGAGGGGCTCCCCTTGGAGTGTTCAACATTGATGCGAATCCTCCTGGAGAAAACAGTCCATTCGAAGTTGGAGATTGCAACCATGCAAGAACATTAGAGCTGTCGAACGATGATGAGTTCGGATGCTTTCCATAATCAGCTGCAAAGTCGGTAGGAGTGGCAATAAATCGATCCCTATCTTCCCTCTTTGGTGTTCTTGGCGATTTCGGCGTCTTGGGAGATCTCATCGGAGCTGGCTTGCAATCTTCATCCATCTTGTCCTTCTTTGAATCTTTTCCCATTTCAGTGGTATCAAAAGACCCAGCTTCTTGTAGCGCACGGTATGAGGGAGTTCCAGGTTGTGGTGACAGGAAGAAACCACCCGGCGATCTCAATGTTCCGTCATCCAAATTGGGCAAAGTCTGAAAGTTTCCCCTTGTGGGAGTTCTCGTTGGCGTCTGGTTATGTAAAAAAGAAAGATGGATACGATTAGCACAGTGAAATGAATGGCGAAGGCAAATTGTCTCATTGACTTACCCTAACGACCGCATGTTCCTTCGTAGGAGGCACTGGCGAAAAAGTAACGTTATTCTTCTTCCCTTCTGCTTTTTCGAACTTTGAAGGCTTGGACTTTGTTGCAGCTGCAACCCCATTCTCAGCACTGTCTCCCAAAGGACTTGTTTGGTTCATGTTTGCATCGCATGATATCGAAGCGGGTTTGCTTTGTTCTTCGCTGTTTGTTTCTTTCGCATCCTTGGCTTTAGCTTTTGCTGGTCCTTCCTTCTCTTTCTCGACGCTACTGGTAGAACATAGTGAAGGCACAGTTTCCAACTCTTCTCGTTTTCTTTGAGGGCTTCGAAAAGTCTTAAACTCTAGAACTGTCGATTCCATTTCTGTACCGGGCCTTCCTGGCGAACCGCTTCTCCCACCCCTCCTTGACACTGCTCCCCTTCGATTCTTGGCTTCAGGTGTCTCTGCGTTCTCTTCTTCCTGCTTTTTCTTGTCAAATCGAACATGCTTGTCTTCCGGTGATTCTACACTACTTGTAATTTGAAGCGTTTTCGGATCTGCCTTGACTGGGTCTCTAATGATTGTGGATTCCGCTGGTGTTACGGTCGCAGGTTTTGATATATTTCGTTTTGACTCGAATGAAGACATATCTTTTGGTTGACCCCGGTCTGAAGAAGCGGGCTTCCGATCGGGTGTTTTGAAATCATCCATCACGCTTGTGCTGTTTGCCATCTTCGCGGACCCTAAAATGCTGTATGTAAACGACATCAAGAACTCAAGTGAGAATCAGGACATGACGTGAGAACCCGAGACCAATCTCTAGGAGAACCAATCAAGAGAAGCGATAAGTGTGCTCAGAATGAATCACGCGAAATCCATACTCATACAATGTGAGTATTCTTCCATGTGTATCACTTCCAGCACACAGGCAACCGGTATGTTTGTGAAATACATGTATTGCGAGTCTTCCATGTGAATTCCTCGACGAGACCGCGCTGAAGGTTGTGTAGATAGAACGGGACCAGAGCCGTAACGTATGAGTTTCCAACACATCCTCTCCAAAAGAAGACTGGAGTTGTCACACATCGAAAACAGCTGATTCCGCCATGTCCTTGGACATTCGAGCAACAGCCCCATCCCCCAAACCAGTTGTTGTCGTGTGGGCCATGACCAGTGGACTCCGCTGTCTCCCTCCCACCAAAGTCAGAGCGTTTTGATTCAACTTACACTGTTGTCGTTTGCAGTAGCTTTCTACCTGGTAACAGCGATAACCTTTATCGCTAACTAATACGATTGAAACTGACAATGAAAGGCGAGCTGCTTTTCGACTACAAAACAGGTCTCGTCTAGGTTGCGACTTGGATTGGCAAGTCAAGTTTTAGATCTTCAGAAACGTTGACAATGATGCAACCTGTAATGCTGCTTCTTGCCCCCTAATGGCGACTTCTTCGTGCTCTCCCTGTCAAAATATCATCCCCGCGCCCAAGATAATTGTTGGTACGGAACCTACGTTCTTGACTACTGACGAGGGCGCGCTTTCAATTCTGGTTTTTACTTAGAAGAATTCAAATAGACTCGTTAAATGAACATTCGCTGAGAAACGGTCCAACGGACCGATTTTGGCGCGAAGGACTTCCGGGTTGCCGTAATTTTGCCGAGACAGAACCCATGCTTCTCATCGAAAAGTTAGAAGTTGGGCGATGCATCCGTACACGTACCAGGCACAGAACAGTAGCAATTTACTCGTATTTCGTATTTACCTTTGTTCAAGAGTCCATCAATCATCCAGCTGATTTTGCTAGTATAGTAGGTAAATTGGAAGTCCAGATCATCTCGGTGTTTAAACTTTCACTGGTTAGATTGAGTAAATTTGTAATTATTATCCCCCTGTTGACATTTTCCCTAAAGTAGTCACCAAATTCTTTCCTACTACTGTACGGAACAGCGGCAGCTAGTAGAGGATTAGCTACGTATGCCCTTCAGCTCAATTTTTGGTCATCCATGCTGCAGGTATGGTAGACGAGGAAACGATGTGCAGAAGAAAAAATGGATTCTATCCCACAGTCGAGGACAATTAATGAGAGTATTGACCAGCCACGCACAGCCATCCCAATGAACAACCTAGCTACTTGGTGATATTGAAGAATGGCACAATAGTCCTAGAATATAAGCGTCATTCATTTTTTAAACAACGATGACGTTAAAAACCAATAGCAGAACTCAACAGCAGTTGGCAGTAGTGGCGAAAGCGGGGAATGAGAGATTTTCTCCTCAAGCAGAATAATCCTCATCTTGGTAGTTTTCATCAACGTAAGAAACCCAGTCAAATTTTGATCTCGGTGGTTCTTCGTGGTTATCCTTCTCGAAATAACTCTGGGAGAGCTCACTTTCCCAGTAGTCATCCTCAATGTCGAACATCTTTAATGTTGACATGGATCCTGGCGACGACAACGACAGTCGAGTCCTACCCATGCCCGCAACTTTATTGTTGTTATGAAGCAGCTCCTGTGTCAACGACTGAGCAAAGGTACCTTGATTTCGTCTTTGTGTCGGCATATTTCCGCTTATCATTGCAGTAAAGGCCTCTTCCACAACATCAAAACAGTGGGTACTTTCTCGTGGTAAATTCTGCTCGGCCAATACCGCATGTCGAAAGGCCGTGGACGATCTTGTTTTGGCAAAATCGGTCATATTCTGCACCTTTTCTAACCTTCGGTTGGGGAGAAAGGAAGTAATTTCGGCCGCCAGCTGATGAACGGTTTCGCAATTGCACTCTCGGAACATTGGCTTGCCGGTTCGTGTCGTAAGTACAGGTTCAAGCTTGGACTTATCCTTAGATGTCATTGCCACCACTCTCTTGGCATGGTAGTGGATATCCACTATTGTTTTAGAGACAGGATCAATCTTTGCTTCGAAACGGACGACGCAGCCACACGTTGGCGAGCACTGTTGACCCCACGATTTCTCGTGCAATGCTGATACACCAGCAGACGACGCCTTGGTTGATGCTGCATCCAGTTGCTGTTTCCCTCTTGTCTTGGTGATAGTGCTTTTCAGGATCTCCTTCCCGGTCCGATGGGCCTTTGAATTCAACAAAAAACGCATCGCTTCCTTCTTTTATTCTGTTTGCTGCTCAGGATCAGAATTTTGACCAAGAAAAATGAGGTGACGAATTTGAATTTCTTTGTTCTGGATGATAGACCATGTCAGACTATGTCAGACCATGTCAGCTTCAACTACTGTAACGTGGCGAAACGATGATTGATGACGTCATAGGTTTTGGCATCACCTGTTTTAAGGCGGGACTGTTTTTTGTTTTGAATCCCGATTGATTCACAACCAACGATGATGACTTTTTCGAAAATACTATTACGGTATCATACAGCAACATGTCGACTCAGGGCGAAGAGAACCCAAAGTATGTCAAAGGCACGCGAATATTTTTGTCCGAAGTGGACCAAACCTTGGGAGAAGGGAAGCTTAGGATTGAACTCGCAAAGGTCTTTGAAGTTTTCGGCGAGCTGAGGGAGGTATTCGTACCAACCCGTTCAACCAAAGCCTATGCGTTCATTCGCTTCAATTTACCAGAGGAAGCTCAAAAGGCTTTGGGCATAGTAACACCACACCCCTTGTTCAAAAGACTCAAGCCCGCAAAGGATATTGCACCGAGAAACAAGAAACACGACAAACAAAAGCAAAAGGCTGTTTCAGAGTTCGAGTTTTACTTTTCGGCGATCTCAAGAAGCAACATTGTGTGTCAGGTTCATACATCTCATTACGAAAGACTTTTCGGTTTCCTGGAGAAACATGCCGAAAAAGTTGGATTCAGCGTTGTTGGAGGCATGGCAAAAACAAAAAGCAGAACTATCTCCTTGGTATTTGTTCAGGCAAAGAAACGAAAGAGCTTTTATGGATGGCTAAACAGTTTTTGGTTCCTTCAAAACAGTGTTCATCGGATATTTTTAGTTGACGCTACTATCACTCCAAAAACACCGGAAGAAAGCATTGAGAGCTCTATAATGGATACACTTTCAACGCTTGATCAAGGATCGGTTCGGCTGCAAATCTTTCCACCTCGCTTGTGCTCGTCGTTGCTAAAATCTATCGACGCACGGTGGGACAGTTTTGAAAAGAGAAACAGCGTAAAGTTGTTGCCTACCAACACCACGAATACCATGGGGGTGGTACAATTGCTTACACCAGTTCCCTTTGTCCACAACGGTCTGTATTGCTCAGGAATCTGGGAATCGAATTTAACCGAATCAAAATCTTCTTCACGATCCAGAATAGACACTGTCGACAATGACATCTCACGGGCGTATTGGAAGCTGGAAGAAGCGTTCGACCGCTACGATGGTAGTCTTCCAACTACTTCTAAAGTTGCACTTGATTGTGGTGCAGCACCTGGTGGCTGGACACAGTTCTTGGAAAGAAGACTAGAATGCCAAACGATATACAGTATCGATCCAGGTGATTTGCACGAAACTGTACTCGGGCTAAAAGGAGTAAAACATTGGCGAAAAACTATCCAGAACTCACTCCCAGAACTCCAGAAACAGAAATCAAGGATTGACATTTGGGTTAGTGATATGTGTGTCAAAGATATGGAACAACAGGTTGATTGGTTGTTGAAGGCGTTGGAAATGGATGTTGTAGGATCAGGGACTTTTATAGTCTTGACACTCAAGTGCATTCACGGGCACAGCTCGTCTACATTCGACTTCCTGGTGGAACAACAGCTGAAACGACTGAAACCCCTGGCTAGAGACTTGCAGGTCATCCATTTGTTCTACAATCGCTTCAGCGAACGCACCATAATGGGGTACTTAAACTAAGGGAATTTAGATTCGGGCAGTTTGGGGTCGCGTGAGTCGAATGTTTCACCTGCAATGCCATGCCATGCCATCACAGACCACGACACAAACTGTGTTCAGATGCCTGCTGCGTTGGACGATATCGTACAACGTGTCCGTACATCATTCAGGTTATGGCATCTTGGATTGGTGCTTCTCGCGCTTTACATCTGGTTCGATGTCTCCGAAATTCAGTCTACCGGCAGCTTGCCTGATAAACAAGAGTTTCGCCATGGATCATTCACGGGTCCGATGGGAGATGGAGGCAAAGCTCTTGTACCTGGAGAACTTCCAGGATATAGCGGCTGGGCACGATCGGAGGAGACGCTAGCTGGCTACTTTTCGATTACTGGTCACTCTGCGACTGAACTGAAAGTTGGGGATGAATTTCAGGTATCGATGCAATGCAAAGGCCACAAAGATTGCGTCAAGGGGCACTCTCTTTTTTTTCTAAGAGCATATGGTCCATCAGTGATCTCGGGTGTGACTATGACAAAAGATGAAGGACAATATGAAATGGTATTCCGTCCTCTTGATTCTGGCATGTACACTGTGGAAGTTGTTTTGTCTTTCTCGTCGCCACCGCCTTTTGACTCATTTCCATTGTCACCTGGAGTTTCGGAACCTGCGTACGAAGGATACCTCCTGCCAGGATTTCCAATTCGAATTGATGTGGGTGATTCGAAAGGTAGAGGAGAAGAAGCGGCTGTTCCGCTATGCACCTTTCGACAACTGGAGGAGACTTCATCGAACAGCGCTCTGTCCAAAGCAAGATGGCGCGTTGATAGCAAGACGAATGGGATAGGATACACAAGTTCAGCTGATGGGACGAAAGTTTCTGAGGAGGGATACAAGAAGAATAAAAACTCTATCGGTATCCAAATGTCTTATGATTACTCTCCAAGCTGTGCATTGCTGACCAGTCGTCCGTTTGAGAAGCAAGGCTCCTCGCACCCCTTTAACCAGTGCGAGAACAAAGACATCAAAGTGATTTTCATCGGAGATTCAGTTATGCGAGTTCAGTGGAATAGATTTGACGAGCTAGTCAAGGAAATCCCAAGTGTATCAACTGATTACATAAATCTTTATGGAGGCTACCGAATGTGTGAGCGGCAAGATCCAAACATCAAGCAGAAACTTCATAAAATATATGCAAAATCAGAAAGCTCAGCCAAGGCAATCATTTTCAACACTGGTATGCATGATATCCACCGATTATGTGGAAGCGAGTGGACCGAGGATAGAAAAAACTATATCAAGGAAAGTGTCCTGGCTTCCGATTTTTCCTGTGTGCGAGAGTACGGATTCATCATCAAAGACTTTGCCAATTGGATTAGCAACGTTCCAGCGGACCTCCGAGTTTTCCAGAGTACAACATCAGCCTGGCCAAAGTACGGCAACTTTGGCATTCAATGGCCGTATGGTGCCCAGTTGCTTCCATTGGATTCAAGTTTTGTTATGCCATTCAACGAAATCGCCTTCAATATCCTTCAGGAGTATCGAACGACAGTTCAGATAATGGACGGATTTTGGATCACACACAGTCGACCAGACAACAGAGAAGTTGGGGAGATTGGTAAGAAGCTCTCGCATCCTGGATTGGAAGTACAAGGTGCGATGGCAAGAATCTGGTCAATGATGATACTAGAGAAACTATGCTGATTACGCTAGTTGGTTGCGAAGGCGGAGATGCCGATCTTCCTACCAAACGACATACGGTCGATGAGGTCTCAGGTTCTTCCATCGCTTGATGGTTGGTATGATATCTGTTTCTGGATCGTATACGTAGTTTGTTGCGTCGAAGGCGAAATAGTCTCTTGAAGTCAAAAGCGGAGATTCTTTTGATTCTGAATTAGGAGTGGGTTTACCATGCTCCCTGGATGTGTTGGATATATCATCATCGAGACTTCCGTCCTCCCAGCCGTCTTCCACTATTCCAAACGCAACGCTCGATTGATTCTGATTTGGCCTTGAAGGTGGCGGTGGCGGCTGTGGCCTTGGAAATCCTTTTGACAGATCTACAGCACCAGAACCCAAAACCTTTTGGTCCGAAAGGGGTTTGGATGGTCGAGGAAATCCTTTTAAGAGATCGACTTCTTCCGTTTCTGCTTTTTTTGGCTGCTGCGGGGGTGGGCACGGTGGAGGCCTAGGAAATCCCTTTGACAAGTCGACTTCTGATATTCGTCCTGGTGGTGGTGGTGGTGGTGGTGCTTTCTTTGGCTCTGAGTTCGCCTGTCGAATGGGTCTTGGAAACCCTCTGGAAAGATCAAGTTGTTCGCTTTGACGTCCCCCTTGTTGTCGTCCAGAAAGGCTTGCTGGTGGATTTTGAGCGCTGGTCGTTCCATGCGACTGCAAGCTTTTGTGTACTGGCGGGGCATCGCTAGGTGGACGGGGAAAGCCTCTTAATAGATTTGTTTGAGCTTGATTGCCCTGGTGGGTGAAAGGTGAACCGTCTTGTCGATAGACTGGTGGTACTACAGGAGCTGCTTGGCCGTAGATTGCTGGGTCGTCATCTGGTAAAGTGACAGAATTGGCCAGTTTGTTCAAACCTGAACGGACTAGACCGCCAAGAATTGATTGTGGCCTACTGCCTGGTAGTTGTGGTTGCCTCCGTGGTGGGGGCGGGGGTGGCCGGGGCTCATGACTACCAATGTGGGGAGGAGTTGGTCCAGGCTGATCACTACCAGGGTGGGGCATGTTCTGTTGCTCAATCCTTCGATTGGCAGCAAATTCCATGGCCTCTTGTTCTGCTGCCAATAGAGCATCAGTATCGGGAATGAATCGTTTCACGATAGTCAGCTTCTGTTTGAAATTGAGGACCGACTCCATTTCTCGGAGTGCCGATTTCATGCCCATGGTCGACTGGGCAAGTAGCTTTTGTGAATTCTCCATGAATGCATCACGGTACACGTCAGCAGGTGTAGCGTGAGATCCATCAAGGTCAAAAGCATCCATTTGGCATTCCATCAAGAAATCAACCGAACTTGAAAGCACTTTGTCAAAATCATGCTCTGGCAGCAAAACGTCAATAGCATTCACTCGAAAGTGAACCATTGGCTGCTGGGGGATGAACGCGATCGTGGCGAATATGTTGGCAATGTTTGCTCGCTGACCATCGGCCTGAGGAAGAGCAATGTGCAGCTGAGCTGCAGCTTCCACGGTCTCATCCCGGCTGTGAATTGTAAATTTACAATCATGCGCGATGCATATAGCCATGAACTGAGGCCTAACGAGCAAGTCTTTGTCAGTAATGACCTGAAGTAGGTCAGCCAAGAGCGACTGGTTAGCACATCGTGCTGCAAGACTCTGATCAGGCATAAAATTTGCTGCAATCTCTTGCTTGTCAAGAACGACATCGCCGTTAGGAAGTACGACTCGATAATCCATTCGACTGAGCTCTTTTGTGCGTGTGTATTCAGCTAGGTTTGCACGTGTCTGATAGTACTCCGTCAATTCCATAGCTTTCTGAGGGGTATTGTACTCGTATTCGAGAACAGCGTTGACGGAAGAAAGCATGCGGTTCAAAGAGCCCACGTAGCCCTTGAGATCGCGTAGCAACTCCTCTCTCCTTGGATTTGCCACTGGTCTCTGGGGAGGAAAATTTGGCATTTCGGAAGTTTCGTCCAAAAATAAATCATCGTCATCACCCCAGCCAGATTCAAATGATTTGTTAGGTCCTTTTGAGTCTGCTACAACGTCAGCATCGTCTTCCCAGCCATCCTGCTCGGAAGGCGATGGGACCTGCTTGTTTCCTGCGGCGACGTTTGCTGTCGGAACTGGAACGTTCCCAAAACCATCATCAAATTCAAGTAGGTCACTTTCACTATTATTTGATTCACTCCAGCCATCTTCCTGTGCATTCGATGAAATCGGCGCAATAATAGTCTGTTTAGGCGGTGGTAGAATGGCTGGCCTCTTTGGCGGGGGTGGAATGGCTGCCTTCTTTTTAATAGGCGGAGGTGGAATAGAATTCTGTCGAGGCTGAGTCGGTAGATTGAACGACGAAGAAGCAACTTTTTCGTTTTCTACTTTGTCCTCGAAGTCATCATCAAAATCCAGCTCGTCCCCCCACCCATCTTCATCACCTTCTATTCCCGCGTTTCCACCTGCTTCAATCTGTCCCTGTGCGGGTTTTCCAGCCAGTTCAGAAGTTGAAGGTGTTTCCTCATCGAAGCCAAAATCATCGTCTCCCCATCCATCACCAGTTTGTCCATTGTTGTCGATGTGATTGCTTGGTATTGCTGCATCCACTGGTGTCGAATCGTCATCGAAATTCAAATCGTCATCTCCCCAGCCGTTGTCATCAGCTCCAGGGTCCAATGCCTCATTGGAGCGATACGCAGCAACAGCTGGTTGACCCAAACTTGCAGCTGCTGGATCATCGTTTCCAAACCGCGAAGGAACAGTGGCACGATCATTGTTTGCTGCAGAGAATTGCCCCATAATTGGAGGTACTTGCTGGACCGGAGCTGTGATGGGTGGCACTTCATCGTCATCACCCAAATCAATATCGTCGTCATCGCCCCATCCATCTCCGTCGAAATTGAAAGTATCGTCTTGGGAGATGTTATTGAGATCACTCTCGTCGTCCCAGCCGTCATTCAGACCTGGCATTTTATCTGTTATTCTCGTGTCCACAATGATTTTGGTGCTCTCTCTTTTCATTTTGCAGGTGCTTTTTCGATTTCGAACTGTGGTCATACGGGACTGCAATTTGATTCACGCTACATGCAATACAACCACCGGCGGTACTGTACCCTGGGGTAAACCCCCCCCCCCCCCTCCAGCTCAGAATACAGATGGCTGCTATTGACCTGTTCACTCATGCAGTTGCAAGTCAGAAGTCTCCTTTTTTTCTCGAAGAACAATAGAGTAAAATTTGGACCGCACTCTTTCCAGCTTGTGGTGTCTCATTCATCTGCAGTTAGAAGGCTCTTTTTAAAAAATATCTTCAATGTGTATCTAAGACTTGAAATTTCACTGCACATCTAGTTGCCGTACCGGTACATACTGGTAACAGTCCAGGATGCGTGCAGAGAGGAGAACCTCTACGTGTACCAGTAGTGGTACTCGTACCATGAACTTGCCAGCTTGCCATTTTTTTCGGCGAGAAAATGTCCGATGCGACTTCCGATCAACTCCACTCGACAAAAACGACGAAAACTTTGGAACATGATGCCACCTCTCGCAACAAGCATACTGCTACAAAATGACCTATGCAGTGAACCAGACTTCAGTAAAAGTGATTGCATCGTCTACATTAGAGAACCAAGAATGTATCGAGGTAGAGTTTTTGGCTCCCTTGCATCATCTTCATCCGGAAGAAAGGAAGAATGAGAAAGAAGAAGACTTCTTGGTTTGTTTGAAGAACGAGGTGAACTTCTTTGAGCAGGCAGAAAATGGAACTTCGAGCTGTGAGAATGTCTTAGGAGTTTCTTTCGTAGAAAAGGATGACTCGGTTCTGACAACAAGCCCAGGGAGTTGTTCGACCTTCGAAAGTGAAGACCGTGTTACCGATCATGACAAGATCGTAGAAGCTCGTGACAAAGCTTCTTCTTCGTTGCCCCCTTCCACTGATTCCTCTATTGTGGCAGAAGTAGAGGCTGTTGAGACAATTAATAAATCAACGACACTGAGTCTCCGAGAAGATATTGCGAGTGCCAACGTCCGCGAACATTTGACTTGCGATTTGAATGAAACGTCATCAGCCGGCGAGACCGAGAACTCTGTGGAAGTGGAAGACGGGACAACTTTGACAATCGACAAAACCATCGATGCACCACCAGTACCTACTTCAAAGGTTAAAATGATTGGTCCCTTCTTGAGCGACCAAATGACATCACCAATAGCATGTGCTGAACTATTAAATGAGAAAGAAGCAGAACTGACACAAAATGAGCACATGGACAGTGAAGCAGAAGGAAGGCCGAAAACCAAGGCAGTGAACGAAAGAGCATCCCGAGAGATAGCAATACCACGCTCCTTGCATATCGACTTCCCAAAGCAGGTAGGAATGCAAAGTCACAACGATACCAGTTTTGTCAACGCAATGTTTGACTATGTGAACATTGCAAGCTCGCCCTCTCAAGATGAGAGCATAATTGGCGACCTTGATGATTCGTCCTCGGCAGGTGAAATTGCAGAGAAAGATGGCAGTCATATGTATCACTATTTCGATAAGAAAGATCCCAACCTGGACGAACAGCAGCAACGAATTGACGAGACGAGGAACAAGCAAAAAATGACAAAAGATATGTTTAACTATATTCTTCACGCTGGAAGTGATGATGCCAGTCTTTTGGATCTCCATTCTTCGAGTAGTGACGAGATTGATACCATGTACTACGATTGCTAAACGCATAATTTGTAAGTTTGCTAGTCTTTGCTAGTCGTCTTTCTCCCTATTTTTTGTTCAAGCACAAAGGTGGAGATTGTTGATTGAGACTTCCTCAGTCTTTCGTGACGTCACCACTGCAACCACAACCAAGAACTGTTTCCAAGAGTTGAAGATCTTCCCCCACAACAATACATCTCATACTTGACTGTAAGCACAATGTTCGTCAGAGCTTCCAGAAACGCATCTCGGAGATTCCCCTCCATATTGCAGAAACCCTTCACCACTCGTCAATTCTCTATCAAGGATTATAAGGAGGCGAGCACAGCTGCTCAACAATTGAAAACAAGTTTCGAGCTACCATGCCCAACGGAAGTTCAAGCCGATGGAACCAGGGCCTTCCAACTCACGAAAATTGTCGCCACTATTGGCCCTACCTCCGAACAGCTTGAACCTCTGAAGAAGGTTGTTGATGCTGGAATGAAGATCATGAGATTGAATTTCTCTCATGCCACAACTGAGGAAGTTGAATTGCGTCTTGCCAATCTCGCCAAAGCTCAGGTAAGCGGAAACCAGAAGATCCCTTTCATATTGGTACACTTGCTCTAAATAATTTGTAAAGGATACCGTGAGCCATGATGGCCATGTAGCACGTACTCAAGACGTTCGCGCAACACTGTTGGATACTCGAGGACCTGAAATAAGGTGCGGTAAATTGAAGGGTGATTTATCTGGCCATGAGACCATTTCGCTTGTAAAGGGAGAAACAATTACACTACAAACCGCTTCAAAATACGAAGACGAAGGGTCTACAGAGACAGATTTGTTTATTAACTACTCCAAGCTTAATGAGTGCATGTCACCCGGCATGAAGGTTTTGCTTGACGATGGCGCGGTGATCCTTACTGTCACAGAGGTTGCAACAGGAGAAAATGGTCCTGTCACTTGTTCGATCGACAACTCTGGAGAACTTCGTTCTCGAGCTGGGTGAGTGAGGTTCGTTGTTATGTACGATTTCTTTTTATCGTGTCTTCCAACTCATGCACCATTACAAAAACTTTGCACTCTACAGAGTCAACCTCCCCATGGCAGAAACTGACCTACCTGCAATGAGTGAAAAGGACAAAAAGGACATCAAGTATGGACTTGAAATTGATGTTGACTACCTCGCAGCTTCTTTCATTCAAAGCGCTGAGGGCGTTCGCGAAATTCGCACGTACATGGAGCAATGTGCGGCAGAGCTAGGATGGGAGAAGGACCGGCCATTGCCTCTGATCATTTCCAAGATCGAGAGTGCTTCAGCTCTTATCCACTTTGATGAAATTTTGGAAGAGTCCGACGGTATCATGGTTGCACGAGGAGATCTTGGTGTTGAGATTCCAATTCAACAAGTAACCAACGCTCAAAAGGAGATGGTTGCTGCGTGCAATGCAGTCGGAAAACCCGTGATTGTTGCCACCCAAATGCTTGAGTCGATGGCAAAGAATCCAAGACCAACTCGGGCTGAAGTTTCTGATGTGACTAACGCTGTTTATGATGGTGCTGACGCTGTAATGACAAGTGGAGAAACTGCTAAAGGAAAGTATCCTTCTGAAACCATCAAGATGATGAACGACATCATCCTAGCTGCCGAGTCCTACGTCAGTTCCGGATCGTTGGGTAGTCTATACGTCCAACATGGAGGAACAAGAAGCCTATACAGTGGCGAAAAGAAAATGACCACAGCTGTTGCCAAGGCTTCTGTAACCGCGAGTCTTGTACATGATGCATCAGCCATCTTGATCCTCTCCGAAGACGGAGGGTTTGCACCAATTGTTTCTGCATTCCGCCCGAATTGCCCCATCGTTGCCTTCTGCTCGACTGGAAAGGCTGCCCGACAACTGAACTTGCGTCGCGGAATTTTCCCGGTCATTGGGCTGACTGATGTTTCTCCAGAAGAAAAGGGCACAGTTGCTATGGAAGAAGCCAAGGCGATGGGATTCGTCTCTACGGGTGACTCTATCATCATGCTTGACATCAGCGAAAAGTACGGTGGCGCCTCTTTCACTACTGCCACTGTGTCATAAGCACTGGAATGTAAAATGAAACAACAGAACACGCACTACAACGTATTTGAAAGCTGAAAGAAACTGCCGGTCACAAAATATATGTCTATAATAACCTATTAAACGCTTTGGAAATCTCCCTTGATTGCTCTTTCGCCCTGGGGTACGATGTTCTCTAGTTTCGCAATCACCCGCTGTTGAAGTCCCTTTTCGCTTCCGACTGCTTCGAGCACAGAGGGATCTACTAATCCGCAAATCTCTCCAGCAAATCCGTACATTAGTAGGTTTCTGGCTAATGTTCGATCTAATCCACGCGCTCGGAGGTAGAATAATTCTTCCTCAGAAAGATCCGAGACGGTGCATCCATGAGTACATGAAACATCATCGGCAATAATTTCAAGCGAAGGTACCGCCCATGCTCTCGATCGATCACTCAGGAGAACAGTGCGTGCCAGCTGTTCGCTATTGGTTTGTTGGGCACTTTGTTCTACGCGGATACGTCCCTTGAATGACCCTGTAGATCTTCCACCAATCATATTCTTTTGGAGCTGTTCACTTGTTGTTGCTTGTCCAATATGGTGGATGTTTGTTTTGATATCTGTTTGCTGAGCACCAGCAGAAAGAGAGAATCCCTTGACACCTGCGTGGCTACCAGGTCGGAGAAGGGTGACACTATGCGCAATTCTGATTCGCCCACTACCACCAACGCTGAGCAAAATTCCATCATAAGAAGCATCGTCACCCATCGCTTGAACATCTATCACCTCGAGATGCGTATCCTTTAGTTCCGGTCTTCGCGCTTCAATATCTCTTGGCTTCTCTTGACCTTCTTCCACGTCGTCATCGTTGATCTCAACTCCACCAACTGGGATACCTCCCGATTCTTCTAGAAAAGTATGGTTCATTTGAGCACCCTTCTTGAGAAAAACCTGCGTGAAACCGTTGTAAAGAGTCGAGACCTTTGCTTCATCGCTATCCAAATCGACACAAGATTGCACAAGTGAAGAAAAACTGTCCTCTCCAGCAACCACGAGACATCTTGGGTGAAATGACACCCCCCTTGAATCCGAAGAGGCACCTCCGTTGCTGGTGACTGCATTGACAATTAGAATTGGCTTCTTATTTTCCTCGTCTTTATCGTGTCCTTCTGGAATGTTCACGAATGCGACAGCACCAGTTCTTCGGGTGTTCAATGCAGCAAAGCATGCAGTTCCTTGTTGTGTGTTGACTGCAAATTGAGAAATTGCCTCTCCAACATTGTGGTTGGGTCCACTAAGTTTCTTGAAGGAAGTCCAGAAATCATCGTCGCCAACTGGCACAGGCGCAGCAAGCTCGTCAGTAAAACCATCAGTCAGTCGTCCTAACAGTGATTTCATGTCCTCTGGTACTTCATCTGCAGATCCAATATTACTGACAAAATCATTTGTTTGAGAAAGCTGGGGTGCAAATCTGCCGTTGATGTAGACAAGGCGTGCTTGGCACTCATCATCTGGTAGCCAACCTCCTTTCACTTGAAGGTTCGCCCGAGTGGTTGCGACCTCTTCGTCTGTAAATTCCAATTCTAATCCTGAAAAGTTAAAATGGCGACGTTAGAGAAATTCATTCATCGTTGTCGCGCAAGCACGGCACTCTGTGAGAAAACACATACCATTGCCTTCTGGTGTGCCTGAATAGTCTTGTTCGACCATTCCAGCAACATCAAAGTGACGCCAGGTTTCAGCGTTTCTACGGGGAACAGGCAAACCAAATTCTTCAAGACCAAACGCTGGTGTAAGGGGTGTCCAAGGCAGTTTTGTGGCTACATATGGGGTCCACTCTGGGTCATCTTTTGGCAATTCGATCTGAAAGAAAATGAAAATTTAGGCATATCATGCGAACTTTTCGTTTCATATGCAAAAGATTCGCCCCCTTGAGTGTAATCCCAACCAAATAACGTACCTCGTTGATGAGAGGAACAGGAGTGATCAAAACCTTCCGAGCATCATCCGCTAGGGATCCTAGAATCCCCTTGTCTTCTTCACCGGCCAACAAAGCACCAAACCATTTATCACATTTTTCATCAAGCTTCGATCGTCGAGAAGTACGGTAGGCTTCGTGATCTGGGACTTCATAGTCTACTCCAGGGACCAGTTGCTTTTCCTCTTCTATTTCCTCAGGTCCAAGTCCAATGCTAACATGAAGACTTGATTTGTCCCTGTTGGAGGAAATTGGGTTTTGGGTGTTGAAGAATGCAGCCGAAGGTCCTAGAAGACTCAGCAAAAGAAGGGCGTTTGAAAGGATCAACCTCATGGTAATGTGCAAGCTTTATTCAGTATCTATTTCTATATGGTAGGGATGGGCACGATCTTTTCTTTCGTGATGTGTGTTTCTTTCGTGATGTGTGCTCGTTTTTGATGGCTACTAGGAGACCCAGCTTGAAATGAAGGATACGATATTTTTATCGTGAGAATGTACGGAATTGCTTGTGACGTCAGCTTCGTACAGTATGGCAGACTTTGGCATACGGAATTGTACGGCATTGCTCGTGACGTCAGCTTCGTGCAGTATGGCAGACTTGATCTCGTTGTCTTCGAAAGGCAACAAACTTTGTGTGACGTCATTATCGTACAGTATGAAAGACGTTGACGTGGAACTCGATCGACAAGAAAGATCAAAGAGTTCAAACAGGTGGAATAGGGGGTAGTGAGACTATCGGTACCTGGTACGATATCTGCTGAACGAATAACTCACGGCAGACGGAACCTTTGCAACCCTTTTCACGCTTCTCACTGTCCTGAATCGGTTTTGCTGAAATCCCAGTGAAATGAACCAGGCAGGTGGGTACACCAGAAGAATAGTAAAAATCTGTATAGCTACTAGGTAGAACAGCAAATGAAAGATAGATAGTGTAACTCGCTGTCATACTGGGGTACAGTAGCAATTTTAAAGCTGAGTTGTTATCCCCAAAAGACATCCTTGTTCAATTTGCCACCAGCAGCGTTGCTCTTGTACATGGCAATCAAATCGAGAGCCTTATTCTTGTTCTCTTCATACTTAGGAAACACCTTTTCTACAGCAGCCTTTCCTGCCAACTTTTCGGCAATTTTGATTGCATTTTCTCGCTTTGCAATACTGCATTCCATGTGGTTCACTGCAAGATCGACACATGGCTCTGGGAAGTTGGTTGCTTCGCTAATTTTGGATCCCTTTAATGTAAATGAAGAAACAGACTGGTCAGTCACATAAATCGTGGGTGCGGGGTATTCATTCTCTTAGAGGATTATCTTGAAAGATTATCTTGGAGGATACTAAACACTCACATTTGCCTTGAAGCATTCGTCAACGGCAGTTTGCGTGGCAGCGCACATTTCCAAATGAGTCTCCACTTGAGAACTCAGATTTCTAGATCCCATTTTCGACTTGTTGTACAGGTCTAGAGTTTCCTTTGGGATTTCTTGCAAACTCATTTTTCTTCGTGACTTGTAATCGAAGATTGATGGAAGTTGATGTGCATGGCCATGTAGACCAGCTTGGTTCTTTTCAAGGTTGCTGCAAACGTCCGTACGTTTACCTACAGTATGGTAAAATGATACCGAGAAATGACCGACTGCTTCGATCCCATCTACCGCAAGATTCTTTGATGATTCGATGTCATTTTTATTAAAATCGTTCATTCCTGCCACCATCACTAAATTACTCATTAGCTACTCGTTAAGAAGATATCTACAATCCTCTCATACGCTGAAAGCCTGCGTATTCCTGTTGATTCAAGCGGCCCAGTGAAATTTCAGAAAGCATTCTCCGATGGCTCACACCCTCAGTCGTCGACAAGCGTTGCCCTTCATATCAACTTCTTGGCGCTACTCTTTTTCTACTTCAGCCAAACAATTACAAAGTAAAGTTGTGTCTTCTGCAGAGGAAGCACTAAGTGGTCTAGATTTGAAAGGTGCTGTCTGTCTCGTAGGCGGCTTTGGATTGGGAGGAAGCCCTGAGACTCTTCTTCGTGCACTGAGTCACCATCCTTCGGCCAGCAGCCTGACGGTTGCGGCGTTGACGGGAGGGACAGATGGCGCAGGCGTGGGTCTCTTACTGGAAGCTGGCATTGTCAAGAGATTGATAAGTAGCTATGTGGGAGAGAATAGCCACCTCGAAGATTCCTTCTTCGGCGGTCGCCTCGAAGTGGAGTTGACGCCACAGGGAACTCTAGCAGCTCGCATGAAAGCAGCCGGGTCTGGCTTCCCTGCATTTTATACTCCAACAGGGGCTGGAACAGTATATGCAACTGGTGGAATACCTATAAAATTTAAGGAGGATGGGTCGCACGAAGTCGAAATCGAATCTCAACCACGGCCGACGCAAGAGTTTGATGGACACGAATATGTTTTGGAATATGCACTCAAGGGGGAACTATCCTTGGTTAAAGCGGCGGTGGCAGATACACGGGGAAACCTGATCTTTCGAGGCACGGCTCAAAATGCCAATCCAGATGCTGCCATAGCAGGGAAAATGACAATCGTCGAAGCTGAACAAATAGTTCCCGCCGGCGAACTCAACCCCAACGACATTCATCTTCCCGGAGTCTACGTAGACAAAGTTATCCAGGCTGGCTCTGAGGAAAAGCTCATTGAGCGGCTACGAATACAGAGCAACGATACTTCTGTTGGTTTCGTCAAGGATTACCGAGCACGGATAATGCGTCGGGCTGCCAAGGAGTTCCGCAATGGCATGTACGTGAACCTAGGGATTGGCATGCCGACAATGTCGTCGAACTATATTCCAGAAGGTATCAATATTGAACTGCATGCTGAAAACGGACTACTGGGCGTTGGTCCATATCCGGAATCAAAAGAAAATGCAGATGCTGACTACATTAATGCCGGTAAAGAAACAATCACTGCGCTGCCAGGGGCTAGTTGCTTTTCGTCATCTGAATCATTCAACATGATTCGAGGAGGCCATATCGATTTGACTATTTTGGGCGGTCTTCAGTGTAGTCAGGATGGAGATTTGGCCAGTTGGATTGTGCCTGGGAAACTGCTGAAGGGGATGGGCGGGGCAATGGATTTGGTTGGGGCGCCCGGTTCTCGTGTAGTTGTAACCATGGACCACACTGCGAAGGATGGCAGCCCGAAAATCTTAACGGAATGTTCATTGCCACTCACGGGGCACAGAGTGGTAGATCGGATCATTACCGATTTAGGAGTCTTCGATGTTAACCTTGATGGTAAGGATGGACTAACGCTTGTAGAAATATCTCCTGGTGTCACAGTTGAACAAATACGGAATTCTACAGGGTGCGATTTTGCAGTTGTTCCAGACCCCATCCCGCTGATGGACAGCGAAGAATAGAATGAACAGAGGAATCATATGAGTGTCTACAATCCCTTTATCACGGCGCTAAGCATATGCGAATGGTCCGTTCCTTGCGCCAAAAATGTTATCACTGTCGATCGCTTTCTTTATCGCGCCGATTGTAGCTGATAGGGTTGGTGCAGTGACTTCCTTAAGATGTTCTGCCCGAAGCTTTCCGATACCATGGTGGTGACTCAGTGACCCGCCATGCTTGAGGATTTCGTCTCGTGCCGCCTTCTCCAACTCAGAAAACACCTCACTCGCATTGTTTACACCTTCAAAACTGAAACAAAGGTAAAAGTACACACATACACCCTCGTGATACAGCTGCGTCACACGACTGCCAACAAATGGCAAGCCTGGTAAAAGACGTAATTGATGTTCTTGTAGAATCCGATTCTTTGTTTCACGAATTAATGTGCCAACCCTTGACCATGGAACGAAAGTTTCAAACGATTCAGCCAGCAAATGATAGGTCATCGCAAAGTCTCGTAAATATGCTATCATAAAAGTGAGATCGTAACCAGCCTTTCCAATCTCGGATCCCAACGTCATCCCATCGTGAGCTGCTGATACTTCTCGCATCATTTTCTTTTGAAGATTCACTTCGGAGGCAGTACCTTCATAGCTAATAGTTGCGCAGACAACCGAGGAAAAATCATATCCTTTGTGCATCGATGATGCAAGCTGGATAATCACTTTTTGCAGGCGGGCTTTTATCGATCCGTCAGCTGGTCGTAGTGCCTGTCCTAATCTGAAATGAGCGTTATCCAGGAGTCGGACACTTACAGGCTTGTGAGCTCCGAGTCTTTCAACAGCACGCATGAAATGTAGACCTTCTTCAAAGTTTCTTAGGATGACACTGTCATGTTCGCGGACTTCTGGGAGCGGCCATATTCTGATCACTGCACTGACGATGATTCCCAGGCATCCTTCGGAGCCAATCATGAGCGAACAAAGGTCGAAGCCTTCGGCTACCCGGCCATGTGCAGTCTTACCAGATTCATCTCCATTCCACAGCTTACCGTTGATTCCAACGACGCGAACAGATTTGACGATATCCTCAATGTTGCCATAGCGATTCCTTTTCATTCCACTGGCCTTCGTCGCAATCCAACCGCCCAACGTACTGAACTCGAAGCTGTCTGGTTCGTGACCCATCGTCCATCCTCTGCGACTAAGTTCTTCTCCAAGCTCCCTCCCTGTGATTCCAGCCTCCACATTCGCAATACCATCCTCTTCGTTCACCCAAAGGATCTTCTGCATTTTCTTCATGTCCACTGAAATTATTGGCCGTGACTCAACATCGGTTGTCGGGCACCTCGTAGCACTAGAAACGTTTGTTCCTCCACCAAACGGAATGAGGCAGTATCCCAGACGTCTTGAGATTGCAACGAGCCTGTCAACATCGATTTCGCTTTGGGGCCAAATCACCGCATCAGGAATTCGAAACGACCCTCCCGTTCGGATCAAGTAGATATCTTCTTGTGAATGACCTGATCCATGTCGAACCCGTTCTATCGTCGCAAAAGAAATGTAGCTGAATTCCTCAGCAAGGTTCTGCTTTTGCGCCACGGTGAATTTGCTGTCATACGGCGTTTGCCAAACGATAGAATTTGAACTAAATTCGTTGAGAGTTGCCATCCGTATCCGCATTTCTGATTCCATAAAAGGCAATATATTTGGCAATTGCTTTCCACAGAGACCATACCTCTTTCCTTTCATAGAAACGTAGCTTTGTCTATCCCCGTCACTTTTCAACACAAAGCCGCTGTCGTGGAAGCCCCAAAAGCCCAGATTTTCCATACTGTCACTCAAGCAGTAAGATTGCAATGACTCGGGGAGCGGGGAAGTCTTACGTTCGCCTCGGGTGAAAGCTATCTGCCTCATGGATATCGACGCCCAAACAAACAGTAGAGGTAACTTTTCATCGTTCAATGATGTTGCGATCTGCAAGATGTAATTTTCGTTGGGGTGTTGATATCCACGCCGATCTATCTCTAGAATCGTTTTATCGACAAGTTTATCACTCGCAATAAAGTATTTCCGAAAGATGTCATAAACCGGTCGAACCTTTTGTGACATCTGGCTCGGTCTATCGTTTTCTGATACGATATAATTTAGCCACACAGCCCACATTTTGTGCTCATCAATGAAAAGAGGAGCCAAGAGGTGGCTGCATTGCAAAACAACAGAACATAGAGTCGATTCGTCACTGGGTAGGTGTGGGGTGTTGCATTGGAAGCGTTCATCGTCTACTACGGGCCAGAAAGTGCAACCAAGTTGTTCCAACGCCTCGCGGGCTTTCGACTTGTCAACCATACAAATGCTTGCAGTTGCACTCACATGGTAGTCGGAAATATGAATTTGTGATTGCTGTGCGAGTTGTACTTGCGTCACAAGTGTTCTATAGTCTGCTGGTTGTTGGCATTTCATAGGAATCGGGATTCCTGCAGCAATATGAACTTTTCCAACAGACACATTTCCCTTCAACACATCCTTGGAAGAGAGAAGTATATTGTGAGTACAGGGCAAACCACATATAGCAATGGATCTTTAGGAATCTTCCGTTTACCTGAAGCCAAAGAAATAACCCAGAAAGACTCAACGGTTGGCGAGGAGAACCTACTGCCTCATCCGATAGCCGGTTTTGCTCAGGAATCGCCTCGTAGTTCACTGTGATCGGAATGATAGTGTGGCTGTTGCCAGACTCGGCGAGACTCTTCAAAACACCTGTTTTCCCTTGGATGAAACGGCGATCTCGGCTTCGCTTGCCTTCAAGAAATATCTCAATGCAACTGCCTGGTACCGATGAGTTCTGCTTCTTCAGAGTAGCCAGTTTAGTCGAAAGACCATCTTCTGGGCTTCCGTTTCCGCGCTGAATAAAGACAGCCCTCAAGTAGTAAGCAAGAATACCAATAAGGGGCAGCTGTTCAAACTCTGATGCAGCAATAATGAATGGAATATCCAGTCGCAGCTCTGGTATCGAAAAGAAAAGATAACTCAGCAGTAAGAAGTCAAAAAAGGAACGATGAGTTGGCGCCAAGATGATACAAGTGCCGTCTTCCTCAGCTGCACGAATGACTCCGCTGATTCGACGGAAGGACAACAAATCGACAGTTACCGCGTCAGAAACATGTCGAAGGATCTTTCTGAAGAGCATCCCTGTCAACCTCGTCAAATAGCTCCCTCGGGGTTGAGAGATAGCCCACAGAGAGTCCGAAAGCTTTGGCTGCAGTCGCCTTCCTCCGATAGGATAGCATTTGATGCTGCCAGTCGATAATCGCCTATTCTGCGTTCTTTTCTTTTCAGATTTTTTTGTCCTTCTCGTCCGCAATGACAACAAGAAGCGATGTGCTGCAACACCACAACTGAACGCATACCGCTTCGCATCAAAATCATCTCCGGCAACAAGATCTGTCTGAAAGTGGAATGGTTCCTTCACGAACGGAAAGAAAAGCAACGGCAGCTCCAAGAACGGCGAGATCTTCCCTAGCCCTCCATCAGCGCAGTTCAACCAATTCAAAATAGAAACTAGTAATCGAATCGGTTGTTGGATGAAGCAGCCATGCAGTCGGTGATACAAGGAGGAGCTGGGTGGTTTAGATGGCATGACCTTCGCGGCAATGAACAAAGCAAACTGAGCGAGAGCTCGGCTGACCGAACCGGTGATAACCGCGAGATGACACTGTGCGACGCCAAAATCAAGCCAAGTGAACATTGTATCTCCTCTTGCACCACCTTGCATTGTTGCTGTCTTTATTTGCTGCCATGTTGCACTTGCCGAAGGTATGGACGATGTAGCGTCCGAAAAATCCGAGCACACCTCATTGATGTTGTCCACTTCTTGGAAACTACCACCGGTGCTGCTAGACGGATTCGATGTCGTGGAATTTTCATCGCCAAGTAGTTGGGGCGTCAAATACGCCTGAGACAAGATGAAACGACAAAGCACGTCCACTGGAATGTAGGGGACGCTGTGATTTGGCAAATGCCAAATATTCCAAGGCACGCTTAGGTATAGCATACTAGCAGCAACAAGCGTTGATGGCTTCCCTCCTGCCCATCCCTCAAACGGTGAAGTGACTGCTGGTCCAACGATGCTTGGTCGAATGATGAGAGTATTCAAATTGTTTCTCTCTAGGAGCAGGTGTTCACAAACACATTTACTGAAAGCATAAGTATTTGGAAACCCGAGCTCTGTCATAGCCTTGGTGGCATAAAATTGAGACCCAAGCATAGATCTGTAGATCTCCCTTGCATCATACGGATCGAGTGGGAATAAATCCTCCTTCAGTGGAGAAGAAATCGAACCTTTTTTGTTGCCATGTATGAATGCTGTGCTGATGTGGACAAATTGAACGTCCCCTCGCTTGAGTTTGGAAGCCATTGAGTGCATAGTCAGAGTAGAAGAGATAATGGACTTCGCTGCGTCCGGCAGTTCCTGTGTGAAGCTGACTGCCGCAGCAGCGTGGAAGACATGGGAGATTGCATCATCTTGCACTATTCGAGAAAGATCAGTTTTCGAGAGTCCAATCGATGGCTGTGTTACATCTCCTTCGACGACTTCTACGAGCCGGTCTTTCTCGTCGTCGGATACGAAGTTGAACATGGGCTTGGCAAGTAAAGAAGCAATCCTTTCTTTTGCAGAGACGCTTCCTCTACTGCGGCAAACCAAGATGACACCACCTGTCATTGACAACTGTTTTCGATGAAACAAGAGGTCTCGCAAAAGAAGCGACCCCACAAAGCCAGTGGCACCAGTGAGCAATGCTTTGCGTTCTTCGCCTCGGTTGTGAGAAACATTTGGCAGTCGCAGGACTTCGTTTTTCGCCAGCATGCCTTCACCCTGATGCTTTTCTGTCTCAGTTTGAAGTAACTCATCACATGTTGCAGCCTCAATCATATCGAAATGCTGGAACCAGCTCTCGTGGTGAAGATACAGCTTTGCTATCCGACTCCTCAGCAAATGAAAGAACAACGTCATGATGCCAAAGCAGCCAGATATGCATAAAAATACAAGTGTTCCAAATGATTGTAGGAAGTGAACTGTTTTCCATCCAAGATATTTCCAAGAGACAGACAAAATTACTGCTAAGCATGTCATTGCCCAATTAATCGTCAACGTTGAAGACAACCTTGGGCTCGTCCGCTGAAGAGACGGATCTTTGGCTCCCGCCAAAAGACATTGTAGCGAAGCCACAAGCCTTTTGGTACAATGGACCGGTATGAGCTGACTCGAAATTGGTAGATATAGCACCTGGTCCATCAATCGTGCTGCTCGAGGACACAAATGGTTGTCGCCGTGAAACTTTGAAACATGGCACAGTTGCGACGCCCAACTAACCACGTCGAAACCCCGACTTCGAAGCTCTGAACTGACATATTCTCGATTGTCATAGAATACAGGGAATGCCCAGTACGTATGTAGAAACGTGGGAGGATTGGGTAGCATGATTTGCTGGCAGTCTTTGCGCAGCTCGGTGTCAAGCATAGTGCACCTAGCCAATCTCTCGGCAACTAAGGGAGCTATCCCCGTCGATTGTTTGAAGCGTCTTAAGAGCAGTGCCAATAGCGCGGGTGAAGGTTGTTTCCGTATCTGCTGCCGCATGATTGCTTCTCGGACTCTGTCACCATTTAATGAAATTGATGTGTTGGAGACCGGGAATCCGCGAATCGCCCGTGTCACGAAGTTGTTGTAGTCTATCCCGAAAAAGGAACAGCAGGAAACGAGAAACCCAAAGAGATGGGGTGATATTGCTACGGCATTTAGAGCAAGAGAAAGCACAACTCGTTTGAAGTATTCAATCGTACTTTGCCGCCGGCAGAGCGAATGTTGGAGTCGCTGAATCTGTTGTGCAACACCTTTCTTGCGAATGATTGCAATGCCACCTCCCAGTGCAGTTGCCGTCTTGATCATCCCAAACGAAAAAAAGCGAACATCCGCGTCTTTACTTCCCAGGTAGCATCTTTCTCCGAATCCAGTGAAGCACTCTGCACAATCCTCCCAAAGTTCCACGTTGTGCTTGGCTGCAAGAATACGCAACTTCTCGATCTGATCGAGAGATGTCGAAATCATTCCAAAGGGATGGACAATCATGATTGCCACAGTCTTCTCTGTTACTGCTTGTTCAATACCCTCGCCGTTCCACCAGGTGGATTCACCAATGTCCACTGGAACAAGCTTCAAATTATGCCATTTTGCAACATGTATCATTCCGGGAACAGTTATTGGGGGAAATACTACCACCTCGGCATTTGGTGGGTACTGCTTGGAACTTAAATATAAATCAAACAGGGATCTGACCGAGAAACCAACTGCCACTTCGTATCCTGTTGAGTTTTTCCATATATCTTGAATCTCTTTGACCATTACACTACACCTTCCCTGAAGTCCTCTCCACCTCAAGCAGTGATAAAGTGCAAAGAAGAGATCCAAAAATGAAACATCCAACTTCCCCCGAGGTATCATCGCACGAATTCCGATCAGCCGTAGCGAAGAGGAAAATATTGAAACAAGGAGGTCGAGAGTAGTAGACAGAAGGTTCTTGGGTGTGTAGGATTGCGAGTCCATCTTAGTTCTGTCCATGCCCGGTATCCGTGACGCATCTTCACTTTTCAGCGACGATGAATAATTATCCTCTGCAGTTTCCGACGAAGATCCAATTTCGGACATGTCCTGCTGTTTACGGAAATCATCCAGTAGAGCTGTGCACCTAGCACCAAGATCGTCGTTCCGGGACGCCAGCAGTCGAACATACTTTTCCATCGCTTCCTTTTTTGTGTATGACTGACAGGCTTCCCATGCTTGGTATTTTGTTCGAGCTTTTAGCTGGTAGACGGGAGGAAGTGCATCTCCTGGGCATGGACCCGTTGTGGCATGTTTATAGAGACCATATAAACTTAGTTTTTCGTCCGTAGACGTCGTTTCGCCATTGGATGGGTCACTATTACGAACCAATGCCGAAACAGTTAGGAAAATTTCTTCCATTGAGATTGACTGATTTCCACTTTCTGACGAGATGCGAGTTGTTAGTGTCGTGATGTAGTGCTACGTTGGGAGTTGTTTTTATGCCGCATTCTGTTGCTCTCAGTTTCCAGTTTTTGGGTTTGTTTGATCAATCCGAATGAATTTTTCAAAAGGAACACAACCTACCGCCAACCATCAACCATCACCCACCCATCAACGGCCAGCCATCAGCCTCATGAAGATGCTTAATCAGGCTACACCAGTAGGCAAGACTGCTTTCGATTCAGTACAAGCCAAACAATCAGCAATCTTAGCAGGCTACGATGTCACAGCAGGAGGAAAGTACAAAGAATTTCTTTCGAAAGTAACATTTGATTGGAAGATGAAGAGACAAACACCTTTGGTGAATGCTGGGTATGCAGCTCGCGTCCAAGCGATCTCCCAGTCAATCAGCTCTTATGTGGAGTTTCATAAATTCAGGCAGTCAGACTCTATTCAACTAGTGTTGCTCGGCTGTGGAGCAGATGTTGTCGGGTTGTGGTCTCATTCACTTGACCCACAAAGAGTAGTAGTGTTGGAAGTTGACACGCCTGAAATCTGCTTATCAAAGAGCGAAATCTTGACGCGACAAGAGCTAGTGACCGGAAAGCGAGAGGATTCTGGTAAATTAGTTGGTACCATCCAATCGAGTAGCGATCGCAACAATTATTTCCTCTGCCCGGTCGATCTTAGAGATATTGTCAGACTGGAAGCTGTTGTTGAAGAACACTTGGACGTGAAAGTTCCGACCTTTGTCATTACTGAGCTGGTTCTCTCTTACCTCAGCCCTCGAGAAACGGATTCGTTGCTGCGCTGGTGTTCATCAAATTTGTGCTCAGCACCAAACAGTTGTTTTGTCGCACTCGAACCAATGGGATGTGCCCAAGGTTTGAATGTGTTGGGGCCAACGGAAGGGTACAGGAGGCAATATACCGATTTATTCGGGGGGAAGATGGAACGAGGGCTTTCGTCGAAAGAGGACAAAATCGGAGGACCCTCCTATTTTCCGTTGGGGACTTCGTGCAGCGATATAAGAACAAGGTTCCAGACACTTGGCTACCAAGCCTTTGTTGCAGACTTGGGAACGATAGCCACATATGCCACACCACCAGGACAGTTCAATGCTCCTGAAATTTTTGACGAGCATGCCGCTCTGGCACTTTACCTCAAGTCCTATGTTGTTGCAATCGGATTCTCACCGCAATCAGAAGGATTTATGCAAAGGCTTGTTTGTCCCTGGCAATTTGAAACCGAGATTCCACCCCACATTTCTGATTCTGTTGGCATCGCTGTCATTGAACGTGGCCACGAAGAAAGCGTGAGAAATCTAGTGCTACAAGTCTACGAGGAAAATTTTGAAGAATATCCAGTAGTTAAGAAAATGGTCTCGCGCATGATGAACACGGATCTAGCTAAATCCGAAGGAGAAGAGGGTGAAGCAACCATTGCCTCTCGGTATGCCGATCGAGGTGGAATATTTCTAGTTGCAGTTCAGTATAATGGTGCCAATAGCGAGCGACACGTTGTCGGTTGTGTTGGAGTTCGCCGTTGGGGGCAAAACTCAAAGTCGGCAACATTGGAAGTAGTTAGACTGGCGGTGAAGGCGTCGTGTCGTGGAAAAGGGATCGGACGACGACTGCTCCAAATGGTGGAAAAATTCGCGATAGAGAACTATGAACCACCGATAACGTTGATTGCACAAACAATTTCCATTCTGGACGAAGCAAAGCGCTTGTATGATGCAATGGGCTATGAATTGGAAAAGGAGTCGGAATTAGGAGGAAACTTGAGCATGTTGACGTACAATAAAATGCTACGGTCAACGTGATTGAGTGCCTAGTACCACTATTCCGAACACATTACAACAATAGAATGTACTTTATGCCAGGATACGATTTGCTTCACTTGTTTAACAATTTAGGCAAGTGTCTCATCCATGAACTTCTTGAAAGCGTCAACAGTGCGGACTTCAGATTCGTACTTGACAGCAGTTCCGTCAGGTTTGATGACGTTGACGGTGGGGAAGGACTTGGTGTTCAAGTTTTCTTGGACGAAATCTCTCTCTTCATCACCACGGAAGCTGTAGATATCAACGTCGCCACCGACTTCCTCGGCGAACTTTTCGAATTCTTCTTCCATCTTTTGGGAGAATTGGCACCAAGGAGCGTAGACAACCATGACAGATGGCTTTCCAGAACTTTTCACTTCGATGGCAGCATCAGTGGTCTCAAGCTTCTTGACCTTTGAGCTATCGGTCTCCCACAAATCACGGTCCCAAGTCTTCTCAGCACCATCAACGTGGATACCGCATTCGGTCTTGGTGGAACCATCAGCGTTGGCCAAACCGACGAAACGTCCCTTACGCTCAGAGGCATAGTCGAGCCATGCGGTCTTGTCTCCCTCGAACTTGAGGTCAACGAACTTGGTGGATCCGTCTTCTGGGATTGGGATGGTGTCCTTGGCATCACCAATAGATGGGTATCCCTTGGCGTGCAATGGGTGGTGGGGAACGTTGTACTTGGCGATGTAGTCGAAAGTATCTTCCAAAGTCCAGTAGGCGATTGGGTTGCACTTGGCAAGTCCTCCACCAATGGGGGCGTTTTCGAATTGATCGATCCAAGCACGTTCGAATCCTTGCCATCTGGTGCGTCCGTTGATCATGCAGTTGGTGTTGAGAGTCTTGAGTCCTCTTTGGAAGGGTTCGACCTTGCAAACACGGTCGTATTCTTCGATGTTCTCCTTCCAGAGATCGGCTCCGTAACGCTTGTCGTAAGCAGCCTTGTCTCCAACTGGGATTCCCTCAGCACAGAAAACTTCGGCTTTGAACTTGTAGAACTCTTCGATTTCCTTCAAGAATTCCATGGTTTCAGGGAAAAGGTGGAAGGTATCAACAACCATGACCTTGCACTTTCCGTCCTCGAGGTAACCAAGGCGGTGCAAAAGGTGGGTGATAACGACATCACCAGCAATCATAGCATTGGGAAAGACAGCTCCTTCGTAGTTCTCGCAAGCGATCTTAAGAGCAAACATGGCTTGTTCCTCCAAATGCTTCAATCGCATTTCCTTGGATTCAGCAATGAATTGTTCTTGGTCGAATTGCTCTTCGGCCATGTTCAAGCCAGATGACTTGAAGGAGATGGGACTGGGCGCGAAGGCCGAGGCAGTAGCAGCCATGGCTGCGGCAAGAACGAAAGAAAGCTTCATGTTGTCGTTTCACGAATTTGTGCGGCCTGTAAATGACGAAAGATATTTTATTGGCGTCGAATGAGGGAATGAATCTACGTACGTCAAGTGGCGGAGAAAGAGGTCTTTTTTTGGAGTGTCATCTTTCTTTTTTGTAGTTTTATTCATTCTGATTTGATACCAAAACCTTGTAAAAACAGAATTCTCGTTCGCGTGGTGAGGGAAGAGGTCTATTGATTGGACGAGAGGTCGTAATGTCTGCTTCCTTTTCGCGCCGCATGCTAAAAAGTCCAATAAAAACTTTTATTCATTACAGATTTAAAAAATGATGAAAATATCTTTTTTCCCAAATTCTTTTTCATAATTGTCTTACCCAAAACACTCACGCTTCCTCCCTCGTAGTCGTACCTGTTCCAATCTCTGAAGAGTGCTGTGGGAATGCTTTTTCGTCTGGACAGCAGCAACCTCCTCATATATTTTCAAAACGTTGTCAAAGAAATCTTCAGGCAATTCTGGATGAGTTGACTGTAGTGCTCGTTCTAGCACATATAGATCCACTGCTTGTTCCTCGACACTTGACGTAGACTTCGCCAAGCCAAAATCAATGAGAATTAACTCTTGACCTTCCATCAGCACATTGGATGTAGTGAGGTCGCCATGAATTACTCCTAGATTGTGTAAACGAGCAATCAACGTGCCGAGGTTCTGAAACAAATTTTTGTAGTCGACTTCAGTGCTGTCGGAAATTACAGCATCTCGAAGATACTGTTTGAGTGTGGGACCATCCAAGCATTCCATGTATAATATATTTCGTTCCACTCGAATAACCTTTGGAACTCTTATTTCCGACTTCTTTGCGCATTTCTCAAGCACTCTAGCTTCCGATCGTGTCCGGCTTTTAATCAATCGTTCGTCTAGGTCAGGATGCCGATATGATTTTGGGAACCTTTCCTTGCATATTAAGGAATCGTTGTTGTCGAACGGAGGAACCTTCCATATCCTTGCTTCAGCTCCTTGTGTAATCAGAGTCCATTGATCCCTTGGCGGTGGAGCGAAACTTCGCTCCTTTGATTCCGTCTTTGCTTCTGTAGATTCCATAGGAGTTCGACGCCTGTTACAATTCGGGTTGGTCAGCTGACAAATCGATTGTGCTTGATTGATAATTCTTGATTGATTGATTGATTGATTACTTGACGTAGTCAATCTGCTTTTACGAAATTATGTTTTCAGTTTGTTGAGTGTTGTTGTCCCCCTTTTTTGCATGAAATCCTACATTCTTTTGTCATCGCCTCCCCCCAATTGTATCTTTGCCTTCATTCACTGTTCAATGACGGACGACATCCACATACCGGTATCTGTGAATTTGAAATTCGGGTTCAAAACCAAGGCAGAAAGCATGTCACTCCATCAAGTCTCGAGAACCATGACGAAACCAATAATACTCGGAATTGCTGGAGGAACTGGAGCAGGGAAAACCACACTTGCAAAAGCAGGTAAAGATCACGATATCTTGCGAAGTAAAGCATTGCGATTCGATTGTTCTGACCTCTCTGGTTTCTCGTGACACATATAGTCTTTCGAGCTGTTGGAGGATCCAAAAATGCGGTCTATTTGACTCACGATCACTATTACCGAGACATTTCTCATAAGACGATGGAGGAGCGCTCGAAGACAAACTTTGATCATCCGGATAGCTTGGAGACTGACATGCTGGTAAAGCATGTGCAACAGTTGAAGAGGGGACACACTGCCGAATTGCCAAATTATGATTTTTCGACCCACTGTCGAACAGCTGTGAAGACTCTTGTTCATCCAAAAAGCGTCATCATTGTGGAAGGTATTCTTTTGTTCACAAGTTTAGAGCTGTGCAATGAAATGGACATGAAAATTTTTGTGGTACGACTTGTGTTGGATCATGTACAACAAACGATCGCTCACAAAACTCTCACAACTCGGTTTTCCCAATCAGGATGCTGACAATGATACCAGAGTGCTAAGACGGATAGGTCGTGATACTGTTGAACGGGGTAGAACACTGGAATCCATCATGACTCAATATACGCGGCATGTGAAACCGATGCATGGACAGTGGGTGGAACCATCGAAAACAAGAGCGTAAGCAATGCACTTTACTTGTTTTTTCTTCACCTTGTGTCCTTGGCCGTGTACCTTACACATTCTTCTTGTGCGTTCTGCTTTAGTGATATCATTGTGAATTCGGAAACAGGACACAGCTTAGATATTGCCATAAAAATGATATCCGATCACCTTCTGGTGGCAAGTGGAATCTTGAGGAATGATACTGCCAAGGGTGAAGATAATGAGCAAAATGAAGCAAAGGACGCCATCGAGTAATGCTACTCTTTTTGAACGTTGAGACCAGTCGTTTTGATGTTATGATACTTGATATCGTTCCATTAGTTGCTGTATCGAGTACACTGCACCAAAGTCGCTGCCTTCATTTTTGGCATTGGATTGCGACTCTTCTTCTGTCACTGTAAAGAATTTGGAAATATTGTTATTACTCGTCTCTGTTTGTATACATGGATAAGGAGGTGGTTGAGCGTTCCATTCCTTCGTTTCTGGATTAATCATATGGGATCGGTCACTAGCGAAGGATTTCAGGAAGAAGGACGCTTCTATAACTCTGCAAACGAGCAGGGGAAGTGTTGGGGATTAGAAGATATGACGCTCCCTCGAGAGTCTGAGCACAGCACTTACCGAAAGTATGGAAGATAAGTTTGTGTCCATTCGTTCCAATTTGGAAAGACAGCTTTCAGGTAGTCTTTGAGGGAGAGTTTGTACTGCAAATGACTATCTATATCGAGTACTTTTGTTCCATCTTTCAATGTCTCAAGTAAAATGACATGGTAATCCCAAAATACCGGCTCTAATGGACTGGAATTTGCGAGTTGTTGAAACATTGGGACGCATTTTGTTGGATTCGATACGAAAACAACATGATATTGGTGCTCTTCCTTGTTTCCCTCCTGGTGCGTCATGCGATGAGCCAATCTCCACACATTTTCCTCGCAATAGCAAGGTACTCTCAGATCATGATCACTGTCGGCTTCCACTGCTGTCCGAGCTGCTTCCATCTTCCCTATCGTCAACTTTGAAAATGTTAGACGAAATTCAAAGGGATTCATTCGACTATCGCGACTCAAGTTATTCGGGCAGGTCGATCAGAACAGTTTCTTCGAAACTTGCGCTTTTGCGAAGGAAGCCCGCAAGAAAATGCATTCACGCTATCAAGGACGAAAACAAGACCCACCTCATCAACATCCCAAATCCACGCTCTCCCTTTCCAAAACACCATCTAACGCTTCCAAACCATGCACATTTAAGCAAGATGGCTTCTATACCGTCCAGTACTTTATCTCAGTCGATTACAATTCGAGTCCTTGCGGCAAGCACAGGTGTATGCTATAGAATCTCGCTGCACCCGTCACAGCTCGCGTAAGTATGCAGGTTTCAAGTTTTGCATTTTCCCCAAGTCTAGTACATCTCTGTGAGGTTCAGAAGAACTGGTTGGGCAGGGATTTTGCGAAGCGTCGGTATTATGGTTGACTTGCAGCAATCCAGCATTGCTAACTGATTTTTGCATTTTTGTTCTTTTCTTCTTTGGATCATCACAGTGTTGCTACGATTCGGGGTCACCTAGCCGCAGCTGTCCCTACGTCAGACCAGATTCTACTGCTTGGACCCCCTTACAAAGTCCCCAGAGACTCAACATTACAATCAGAAGAAGTGCTCAATTCGCTTCGGCTCGGAGATCAAGAAGATGAACAGCTTCCTCCTCCACCTACCAACGCAGAACAAGCAAAATCGCAATTTCGATCATTTTTATCGACAACAGAACGCACCGGAGCTCGTCGTCTATTCTTATTTTCGAAGCAGGCACTATCAGAAAATGCTCCGGATCCAATACCTTGCAATTTGGGTCCCGTAGATTTGATCCTTCCGGCGGAACCACCAGGATCTTCTCCCCTGGATATGACGCAGTCGACGATTGCAGCACAACCAATGCACCAAGCACTTGCTGCGTACGAGCGACAATTCATGCTCTACTTGTGTCAGGGACGAGTTCTAGCAGATGGTGCTGATATGAGATTGCAGTCGTGTCTTCAATGTGTGCAAGAACAAGCCGTCATTGCTAGAGCGCTTCGTGCTGCTGTTTCGAACCATTCGGATCATTTCAATGGGGCGGCGAGAACACGCTCTGAGTTCATGTCTGTGTTTCAAGCGAAAACTTCAGGCCACGCGACCTTGCTACAAAATTTTGACTCAATCTTGACGGAACTTGGTTCTGTTTCCTTGAATTCTGCACTGGTTGCTATCGCACGAGGATCTGGGCGAATAATGGAGACTTTGCTCGATACAGTTCCCGTCGAACGCGAGAAAGCATGGGCCCAGCAGTGCCAAACATCACATGATAGGCTGATTACTTTGTTCACAGAACTAGACACTGCCTTTTCCCAACTTGGATCCCCGTCCTCTCGTGAAGACGAGACACGTCAAGACCTAGAGGCAGAGCAAGCTGTCCAAACACTGGGAAATGAGATTCAAGAAGTCGCGAGAAAGATCCGTGATCGCCAAGCACAGCGAGTGGAAAGGTTGACTGGTGACCATGGAAAGGTTGTCAAAATCATCATGGATGCTATAAATGCAGAGGCCCAAGAAGGAAAAGAAGATGAGGTGCAGAAGGCATTTACTCCTTTGAGGCAACTCGCAAACGATTCAAAGGATATAATCCCAGAAATGATGGAAGATGACAAAGTGATGAAGGAATTGCTTCTAAAAGTGGCGGCCGCGAAAACTAATGCAATGAAGCGAATGAAAGTGAGACTACGAGAAGTCAGCGTTGCACAGTCGTCAATTCAGCGCGTACTTTCTAGCGTTGGAGTGCTTAAATCTGCGTTGTCGCAGCAATCTGACAACATGTTGCATCTTGAACATGTAGCGGAGCTATCTACTTCATACAGGGACTTTCTGGCCGAACTTCGACGGAGAAAAGCCTACTGCCAGGCTGTCTCGTCCAATTCCTCCGCAATGATGGAGCGGCTAGCAGTAATGAGGTCCGATGAAGTGAAAGCGCGCGAAAAGTTTCTAAGAGGGCCTGGACGGCACCTAATGCCACCGTTCTTTGAGATTTTTGTTCCAACACTGGCAACCCCGCCCCCCCTTTTCACTCCTCAAATGCCATCATTGGTTGAAATGGATACTTTGCCTGATGTTGGCCCGGCGGAGGTGACAAACACAATGATCCAGGGTGCGGCTGATACAGGTGTGAGTAGTGCATCCACGCTGACAACCGAGAGTCAGGCAGTACAGGCTACCAAGGTGTCTGTTGGGGAAGGAATCGACGAATCAATGGCATTGGCACAACGACAGGATCAGGTGATAGTCAGTGCTGCCAACTCTGGCAACGGAGATGTAATCATGGATTCCGCGCTTCCAGACACGGAGACTGCCGACCTGAAGACGTTGGCATATGAAAACGCTGTGCTGCGCCAAGCTTTGGAAAGAATGGGCAGCAAAGCTCCCCAGTCATACATCGAAGAGGCAAAAGTAGAAAGTGCTGAGGCAGCAAAGATAGCTGCTCTGGAACAAGAGCTTGAAAGGCTGAAAGTCGGAAAGAAAACAGTCGAAAGTGAGCTCGCTGCAACAAAAAGTGCTAAACCAGTCGGCGACAGCAGTGACAAGATTAGCCATTCGAGTTTTGATATTGGGGATGTCGGTCTCTTCATGCCAACTGGACGAGGATCAGGAAACAAACGAATCTACCTTGCATTCCACACCAATTGCCCCCACCGATACCTCTCTACAGACAACATTAAGGGCAATCCCGATTTTGTTTTGGGTCGTATAGTGTACCAAGAGGAGCTTGTTGCTGGAGGTATGGGCACTGATGCTAACCCGTACGGTCTCCACGTGGGAACGCAGTTTTGGGTGCTGACTGTAGAAGTTCTGAAGTCGTCTCCAAAATAGAGAAATTACTTTCATCTCTGAATATATAAACCAATAATAGATTTCCTGAACATCATGTTGCTTGTAATTTACAGCTGGCAATTGAACCGGGTTGTCGCGCGCCATTGCTCTAAAAACCGTTTTTAACACTCTAGCGAGAAGCAAAGCCAAGATTCGATGAAAATCATTGGTCCTTTGAGGCGACAACAAAATCCCTCCGCCACTTGAAACAGTCAATAGCAGTTTTGAATCAAACTCCATTCCAAGTACTGATTGGCCAGTAATTGCAGGTTTGACTTGGCTTTGCCGTAAGCCTCGTGCTGTTTCACCGAATTTAGAATTCGCAACGGGACGAAAACAGTTCGTTTCTTGGCAGACCGTGAAACAAAATAGATTATGTCACAGCAAAATGATGCTGCAACATCACCATTTCGGCGATCATTGAACCGGATACGGAGAAGACGGCCGAGGTAAGTGTCGAATTGACGAGAAGCTAAAATGCTTTGCAGCCCAGCCTGTCTCTTTTAAAAGTCTGGTTGCATTTTACTCAAAACCTGCAGATCTGCGCCTCCAGGACCACGGGTACTACTACTTGAACATCACTATCAATTTGACAAAGAACGAAAAGAGATTTTGCCCGGTGTAAAGAAGCACGACGACGATTTTGCCAGAGATAGTCACGACTTTTTCAATCTCATCGTATTGATTCCCATAATTGGTCAGTACTATTGACTGACTCTTGGTTCTGATTTTTGTTGCATTTCCTTCATTCTGACGATGTTCCTCCCTGAATCTTGATACTGAAGCCCTCAATTGCATGAACTGGAACTGGGATAAGATTTTCAGACATGTTAGTGGTGCGGCAAAGAAGAAGGAAAAGCTTTTGGATTCTTGGACAGGAGAGTGGTTTGATGCCTTTCTCTTTGCAACTACGCTCTACTTCCTTATAGATCTGATATGGATCTTGATTGTTCCGAAATGCGTTAAGAGCCCTTCAACAATTGTGCAACATCACATTTTTACCATGATGTATATCCTGATTCCATATTATCAGCTTGACAAACGATGGGCAATGGGTGCATGTATGAGTTCAGAGGTGAGTTTTGGAAGAGAATCTTCTACTGTAGTTCGGTTTTTGACTAGTTCCCACTGAATTCTTTCGTAGATCAACACATGGTTCTTGATAGCAAGAAGAGTCTTTAACAAAGAGGGGTTTCCACCGTGGATAATTGATTTGAGCGTCGTTTCCATCAGGATCAAGCTAATATCGATCTTGTTCTATATAACATGGATTGGTATACGATGCGTCCTATTTCCGGCAATCCTTGTTTATTTATTCAAACTATGGATGACGGAATCCGAAAAGGTGGCTTCACTGTGGAACAAGGAAATGATACCTCCGTTGATGCAATCGATCTTCTGCATTTTCAATTTCAAGTGGACATTCGATCTAATTCGTTCCAAATTCCGGTACCATAGGAGAAAAGCGCGACATAGACGACAAGGCTCATCAACAAGAGCTTCATGACGCATAATGTATAAAAAGTCAGGACTGGCTAATGCAAATATTTAGCGTTTTGCTTTAAGTTTTTTCACAATCGTATTGTTGACTGTTTGCCACCTTTTGACTTCATCGCCCTTCCGTCTCAATTCCTCCTGTAGCCTTGCTATTTGATCATTTGCTTTTTGGAGCCTGTCTGAGTTTTCATGCTCTTTGGACATCTCCATCGGTATCGGTCTTCGCTTTCTACGTAGTGTTCTAGACTCGAGACGCTGTCGGCCAACATCACCCTTGCGTGGGCGGAGAAATGGTATTGCTGTTTGAGACAAGTCATCGCCGTCTGTGGAAATATTTTCTGGGTACTTTTGCAATGGAGGGAATAAGTCACTAACTCCCGACCGGCCTTTTGTGCCACTGTATGCCAGGGTCGAAAACATACCGGATGCTTCCGATTCAGCAGGTTGTTGCATGACGAGGATCGACGTTATTGGATGGTGCTGAGACTCCGATGATAACTTTTCTTGCGTCGCACTTTTTGCAGCATTCATCGCTGAATTGGACCAGGGGCGAATGGTATGCAGACTGGTTCTAGACTCGATGTCCCAAATACGAACTTCTCCCAGACGGTCACCACTAATTAAAAATTGCTTTGCATCATCCACGAAAACTGCGAGTGACGATACTGCGTGTTCATGTCCAGTCCATTCTGTTTGATACGCATTTAGTGACTCGCTATCATCTTGCATTTTTTTGCCGAAGATAGCTTCTTCGTTTACAAGGAATGCCTCTCGTTCCCTCCGTACACGTTTCGACAACCTTGCTCCTTGAGCTTCCGTCAAATTCATAGCATATGCATTCAAATCAATGGAATATATCGTGCCACGATCCGAGCCAGCGTACAATCTGCTGTCGTGATGACATAAGCTCTCTACTGGATTTGGAAGTTTGATTTTCGCCAGTGTTGCATTGGAGAACAATTCAACAATGGCAACGTGTCCATCCTTTGCTGCTGAAGCCACTCTGTCGCCATCTAACACCGCCAGGCAAGTTACTGGAAAATGATGAGCCGACCATGTCTGTAGCGGTACACTTGCTCGTTTTGACTTGCGCGAGTACGTATCCACAAGATCGACGAACGGGAATAGATGCAACATGCCATCGGCACCCCCTGTAATTACATACTTCCCACACTGACTGAACGACAAGCAAGTACAAGCCCGATAGTGCGCTTTGAACGTCTTTAAAAGTGTGCCACCAACAGCACTCCAGACGAAACAGGATCCAGAAGCACCCCCACCAATAATGTAATGCCCACATGGCGAGACAACCATACCACCTGTGAGTTCGGCCTCTGGCAACCGGCACTTCCAGTGCAGAATCGGAGACGAGGTTGACGATCGAATCGCTAGCATCATGGCATATGTATCGCTTTTCCTCGTTGAATTTCCTCCAAACGACAGGACTAGCCTGGAACTGGATGGATTGAACGATTCTGGGAATGGCGATAGCGACGACATTCCAAGAGCTGATTTTCCCGAAAGATCTGCACTTGCCCTTAAGGATGATAAGATGGAACCAGTCTGGGGACACAATACAGTTAGTGATCCTCCGCCTCCACTTGGTGTTACTGATGATGATGGCTTGGTTGTTGTGATACAAACTACTGATTTTGAAGATGACGACATCTTGGTACAGGTACATAGAAACTGTGATGGACAGCATTTTCAATTTTGGTTCATTTTTTGCGTTCATTGGTTCTCGAAATCGCGAACAACGGACGAACGTTCAGTGTTCAAAAAGAGAACCCCAAACCTTCTTGGTAACTTTCCTCTGGGAGCACTTCCACGTCGATCGATTCAATCTTACAACAAACTTGTTACTGTGAATAAGCTATTCTATTCATTCGTCAAAGCTTCATCGTCTTGCTTATCTTTGAGGAGAGGCGAAGTTTGGTGTTCCTGGTATGCTGTCATTCATTCCAAAATTGACATAGTCGGGTCGTTCGCAAGCTCGATATTCCTCAATGAGGGATTGTACCACTTCTCGGGAGTCATCGAACTCATCCAGGGACTCTTCAAACATGGCTTCTCTTCGATAGTTTTCTAGAAAGGCATTCCGTGATTTGATGCGATCGTATTGATTGAGCATCCGCTCAAACAGTTCGGCCATAGACGTATGGTTGGCGAGCATTAGTCCGCTGACCTTGTGCCTATGTGGCAAGTACGGTGATTTCCGTGCCAGAGCCACTTGAATACTGGCTGGTCCCCACGGAATGAACGGAATTTCGGCATGTCGTTTTTCTCGCATTCGTTGCAATGCTTTGTGGATTTGTGTTGGATCAATGTCGTTCCCCTGAATAATGTTGAGAATGGAGATATAGCAACCCGATCTGGACCGTGTATTGGCGGAAACCATGATATTCTTTGGTTGAGTCAATCGTCGCATGACATCCAAGACCGTAGTCTTGCGAATCCCTTGTTCAGAATCCATAGCACGAGATTTAGTAGATTCACCAATTAGAGTAAGTGGCGTGTATCCTGTCATGAGAAAATGACATCGCGGAGTAGGAATCAAAGATGATAAAAGTCCAATCCAATCGTTGTTCATGTATCCCGGATATCTGAGCGTGGTCGTGGAAGCTGCCATGATCGTGGCCACGAGACTGTTGATGTGATCGACTGTGGGGTTCTCCAGACATAGACGCTCCGTTGCAATTCGGTTCAGTGCAGTATTATCCAACACGACGGTGGCATCCGCATTGAGAGTCAATCGTTTGGTGGTCAAAAGTGAGTTGTATGGTTGTACCACCACGTCCGATTGATCCGTCCAACTTGGAAAGACAGAGTATGTCTGAATAAGTTTCTTTGGAAAGTGATCATTCAGCCGCTCCAATAGATAGGATCCCATACCACTCCCTGTTCCACCAGCAATGGAATGGCATAGTTTAAAGCCTTCCAAGGAGTCACTATTGTCCGATTCCCGATCAATCATATCCATAACTTGTTCGTAATGCTCTTCCCCTTGTCGATACCCCGACGCCCAGTTGTTTCCGGCACCACCTCCCTCTTGCGCTATAAACAAGTTTTCTGGATTGAATAACTTTCGATAAGGTCCTACATGAGCCAATTTGTTGACCACCCGAGGCTCCAAATCAATCAGCAATGCCCTTGGGATGTAATGATCATCATCACTCTGATAAAAGAAGACATCCTTACGATCATCTACGATTGGGGGTTTGCTAGCATTGTTGGCATTCCATTGACCCTTTCCACCCGATGCTGCTGCTGCAGCAGTAGAAGTGTATTCCCAAGGGTCTCGTAAAGTTCCTTCTGGTGTAATGCCATGCTCCAAGCAAAGCTGCTTCCAAAATTCTCCCCCGATTTGGTTTCCGCATTGCCCTACTTGTAGTGTGATGATTTCCCGAGGCATCTTTGTGTGTTTTTTGCTCTAGCTGGAATCGATTTGGTTGTGTCTTGGAGTGTTACTGCTACTGCTACTGCTACTTCCACTATTCTTGTTGCTACAGTACAGTACTGTTTTGTTGGTTTGTCGTCGAAAAAAATGACAGCTTTGATTTTTTTGGAGGTCTGCACTCGTCGCCTCGCCTCATCTTAAAATCTAATCTACACCGAAAAGGTCCTCCGATTAGTTCGATTACTAGAAATGCAAATGAAATTCATGACCAGATTATCGTCAAATTTTAAAAATATTCATGTTATCACATCGACGAAAAACACCTTTCCGTAAGCTAGAAGAGAGCAAAAATCATACGAAAACCGCCAGTGGTGGTTCTCACCGTAGTATATTCAGTCCAATGATGGAAACGACGACGGCATTGCCCAATCGGAGTCATGTAGAAGATGTGCCGTTACAATCAGAATCATCGATATGCTATTTATCCAAAAGCCACAGAAAGAAGAAGATACTGATACTAGTCTTGTTTGTGTCGTTGGGAATAGTGGGTATGATGGTATTGATAGTGAGTGAAAGCAAATCAGACGATTCGATGATAGAGGAACAAAGAGAAACCGGAACTGGAAAACAACTGACACAACAAGACGCTCCCAAAGATGCAACTGGCGACTCTATCCCCAAAGATGCAACCGACTCAATTCCAGGCAATTCAAATTTGACGAATCAGCAAGCTTACACCTATCGACCATTGGATCGCCCTATCCGCGTGGCTTGTGCGGGTGATAGCTTGACTCTGGGACGCATTGGGACGAATCCTGGAGAAGACTACCCTTCCATACTTCAGAATATGCTGGGCGACGCCTTTGAAACACATAACTATGGTGTTAATTCCGTCACTGCCATTCGAGGTTTAAACGCATCCTACAACAAGACTCAAGCCTTTCAAAATTCCATTGGTTTGGATGCTGATATCTACTTGCTCATGCTGGGGACCAATGATGCCAAATATTGGTCGCAACACAGTCACAAATTTGCTACAGATATGAAATCAACGATACAAGAAGCGACAGCGACACGGACAATATCAGCCTCCCGAATGCTATTAGCGATACCGCCATGGGTCAAGATGGACTACGGTGAAATCAAGAACGATATTTTACTCAATCATGTTCAACCAACGATACAAGAGGTTGCCTCAGCCCAACAGATACAATTGGTGGACATGTACGCGGTGACTTTCAATCGATTTGATTTTTACACTGGCGACAACTTGCATCTCAATGCCAAAGGATACATAGAGCTTTCTCAAGCTTGGCAGAAGGCGATCTTGTGCAACTACAATGGTGTATGCGAGACTGGGGAGAGTTGTGAAACATGTCCTCGGGACTGCCGCTTGAATTGTATATGAACTGCTGTTGCTGTTGCCCCTTCCGTTGTGCTCTTATTGGCACAGGTAGTGCTTTAGGTCCTATTTCATAGGTTCTAACATATTTTAAGATTATTTTAACAAGCAACAAATATTATAATAATAAAAGGAACAATATATTCTATTTTTTAAGTCAGCACAATTAGGGCGAGGTTATATGTAGTCTGGAAAGCTCTTCAATAGATGATCTGTCAATACCTCAGAACCCGCACCGGGGTGAAGCACCATCCATTTTTCTTGCTCCTCCATGACTTCGCGGAAAGTTGGACCATTTGGAAGACTTGGCAAGATCTTTTTGATTTCATTTCCACCTAGCAATGGTTTCTCTTCCCATATCCCAATCACACCTATTCGTTGCATAGCAGTAGCAAACGAGTCATATCGATCAATTTCACCTTTTCGCAATTCCTCATGAGCTTCATCCACCTGTTGTTTTATTGCAGAGAAGGAGGAGGAAAGGATAGCGCAATGTGAGTGTCTAGATATCTGTGGTCTCTAATCAGCACCGCGCCATCGGAACTTACAATATCGCCTTCTATAGCATATTCCATTTCACCTTCTAGTTGCTTGTTCATGTGTTCGGATAAAGACAGGAACAGAGCCGCTCGCCAAAGTGATCCGACCTTTTTGAGAATCTGGGTACATTGCAAACGAAACTCCATGGCGTGTTTCCATATGGGATCATCTTCTGTTGCGCTTTGCACTGGCTTTCCTTGCATCGAGCATTTAAATTTCGAATCACTGTTGTCGCTTGTTTCATCAGCATCTTCGATCCGAATATCGCAAAGCAACACCGAGACTGCAGAAAGGTCAACTCCAGCATTCATCAATTTGGTAAAGTCATTGGCCCCCTTCACAATTTTTTCAATCGCATCAGAATCCCGAGTGGGTCGTTTCAATTCGTCTACCAAAAGCCTGGAAATGGTGGATCGATTAGCTTTTCTGCCCTGTCGTTTGCTAACTTCAATCTCCTTAACTTTTCGCGCAGCGTCGTCAATAGGCTTCAAGAATGCAGCGTACCACAGCAACCTCCGTGCATAACCGTCCTCTCTCAGCGTCAACTCGGTGACGCCATGAGTGGTGTAGGATTTCTTGGATTGACACCAAATAGGTGGAGAATACTTGCAGTCGTCGAGGTGTTCGTGTGTGATAGTCAACAAGCTCAACCCCTCATCGAAAAGGTCATTGTTGGTGATTTTGATTCCATCTGAGCAGTTCTCTACTGGGTATACCGTTCGGACCAAATTCAAGTTAATCAATAATCGCATCGCTCCCACTGGGTCAGGAGACCTGAACATGAGATCAACCTCGCATCCGATGCGTTCTCTTGATACCTTTTCTGCCAACGATTCCCTCACGCGACTGTCCCTTGCTGCTTCTACCAGTGATTCATCCATGGTAAATCGCAATCGTGCAGCAAATCGAACGGATCGTAGCACACGAAGGGGATCATCTAGTAGTGTCGTCAAGGGTGCCAAAGGAGTGCCCACTATACCTCGCCTCAGATCATCAAATCCGCGGCCCGTCCAGTCCTCCACTTGGGCATTGTTTACATTGTAAAACAGAGAATTAATTGTCAAGTCTCGTCGAAAAGCATCTTCCGCTGGCGTTCCTATTCTCATCAAGTCAGGAATTCGGCTGTCTTGGGTATATTCTTCGGCACGAAGGTTGACAAAATCGATCCAAAAGGTTCCAACCTTCATAGTGGCAGTTTCCAGGTGCTTCGACTTTTCAGGATTCTTCAAGACGACCCCAACGCTGTGGGTTTCTTCTCCCACTTTTGCCAAGTATTCATTGAGGCGATCCGCAAACTCTCGACCCAACATATCATCTAATGCGATATCAATGTCCACCGGTTTTTGCCCCTCGTCGCTCGCCAGTACCTTGGTACCTTGACGCCCCATACTGGTGGCAACATATTTCGAAGTTAACCGTCCCTCTCTTATTTGAGTTCTTGTGAATTCCGGAGTGGCCAGCAGTTTATCGCGAACCCATCCTCCCGCCACTCGCAATGTTGTGGAAAGGTCGGTTTCTTTTCGTGCTCGTCTTAGCAGTTGAAACAACTGCCGTTCTTCGTCAGTCAGCTCAATGTAAGGTCCGTAACCTCGCTTTGGTTCAAATTCAAAATCGGGTAGCGATGTAGAAATCGACGGATTCTGATTGTCCTTGCTTGGTATTTTTTTCTCGCTTGCAGAGGAATCTTTTGCCAATACAGGATCTGTTCGGCGCACAGCCACGGCCTCTAGCATATCATTATTATACCACTCACTTCCATAGAATCGTAATTGCCGAGAATCCATCGCCTGTAATCGTACTCGTTGCTGATGTCCATGACGCCACAGCCGATTAGTGCCTCTGTGATGCAGCTGAAGTCCAGCGATGGTTCGCGCTGTAACCATCACAGTCATCGCTACTATGTGAATGGAACGGAAAATCATTTGATTCTGGTATTCTATGTATTCGTTTCGTGTGTAATGCTGCTGTTTACCGGTATGCTGGTGTTATTGCTGTTGTTGTTAATTCTAACTCTTCTTCTATCGATTGTCATTCAAAGATGATTTTGGAGTTGAGTTTGTTGGTGGTACCAGCACAGAATAAGAGAAGAATTGATCAATCAATCAGCATCCCCTCATTAATATTATTGAAGGGCGAGGATGCTTTCCAACGTTCGATCGATCCAAATCTAACGTCGTAGGTTTCTACATACGAAATCTAAAACATCCGGGTCGCTTCAACCCGAACCTGAAAAAGAATCAGAATCTGCTGGAAAACCCAAATTGGCGAACGCACTGACGTTCGAGAATTGACACATACAGTACAGCAGTACGGATTAGATTTTCATCTGCAATCCTCTCCTCAAAAGAAGACTGAGCCCATAGGTGCCAAAAGACCACCAATGATATAAAACTGAAGTTATAATATTGTTCGGTCTGCACTGTCGGTCTTGCCGTCGTTTTTTAAAATTGCGCACAAATATTGCTTTTGACACTGTGGTATTTTGTACCCGCTACGGTACGAACCGGTACATGGTACCGGTACTGTAGTTGCGCGCAAATCATATTTTTCACACTGATCATAGGTAGACAAACAGTACAGTACTATAGGAAGGTACGTATCAATAGCCTGACAATGTGATAAAACAAGAGCATTCCACATGTCTCTAGAGGCAATAAAAATAAAAAAGGGACTCAAAGCGTCATAAGACCACCACTCTAACCACTGAGTTACAGGAGCGTCTAGTCTGACATTGACTTGCAACGGGCAGACCTTTACTCCAGGTGGGGTTCGAACCCACGACCAGTGGCTTTCTCGTCGCTGGAGTCGCCATTTGTTGCGAATTTTTGGCATATAAACAGAGAATAGGCCCGCTCTCTCTAGGCCGAAAGAACTCGGAGGCTATAAAAAAAGATCTCGGACAAGGATAGAGCAATGTCGCTGCATGTTAATGCTGTGACAGCAGCAGCGATCAAGATTGAAGGTGCCAAGAAGAAAGTCGTGGCAGAAGGAGGAGACCACGAGGAACATGAAACTCCATTGGAAAATAGAAACGACCAACTTCTTGGTTCCATTCACGCCAGTGGAAAATGGAAGTAATAGTTGCAATAGTCATTCGAACATTATTGTCACTTACCATCATTGGAGGTGCCATTCACAATCGGTTAGTCTCCATGTGGTTTGGCATGTCCAGCAATGATAGCACCAACAGGCCTCAATTTCTGCTCTACTCCAACAGTCCAATACTTCCAGTAAACGGCTCAAACGCTCCCTTTTGACATTGCAGTGAAGTCAGTACCTTGACATATCTTCGCTATAGATGTCTTGGACTTGATTAGCAACAGTTAGCATCGAAACTGAATGTATTCATCAAACCGTGTGCAACTTACTTCTTTGGACATCATTTCTGTTCCACTACTCCAATACTTCTCGGAAATGATGCAACTAATCCCTTTATACCATGGGGCGATGGTGGTAGATTGTTGTTATCAGAGGTCAAACAATTCATGGGAAGTCAACCGTCAATTTCTTTGAGATGAAATGTCGACCATGACGTGATTGTGTCTACGCCAACGCGTCAATTATTCTTATGGAATCACCTCCAATTGCTCGCTTAAGTAGAACAGAGAACTGTGGCTTGTAATAGTATTGCTGCTTTTGGACTTCCCGAGAGACAGCAACACTCGGAATGGTTCTGTTCGGGTTGAGACGATAAAATTCAAAACATCAGGTCAGTTCTCATTGAATATTATAGATTCAATACTTCACACGATACCGACTCAATCCGACTACCAAAAATATTCTATCGCTAGGTACACGTATAAGTGTGATGATTGTTCACTTTATGGGTGTTGGGACATCGTAATTTGCAAGCCATCACCAAACTTCTCATGATCTTCAACTTCAAATTTTTGTTGTGTCTCGCGACCGTCCATCTGTCGCTCCTTCACTGGCAAAATAATGCGGCTGTGATTTCAATTATTTTCAACAATATTCAAGATAACCACCTTGTGATCTACCTACATTTGACCGGGTTCTTACAATTCAGAATTGTATTGTAACACATGGTATGATGAGTATTAGTGATGCACTGCTTCGCAATTTTGCTTCTCTCTGAGCTCACAGAATTCTTCCCTTCTCTCCCATTCAATACATCGACATGTAGATCTTCCTATCCTTCTTCAAAACCCTTGTTGGGAAGGAGATTGCGGTTGAACTCAAGAACGATGTTGTCATGACGGGGACATTGCACAGTGTCGATCAATATCTGAATATCAAACTATTGAATGTCAAGGTGGTCAATCCTGACAAATATCCTCAATTGGTTGCCTTGCAAAATTGTTTTGTTCGAGGAAGTGTGGTGCGATATATTCAAATCCCACCAGAGCATGTGGATACCGAATTGTTGCAGGATGCAGCCCGAAAGGAAAATGCACCGGCCAAATAGGCGGCTTTGAAGGAAGAAATCCGAAATAGGTCGTTTTGCGGATGAAATGGTCAAGAGTTTTGAACGCAAGTGATTGACTGGTCTTGGTTGTGCACATGGGGAGGTTTCTCGTTTCTTCGTTTGAAGAGAAAGGTAGAGTGAATTGCTACTTTCGAGGAAATTGACAATGGGGATGTTTGAATATACACCTACAAAGCTCAGCAATAGAAGAATAATGCTATTTTGGCAATAAATCTGATTTCAATGTTAGTCAATCACTCTGCTAGATAGAAGCATTGTTTAAAGGTGTCAGTCATCCCCATAGTACACTCCTAAATGCCAAACACCAGGGGTGGGAAAGGGTGGCGGCGGTGACCGTATTGGCCAATCCATTTGCAACTGCCAAGGGGATCCTCCAAAGGAGAGGTGAGCGCCTTGTTTCCCATTCAAGACTGCATTCGCAAGAGTCTTTTGAGCACTCTGCTGGACCAGTTCTCGAATATATGGATTGGCAGCGTTGGGAAGCAATTGGATCATAGCTCGTTGTAAGTGAAAGGCAACACATTTATTTTGTGTGTGGCCAGTGGCACCACAGTGCCAACACACCATAACCGGGTCTGGTGTAATATTTGTCCCTTTTCGTTTGTGCCCATGGGTTGGAATGTGACAAATGGTGGTGGTGGTGGTGGCAGTCATACTATCCTAATTCTCTAGATTGCGGGTTGCTAGATTGCGACAATCGTAGACTGCAAAAAAAGTGGGACGAACAATGCACATAGCCAAGAAGATTGATACTATGTACTTTACAGTGTCGGTTCGCTTCAAAACCTGAAATTCTAACGATGTCGTTATTGCTGAATTGATTGATTCATTTCAAATCTATTCCGCAATTAACACTTTTCCACATTCACACATTTATTGCATTCTCGGCAGTGCGAATGAATCAATGAATCAATTAATCTTCCGATTGCAGACCGATTGATTCTACCATTCTTCTAATGCATGTCGAAGAAACCTTCCAGCGGTAACCGAAGGTGACAAACTTGGTGCTGGAGAAATCGATGGTGCAATTGTAGGAGGATCCGTTGGGACTTTGTTGGCATCTTCTTCCAAGTCTTTCATAAATTTTTGGACCACAAGTGAAATGACAATGGCCACAATCAAGCATAATATAATCATTGAGGCAATACAACACTTTTGGTTTCTAATGCAAGATGCATTTCGTAATTCAGCTGTAGAATATTTGAACCGAGGTTCTTCATAGTCTTCTTCATAGTCAGCATCACTGACAGCACTAACGTCATCTTGCTCTTGCCATTGAGGATTGGGACGACGAGGACCCCCAGCACGGCGTCGATTGTCAGGGCGGGGTCGACGGCCTTGGTTGGGGTTGTGAACGACCAATGCGTTGTTGCTTCTATTTGGTGGTTGCGAGGGCATTGCGTCTGGAGGTGCTAACCTTAGTCAACCTCTGACGGCACTTTGGGTCAACAAGAAATATTACGATGCCAGGAACAAAGAACAAGATGAAAATAATGACCCAAAAAATCTCTTCATGTACCGTAGAAATGAGTACTGTACTTTGTTGGGACACGAGAGACACGACATTTTCGCCACCATCTTTTTCTGGATGGCAAATTCAACTCCAGTCAACATCACCAGTTTGGTTTGATTTCATTGCCCTGCAACACCTAGCAGACAATGCATATTGAAATGTAAAACGCGATGTAGCTCAGTATTGGTTTTTAAAAGGTACACGATAATTACAAAATAGAAGCCTCACAGCACCACAAATGCTTTGCTGTACTTCAATTATTGTAAAATAGTATTCTCAATATGACTCTCAAGTCAAGACTGTAGCTGATGATATGGTCACCAAGTTATATTTGAAAGGCAGGCCTAGGTCCAAACGGAACCGGTAGAGTGGATTCTATTGAGACATGATCGTTACTACTTGTTCCACAAGGAGTCATGAATCATGAATCATCATCATCATCATCATCATTATGATCATCGTGCTTGTTCTTGTTGTGCTCATCTTCTCTCTGAATGTTTAAAGCCCTTAGGTTTTTCATAGATACACTAACACAGTTTTCAGTCTCGAGGCTTGAAAATGAGCCTGTCCAAGCTTACATGTCATTCCTCGCTGCAACGAGCAATAGAGCATACTGGTCTACGGTACCGTATGGTAGGTAGTACGATAGTTATTATAATCCCTAATGATTTAAAATATCACTACATATGTACGTAGTATTGTAAAATATGAGGGAGGGAAACAAGGGTAAGATTCGAATACTTCCAGATTTCCCCCTTCATTCAAATAGCAAGCCGGGCAGGTTTACTTAGGTGCGTGTGTACCACGACGAAGCATTTTTGATGTGCCAAGCTCGCTCCGATTGACGGCGGCCTATCCGACGAGTTGAAAAAGAGACGTTTGGAAAGTGTCCCTCGTCTCTCTTGTCGACTTGCATTTCTGCAACAACCTAGAAGCACCCTCCAGCTTAGATACAAATCCAACAGGAATAACAAGCTTCCTTTTCTGGTGGAAGGGAAGTGCTGATTTCATTCTAATTTAACTCAAAAATCGGAAACTCCACTGCAGATCGATTCGTCAACTTTGAAACGTGACCGAAATTCTAAGCTGGTGAAAACGGTACTCGTTATTTACATCGGCAGCAAGATCTTTTTGTGGCTCTAGGGTTTATTTTATTTGTAATCAGGGTAATGGCTTGGGAGTCCATGACCAATCTTGCAGACGACGAAAAGGCGGGGAGCGAATCTGGTGATTCTCAGAACCTGGGAAACTTGGAAAACAAGGAAAATTCGACAGCGGGCTCATCTGTATCAGATGCTATCAGCGCCGCGGCAGCCACTAGCAACTCTGCGCAGACAAGATTTAGCTTTTATGACGCTGCCGAAGTCCAACTTCAACTATCAGGATCTGGTTCCCCCAATCAACAGAAAACGGAAGATCTCAAAAATTTGAACAGATTCAACTTTTATGACGCTGCAGAACTAGAAGAAAAACAGAGACAGCTCCAGTTGGAAGAGCATAAGAAGCGACAGAAAGAGCACGAGCGTCTTCGGGAATTGCAAAAGGAACGGGAAATTAGACAAATAAATGAGCGGCCAACCCCTATAATACCAGAAGCAGGTGATATGGATGGAGCAGCAGAAGATATTTTGAGATCCTTGCAGGAGACTGAAGATCAACGAATGTCTATTTTACAGGTTGATAATCATGCTGATCAGACCCCGACAAACGAACAATCCAGTCGCAGCACTAGAAAGAACAATCGAAGAACACCGTCCAATAGTTTGCACGCGACTCACAGTGAACAAACCATGGAGACTGCACACAAAGGTAGCATTGATGGTGAGGATGCCAATCCTTATGAAGACGCCATCAAGGAAGCTTTGGATCTATTGCGTCGACATCGGTCACCTGCTACATCTCCTACAGTAGTCGTTACTGGGGGTCCTGGTGATACCGGAATGTCTTCTCCAACAAGCCATGTTCGCTTGCCAACGCCAAAAGAACACGATCGACTTTTGCACATGCGGGAGGATGACACTAGTGAATTCGAATCTAATCATGGTTATCTCCATGAACAGGATGATACACAACATGTTGTTCAGGAGGAGGATATTGCCGATATATTGGAGATCCAAAAATTAAAGGCCAAACAACGACAAGAACGAATGGCAGAATACGCATCGCGCCTACAAGAGTTTAAATCTACTCTGCCCAACAACTCGACCGAGAGCAATATAGAAAGCAGCAATTTTGAAGCCCTTGAAAGTAACAGAGCAGACACGGACTCCATGTCAATCATGTCACAATCGACCAAACAGCGTGATGAAGAGGTTCAAAGAGGAGTAGAAAAAGTATTGTTGGCCATCCTGGAGAGGGCTCATTCTAGAGGCCGAAGCGAACCTAAACAGGAGACTATGAATGATACATTGCTTCGGGCGATGGATGAGTTGTTGCAAGGCCAATCAAAGAGCGATTTGGATGATCTGGACGAAGCACAAGATCAAGAGAATCTTCCACAACTCAAAACTAAAAGCATGGATAGCAATCCATCCAAAGTGTCAGAAAAATCAGTTGTTGACGAACTTCTTGCCGAAGAGGAAGAACAACACGCAGCCAACAAGCGCGCACCGAACAACAGTACCAAAAACAGTACTAGTGGCTCGGGTAGTCAAGGATGGTCATCCAAAATGGTTGATGAGGAGAAGAAACTACCTGATTCCATGGAACGAGTTTTAGAAGAGGGCAAACATAGCAATGGCGATGACGATATGGACAAATATGCTACTGAGCAATGCGATGAAGTTGGAGAGAGAGACATCAGGGCGGAAGAAGACGATGGTGGACACAAAGCTCAAAACGATGTTCAAAATAAGGATCGCGTTTTAGGTCCCCTCAGCAAACGAGCGGGGGGGACCACAGGGGTCGTTCTTGACATTGATCCGACTGATGAAGAAAACGCTTATCCTGATGATGATGATGACGCCGACGATGATGATGATGCAACGGATTTCCACTCCGCTATGAACAATGTCAATGCGAACATGATTCAAAAGGACCAACCTCCGCCGTCACGGAAACATAGCACTGATGACGAAAAGGGCGTTGGTCAAGATACGGATTTGGATATTGATAAAGAAGCGATGGAACTGATGAAAACACTCTGTGCCCACTTGCTTCCATATTCAATCGACCCATCCAATCGTTTGCGACAAGCGATTCCAAGATGGGACGAAGAAAACCCAAACGAAGCAGGGTATCGTATCATCCGATTGTCTCGGTCACAACTTCGTCGGGTTGAATTTTCCTTTGAATCTATGATTCAGGACTTCAAGAAGACCTCTTGCAACGGAGCGCTTGATAAAAATGCGAGCACGTATGATAGCAGCTTTTTCAGCGATCTGCAAGAAGCGGAACGACTACTAGACAAGGAAGAGAAAAAAAGGCAAATGTCCAATTTGCAGTCACAGGATGCAACAGATTTTGACAAGGCTTCCGCGGTGTCTGTGGACACAACCTACTCCCAAAACCACCCCGACTTCCCCGGTATCAAGCCCACTGGGAAGGGGGAAATGGGAGATATGGAGTACTTTCACTTGCCCATCATTTTCAAGTCTCATGTCACTGGATTTGAGCCCACAAAAGACATGATATTAGAACCTGGAAACGTAGTCGCTGGACAATACCTTGTCGAAAACGAACTCGGTAGTGCAGCCTTCAGTACAGCGTATCGGTGCATCGATCTGAGTTCTGAAAACTTGGGCGTAAGTTAAAGAATCAAAAAATCTTGCGTATTGCGCGTTGTCCTAAACCATTTTTTCATGATCTCGTTAACAGGGCCACGAAGAAGTGTGTTTGAAGGTTATCAAGAACACAAAAGACTTCTTTGACCAGTCACTGGATGAAATCAAAATCTTGGAACTGTTAAGACAAACTGGACAAGTGGACGAGAACAACATTGTGAAGATGAAAACTTTTTTCTACTATCGCGAGCATCTTGTTATTGTCACAGAGCTGTTGCGGCAGAACTTGTTCGAATTTGGCAAGTTCATAATTGATAACGACGAGGAAGACTATTTTACTCTTCCCCGGTTGGCCTACGTCACCCGACAGGCCCTTGTTGCTCTAAGATTTGTCCATGACCTTGGCCTGGTGCACTCCGATATCAAACCAGAGAACATCTTGCTTGCTAGCTACAGCAGAGCCAAGATAAAAGTGATTGACTTTGGGAGCAGTTGCTACTTGACTGATCGACAAAGCTCGTACATACAATCGAGATCCTACCGGGCGCCAGAGGTCGTCCTTGGGCTACCATATGACGGGAAAATCGACGTATGGTCGCTTGGTTGTGTAATTGCCGAAATGTACACCGGCGAGGTAACTTTTCAAAACGATTCAATTGTTTCTATGCTGAGTCGAATTGATGCAATTTGTGGTCCGTTTCCGAGACACATGATTGCACAAGGACGCCAGAGTGGGCGTTTCTTTACAAAGAGTGGCCTTCTGTACGAAGCGGTGGATTCGTCCGACGGGCAAAGAGCACCAGGTCCCCATGACGATGATTCCGATGACAGGAACGGTCTCTTTGACATTTTCCAACCCAAACCAACAAAATTAGCTGCACGTTTAGGTTTCTCAGAACGACTGATGGATGGCTTTGATGGATCTAATCTCAACAGCTTTGATTCCAAACGGCAAAAGCGCATGATGATGACCGATTTTGTGAGCAAGTTGTTGACCATCGACCCCAATGCACGACCGACGGCCGAAGAAGCTTTGCAACACCCGTGGATGCAATACGCCACCACATTGACAGAAGAGCAGATCAAGTACCCTTCATCATAGCCAATGGAGACAAGCTTAGTAAAAATAGCTTGGATTTTGAACTCGAAATTGTAATTCGGTAGGCGATCAATTCCTGCGCCAAGATGTACTGCTGTCTCACCAGTACAGTGTAATATGTAGTCCTGTGGGTATTCAAAAAATACTTTCAAGCTATCCGGCTGCAAAACCTGTTGATTTGATGATAGCTCACCTTCATGTACCGGTAGTCTCTAAGGATGGGAACCGCGATCAAAAACAGCTGGACGGTTCGCATCAAAGTCATTTTTTTCGTTGAAAGGAGCCGGCTCAAGTGTCCATTTTGGTGCAAGTGCATCTCTGCAAAAAAAACACAATGAAGTCAACAGCGCTACTCTGGCTTTATCTAGGTGCCAGCCAATACTTTTGTCAGGCCTATGTACCGCCGGAAATTCGACAGAAATGGAAGGAGACTTCGTACACGATGTCGGACGCTCTGAAGACAATCGAAACTCTTGCCCCGCAAAGAAATGATGCAGATGTAGAGCTCTATTATGCAGCTAGATTCATCGACCGTAATAGCCACCTCTTCTATGCGAATCAAGAAGAGCGCGATTCCCTTTGGGAAATGGCAAATGGATCTTGGTAAGTGAAGGCCTTATTCCATTGCTTTGGATATTCGGGTAGTCCAGTATTTTCTAAAGGTATCGTTCTTCATCTTTGCATGTTGAATACTCACAGGGAATTGTTGATGGTACGTTGACCAAGATAGTCTGCTTGCGATAACCGAAGAAAGGTCGCGAGCAACTGTGAATTTCTAGCCACAATTGATTTATGTACCCTTGCTGCATTCAAATTCATGAACTCACGGACGAGATTTTACATCACCAATTTGATGGAATGCATTTTTCACTCTGTCTTTGCAACCCTTCGATCCATATCTACAGGGATACGAGCAGCCGAAGGTTGGTATTGTAGTCTTTTCCTACTCTGTTCGCTCTGCCATTTTTGAAACTCATGAATGAAAATCCAATGATGGATGAATCTGTCCACAGGTCGATGATTTCTTTCTACCCTACCCACCGTTTGCAGAGTACGTAAAGCTTGGCGCGAGCTTTTTTCTTTCTTTTATTGTGAAAATGTCTGATACAATTTGATTCAAAAGTTACGCAATGGCATTTGTCATTGTCGACACCGACGACAACTACTTTGGAAAAGGCATTGCCAGTTCTCCAGAGTTTTCCTACGTCGCCTTGGGAGGGCCAAGTAAAGTAAACGAAAGGACCCGCCAGTTGTACATGGATTACAATGATTTCTACATCAATGGGCAGCAAGTATATGGTTGGGACTTGAGCTACTTTATGCGTGGATACGCTCGTAACTGGTATGCCATTGAACGAAATCGTCCACCATTGGCTTTTACCTTGATTGGAGTAACTGAGAAAATTATGATTGTTCGTGGAAGCAAGACAGGTGGAATGGCAATTTTCCGAAGGATAGATGGCGACATGAGAGAGGCGGCATATGGCAGCGCGCCATGGAAAGAACGTATTGCTGGATTTTGGACCAAGAAGCTTGACCGGAAAAAATCTAACAGCGACGAGGCTTGATCGCATTTACAAGTCATGATTCAGCAAATTCATGCTCACCCAACCAAAGATCCGAGTCTAGTTGTAGTTTCTAGTTCTAGTAACTGTGAATGCCTGAAAGCGAACTTATGACATCATTTCTTTAAATTTAAAATGTCGACTTCAAAAGATTCATTCCTCGTCCTCGAATGTTTCTGGTGGCACTTTGTACATGGTGAGGACTGCCTTGTTAGGTTCTCGCATCAAGACATACTTTCCTTCTTCTTGCTTATTGAACAATTGGAAAAAAAATCGAAGCATTGCCCACATTTGTCCTTCTTGGAGCGTAATTTGGGTAGCGAAATCCTTGGGGCGGTAGAATTGAGTTGCCAAAATGACATGATCGTATGCATTCTTGGCTGTTGCTCTTGAACAGAAACCAATCTTCATCTGATCAGCACCGCTCAGAAGCGATTGTGCAGTCCATTTTGCGAGCTTGAAGGAGTTATTCTTCAACTCATTCGCAAGAACAGCACCACGCTGAGAGTCAATCTTTTCTCTCCAAACGTTGTTGTTTGTGTTTTGGTTGGCGTCTGTTGGTGTGTACTCGTTGAGGGCAAAGGCAGTCATATATTGACTCTTCTTCACCAAACCGTGAAGCTCCGTACGACAAACCAAAACAGTATCCTCGTCTAGAGCAAACTTTCGGTAACGGAAAGCGGTAGAAGCAGGCTCCATGCCATCTGCATCCTCTTCATCGAAAAAGGGGTTGGGCAAGGCCATTTCCTTTCGGCCAGTTTTCTTAAGAATTTGTTGCGAGAAGTTTTGATTGATCATGGTAGCTTCTAGACCAAGGCGCTCTGGGTTGTTGATTCCATCCTCAGTTGGGCTTGGAGGGTTGTAACTCGTTTCATGGATAGTGAGGTAGTCAAGTTGCGAGTTATCACGCTTGTCAATGAAAAGGGTGCCACCTGGAAGCTTTTGAATCACAAGATCCCAGGGATAAACGGATCTTGTACAAGTCATAAGGTGAGCCAAAATGGTATCAGTGACAAATACCTTTCCGACTCCATCAATAGCAAGTTTCTCCAAGACGGGATCATCAGTAGTGGTAACAGGGTAGAACTCCTTGTGTTCCATACGCTTGAGAGGCTGCGGCTGGCGAGCTGTAACCTTATCGTAAGAATCATTGTAAGGATCGAGGAATCCGCACCACAATACATCTTGTGCTGTGGGAACAGTTGTGGAAGTGCTCAAATGCTTGGTAAGCTTGGCCAAATCCAATTCCTCCACCTTGACCCAGTCTGGCTGAACTGCAACAGATGGGCTTCGATCAACGCGATTGTTGTTGTATCGGTGTCCTCGACCACCTCGGCCTCCGCGACCCCCACCACGGCCACCTCCACGACCTCCTGGTCCCTTGCGTGTCAAAGTCTCCTTAGAAACCGAAGATCCAACAGAATTTTGCTGACGGCGAGCATTAACTTGACGGAGACGTGCAGTGTGTTGTCTACGACGGGCAGCGGGTGTGACAAAGCGCTTGGTAGTCGTAGTCTTTGATGTATCGACCAACTGAAAACTTTCTTCTCCTTCTTCACCTTCTTCCTTGAATGGTCTGCCCTTGACATAGCGGCCATTGCGGCCGTATTGGCCTGGGCGGTTGCCAGAAATAAAATCAGCAGCTCTTCCAAGACGGTCTGATCGGCCAAATGGTGAGTATGGCAAGTCGGCGAACTTGGAAGTCGACGGAGCGTTAGGATTGGCTTCATCAGTGGTATCAGGAGGACCCCATGAATCCGCGTTGGGAGCAACGTAAGGAATAGAAAACGTCGCCATTGGAGAGTTTCTTTCGGGGTTTGGGTTTGGTTGGAACATGGTTTGGCAAAGTTGAGCAACGGACGACGGGAGGGAGCATTTTTCAATTTTGTGGTCATCATCTGGTCTGCACTTCAACAGGAGGTAAAAAGGGCAAAGACGAACTGGAACGGCCGGGAAATAGAAATTTAGCATACAATTCTTGGGAGTAAATATTGATTTTCCCGGCCGTCCCTGAGATGAGATATTGTTGTACTACTCAAAATGTACAATAAAGCGTTGCTATTTCTTCATATTTCCTTTCCGCCTCAAGTCCCGAAGCGCACTTTTGCTCCTGGCAATATCACAATCTGTTATTCGTTTCGATATTGCGGAGAGCCAACGCTCGTTCTGTTGGGTAGTTCCGCCCCAAACAAACCACATGCTCACAAACGGAGAGGACTTTTTGTGAACATCACTCTTTTTGCTTTTGCGAAAGGAAGGGGGGGGAAGATAAATGTAGCGCTTGCGTGGTACCACAAAAAATGGGCGAATTCCTTTTGTCTTGGATATGTAGTAATCCTTCTTGTGCACCCATTGAGGCATCAGCAAAAGAAAAGGGCGATTTCCAAACGACTTTGATGTAACGTGATCAATCAGTTTCTCAATATGGTCTCCACTGTAAGGCGGATTAGTCACCAGCAAGTCATGGGAGGGATAGGAAGATGTGCCCCAAACCTTGTAGCAATCTTCTTTTCGGTTGTATACCTTGCTAAAGCCTAATGAATTGAAGTTCTCTATGACTGCTCCATTGCAGAAATAGGGATCATAGATACACAATTCACCAGTCGAAGCTTTTCTCTCATTGAAATCTTTCAAAAATGGGACGATGTCTTTGTATGCCTGCAGTGGGCTTTCACAATGATCATCGGCGTCAGTTTCAAAAGGAAATTCCGGTTTTTCAATTTCAGCATTTTCTTCCGTATTTTTGACAGTCCCTGTTGATTTCATTGTGCAGAAGACTATTGAGAACATTTCCGTAGTGTATAAAATTCAAATGTCACACCCGCCTTCCTTTTGGCAATGCACCGCGCCCATTTTAGGAACGGTAACAAGACTGACACTCTGGCATGATATTTGACCTAACAAGGACGACCGAAAACATCCAAGCCGGCTTCGATACATGCGGGTTAAAAATAGGGCTATGCTTCAGCTTCTTACCTTTTTCAGATTTGTACAAGTCAATAGATCCAGATTCTGATGCTTTGCCAATCTCCTTGCGTCCTCCATTTTCTCCTCGCTCAAGACCTGAGTAGACTTTGCCAGACTTTCGATCGATTAGTACAATTTCTCCATCAACCAACGAACCCTCCAGTGACTCTTCTACATTCGACTCCTGGTCTTTATCGGCGACATCTCTGCTCTTCTTTGCCTTTTTCTTCTTTCGCGGGCTTACATCCGTTTCACCAACGACCAAATCCTCATTATTCGAAGGGCTGCTATGGCGCTTCCTTTTGGACTTTTTTTGTTTTCTTTTCTTTGCTCTCTCTTCCTCCCCAGCTGGTTCCTTCTCACCGTATTTCAGTTTTTCATCCTTCATGGTTCGATTAATCAATCATTTGGTCACAAGTGGGTTGAGTTTTGTAGAAGCATTGGATGTTTCAAGTTGTCCTGTCCATGATCGACTACCAGGTATTTTACTACCACACTTGATATTGTGCGGTATTTTCTTTGCGTGGTCCTCGAACTGGATCGACCAAAAGGGATTGATAACGGAGGACGTCAGACGCCTCAGTACAAACCGCACGAACAGTACGACTAGTAGCGTCCTACTGCAGGAACTAAGTAAAATAGTTGAAGCGTTTTTCCTGAAAGATCGGCAATTCTCGTACGTAAGTGCCTACCTATCGATCAATCTCCAAATCGAAATTAAACTTGTTGTGGTCATCTTACCTGACTGAGTTTCCAATCGAAATAGTAACAATGATCCGCACTCTTCTTCTTGCCCTTCTCGTCGCCGCCGCTTCCGCCTTCGTTGCCCCTGCCAACCATGCCGCTGGTAAGATATTGGATTGAACAACAAGAGAATGGATTAACAGGGAATATAGTTGCCTACCCAACGAAATCAGTCGAAACAGTTCATGGGTTGTGTTTTTGTCGACCAAGTCTGTAATCGATCGAGGTTCCGCAGCGGGCTATAGTCTCTCTTGACGCTTTGATCAGTGCACTCAATCCACCGTTTCCCTTTTGTTTGTTTCTGTTATTTGCAGTCGGGCCTTCCTTCGTCACCCGGGAAGCACCAAAGGTCAACATGATCGAAAACATGGCCGACTTCTCCCAAGTTGCCTCTTCCACCAACATGGTTGCTTCCACTGTTGGCGATTTCGGCGGGTACTTCTTCCCTGTTGTCGGACTTGGAGCCCTTGCCGCCCTTATCCTTTTCCTTGCCCCTCCTCTTGTTGACGAGTAAACTCTCAATTTTCTTGAAGAAATCAAACTTCAATTGGGACACCGTCTTATCGGGTTTGGTCACGAATTAGACTAGCAAAATAATTGAGCTATAGACAACGACTAGGTCTCGTGACCTGGAATCTCAATAAGGAAAATTGGTTTATGTATTCTCTTCTTCCTCACATCTTAAGTTGAAACTACATTGTGATTAGTATGTTTCGTGCTTCAAGGTTGGCAGAAGTTATTATACTCAGACCTTGGCAATTCGTAAATCCACTGTTGCGATAGGAGCTCCTACAACGTCTTTCGAAGAATTACAATTCAAGAGGTGAAAAATTGAAGTCAAAGCCACCAGTGCAGTGCCTTGTTGATTCTATGATCTATGAGCTACTGGTACCAGGTACCGTACATTATGGATCTATCATCTATCATCCATTCTTGGTTGATTGTATCAGCCGTCTGTCAGTCATTCCAAAGTTTCGATCTGAGGAACGAAGAATGAACGAATGAATTATTCGACTCGAAGTTTGATTTCCATCTGTCCAACGTCGGTGCTTGAGCCATTGACAACTTTTGAAACTGCCGCGCTTGCGTGAGAGCCAGCACCGCTCACCTTTCGTGTGGTTTCCGTCGATCTTCTTCCGAATTTGGCGGCTGCCAGTGGGTTCCTGCGCAAGCAAACCTTTTCCTCGTGCCAAGAAGGGCAAACGAGCCCAATCGTATGATCAATCGGCACATACTACGAATGTCCATTACTCCATCTCTCATGCAACAACAAGAAGAAATATTTTTTGCATGTAACATTTTCTTCCATTTTCAGTAAAAGTCTTGATTGTACAGTACCACCACCGTATTGTTGATTGATTTGATTGTTGCTTGCTTGCTTTCTCCATTTTTTGCCAAAAAAATGAGCGGAACCACAGAGGAAAGTCATGTCAGAGTCCTACAAGCTCCTTTGAAAAGAGATGTTGCAAGACCTGTTGCAAACTTGGGTAATACCTGCTATATGAATGCTGTTCTTCAAGCGTTGGCACATGCTCCTGAGCTTTGTATGGCTTTAGATGTCGAGTCTCACCATGTCAACTGTCCAGTTTTTACGGAAAATGATCTGAAAAGACGGCCATCTCCTTCGTCATCACCTGATGGAGAAGACACGGCTTTCAAACCTACCGGAACTCGCAAGTCGAGGCGTTCGGCTGGTAAGAAAAGTCCCTCCAGTCAAGGCGATGACAGCTCTGTGTTTTGTGCGCTCTGTGAAATGGAGCTCCACTTTGCTCGAGTTCACAATGCTGCAAAGGGCAGAGATAAACCAGTTGCACCCACAAGGTTTGTTAATGGTTTTATCAACAAAATTGCCCCGCATTTTAAATTAGGTCAACAAGAAGACGCGCATGAGTTCTTGAGACTTTTGATTGATGCCATGCAACGGAGTTGCAAGAAAGCCAGCACGACTCCTTGTAATCCTCAAGACACACCGCCCCCGGAATCAAAGACGCCGGAATCTGAGTATCCTTTCCAGCTCTTTCGAGGGACTGTTGAATCGAACGTAACTTGTGCTGCGTGCAATGCAAAGAGTTCCAAGATTGACCCCATCGAAGACATTGGTCTGGATGTGTCGCAAGCCTCGTCGTCGTCTGGCGTTTTGAGTGATGTTGGATCGGCACTGAAGAGATTTGCTAGAGCCGAGCCTCTTGATACCGGCTACAAGTGCGAAAGTTGCGGAGCCGTTGGTCAAGCAACAAAACAGTCTCGACTGGCATCGATTCCTCCGATCCTTACCCTTCATTTGAAACGCTTCCGCTATGGTGCTGAAGCACAAAAGACTGTATTAACTGGAACTGGTCCAGGAGGCAGAAGAAGCAACCGATCTGAATTGAGTCAACTACTAGGTTCAGGCACTGCTGATTTCTATGGTGGAAAGTCAGGATCCGCGAAGATTGAAGGTCATTCAAAGTATGAACAAATTCTGGACCTCAAACCATACTTGACAGAAGAACTGCAATCCCAGCATTCAAAGATGTTTTGTCGTTTGTTTGCTGTCATTGTGCATGCTGGAAAGAATTCCCACTCTGGTCACTACGTTGCTTATGTGAGAAATATTGTGAAGAATCAGTGGTGTAAAATGGACGACTCTAGAGTTGCTGCTGTTTCGGTTCAAGAAGTTATGAATGCAGAGGCATACATGCTGTTATATCGTGTTGTAGAGCATCCAGTTGCGATTCGTCTTCGAAACGAGCAAATCAAGCTACACGAGGGTTACGAGAAGGACGCCAGAGAAATCGAAAGGGTTGACGTTAAACCTGATATGGAAATGGCTCCAATATCGACAGAGGCTCTGTCACCAATAAATCTCGAGACTGACGAAAAACAGTTCGGTTCTAGGGAATCAGACAAGAACAAGGCGGCGCCGGCAAGGACCAATCGAAAGCGAAAAGCTCCTTCCTACTCATGTGGAAAGGACTGGGCCTTTAGAACAACAAGGTTACCACGAAGTGTTATTGATGTCTTCCGCGTAAGTTGAAGCTGGCTTTTGTGCCTTTGATTTATATGAAAGGTAGCAAGGGCTCAACGTTTGTTTCCTCTTGACTACAGGATATCGAGAACATGATTAGTGATTATGTGCAGTTCAAGCCGGAATTCTTCAAGCTGCTCACTGAGCAGGCTTCAAAGACAAATGCCAAAGTGGGGCAACAGCTTGCCTATGGCGTCAGTGAAAATGACGTTCAAGGCGGTACTGGTAAGGTCAAGGGCGCTCTTTTGAAGATGTTCTATGAACTTGAAAAGCATCACGGAGTGAAGTACTTTCAAGATAAGAAGGACGACCAAGCTATCAACTTGATGGTTGATCAGAATCAAGACACTTTTCTTTAACAGAGATTCAACAAATTAGAATAGTTTCACAGCGAGGTAGACCTAGAGCTAGAATAAAGAAATACAGAGACATTTGATTGATCAGGAATTACTAGTAGCCGCCTCCTGCGCCGTTGAAACCTCCCCCACCGTACATGGACGGGCTTCCGAATGAACTTTGCATATTGTAGCCCCCATACAGACCTGAGCCTCCATAGCTACTACCGTAATTCATTCCTGAACCGTAGCCTCCAAATGCAGTCGAATGATTGCCCCTTTGATCTATTTGCTTTCGTTTTGAGGTAAGCCTTCGAATGATTTTGTACACAACATAACTTCCTCCAACCATTAGCGCCCATCTAATTGTTTTTAGCCGCTGTCGTCGCTTCTTTTGCTGCTCTGTTTCTGTTTCATTTTGCAGAGCTTCCAGCGCTCGTAACTCGTGGAAGGTTGCGACAGCATGTTCAATCATGGATGTCAACGATTCGAAGGACTGTTGTAAAACTTGCTGGTTCGTCCCCATCAGTTGAACCGCTTGGCTTAAAGAAAAGACAACTGTCTGAATCCCATAGAGAAACTGATTCAAATTTGAGAACGGTCCCATCATCGGTGACATGCCACCATAATACGGAGACATTCCATATGACATCATTCCAGCACCACCATATAGGCCCATCATATTGTTCGGTGTTTGCAGGGACGAGGAAAGCGGTAGCGTTCCCTCATCTTCTTGCTGCTGCTGCTGCTGCTGTTGCTGTTGTTGTTTTTGCTTCTTTTTTGTTCCACTCTTGTTCCGTCCTGTCGTTTTGGTTGCCAGCGTGGTTTTCTTCCGGCTTGCAGGCCTACTACGATTGCTCTTGATGGGTGTTATTGATGATTCCAACTGATCGGAAGTCGGAGCGACAGGTACACTCGGGGGCATTGTTGACTGCTGCTTTTCTGTATGAAGCTTGCTGTTATTATTGTTCCAGCACACAATTTTGGGACTCACGCGCAATGCGCACAACTATTGACTCACGATTGCCATGACAGATTTCATCACATAAAAAACGCTTCGATTTTATCCGATATGCTGCGGATTATATATACCGCAGCATTGAACACTAATATTGTACTCATCAAAACAGCTTGGATTCAGGCTTACTTTCTATATATTATATAGACCTGAATAGTCACGTGCGGTATTTGATAAAGTTCAATTTAAAATTGTTCTCGTCATTTGGTCATTTGTTGTGATCCCTCATTGTTTTTCCGATCTGCCAATGAGCGTCATTATGGCATGATGCACACTATGAGAATGAATAGATGATGCGTTATTCTAATCCGATGGATGTAGTGGTGGTGATGATCTAGGAGTCTCCGGAGACTGCACTTTGCAAGACCACGGGAAATACCATGGATGGTGTCCCTTCCGATGAGATCCAATCATCCAGCCCACCGAAACGATGGATCGGGTCGCCCTCTGCGAACACTTCTCGAAACAGAACCTTTGGATTCAACAAGGATAGCAGAGAACTCTCTTCCGCTTCATCCGTGTTATTGGGTTACGACGGTGACATCAAGACATTTAGTTACGACTGTGAATTCAAAACACAAATTTATCAAGTCAAATTTACTTGACGAATAGATGAAGGAAACTGAATAAGCTCTAGTCTAGACCATTGATTATTATTATCTTTCCCCTCTCCTTTTTCTTACTGCTATCATTGAATTAGCGACTGCGAATATCCTCATGCATGTTTTTCATATACAGGGTAACTGCAGCACGTTTCCCTCTAAAAATCGCTGGACTTGCGTTTTCACGATGTTTGACTTGTCACAAGCTGGAGAAGACACGCCAAGCATTTTCTGATTGGCAGGCTTTCCGATCTTGTTTGAAATAGGCAAGGCTGGCTCCATATTTGGTGAGATTTGGTGGGAACTTTATTAGTGTTCAATGCTGCGGTATGTAATATCCGGAGGGGTTGTCAATGAACCCAACCCAACTATTTTTGGTTTATTTTTATTGACCAATAGAAGGGCAGTATTTTTCCCGATATTTGACCACCCCCTTTGAAGCCACGAACCAACTATTTTTGGGGAAAAGCCGGTAGTTTAGGGAGACGTACGATATCTCGTAGATATATTTGCCTACTTATTTTTCGTCGAAAAATAGCATGACCCAACTATTCTTTGTTTAAGTTTGGGCTACGTTTACTCAAAATTGAACTGTTCCACACGATAAATCTAAAACATTGGACAAGAATTGTAAATCTTTTATCCCGCGAATCAATTATCTCCGGGTCATTGAAGACCCAACTATAATATAGTTGGGTCTCTTTTCGGCACAACTATTTTTTTTTTTCTGACCCAAACCAACTATTTTTTTTTTGGCTCGACCAATCACAGCTGCCCAAAAAAAAGAAAAAGAGTTGGGTTGGGTTCATTGACAACCCCTATTATATCGGATATAAAAAAATTACGCACTACTATTTACACCATACTACTACAATAATAAGCATTAAAATGATCATTACAAAGGGACAAACCTAAATATGAATACTTCCTAGCAGGTACGGTAAGCTTAGTAGTCGCTGTGGCTCCATTTTGCTTCTCCAGAGCCTTCTGATGAGCGAAATCGACTACATGGAGTTGCTCATTTCCTTTTGTGATAACAACAATGTGCTTTTGCTGTTTTCTGCTGAATCTAGGCGCAGGAAGCCATGGCTTAGATGTGGCAATCATTCTAAACGTCTTCATTGGTGCTCCTCTTGGTATATTGTCACATAATGCGTTGGCCATGTAACTCTGCCACGCCGCAATTGCCAGCAGCATGCTTTGCAGGATTGACAGCCATGGGTATGCAGTTACACATTGCAATCAGCCTAAGAATCACTTTCGAATGACTATCCTTCACCCTTGAAGGTGCTGGCCTTTGTCTTGTATGACTATTTATATGATTTTGGTCCATCAGACCACCAAATTGAGCCGTATGGTCCTCTCCCATGCCTATTGCATCTTCTGATAGGGCCGAGAAGTGCCATTGTGATAGTACATATCAATGGCAAATGGTAAGTTGGAAGAATATGCCGTCTTCATGACCTGACAAGACAGTTTTGTGTTGGTGTCAGTTTTGGGGCGAATTGAGAATGGGTCTGTCCGACTTCGGAGGTTCATCCGCTGAGATATCATATCGTCTAAAGCGTTAAGGGATATAAAATAAACAAGAAGCACTTGAGACCCCCACTGACGATGGCCGACTCCAGTTCTGATGATTCAGATGAATGGGGAACAGAAGAAATTGTGATTCCTTCGAAATCGGGTGCTGCTCAAAATCAAAGTGAAGAAGGTGAGAATGACGATGGGGATTGGGATTGGGATGTAGTAATTGAAAAGAAAGGACCCAAGCTGTCCACCGTACAAACAGCACCGAAGAAGCCAGGGGAACCAATGATAATAGTAGATATTACACAACTGGATGAAAATGTTCACAGCAAATTTGATCGTAATTCTGTCAACAACACAGATGCCGCCTCAGCCTGGCGCAAGAAGATTGAGAATCAGTACCAGACGTACTCGAAGGATGCAAAACTCCTAGGGAATGGTACTGTAATTCCTTGTGGATCATCTGTGTGGAGAGATGCACTTGTTCGACTTCGTGATGAAAGAAAGGGTCATTACTTTTGTCCCGTATTTTCACCCAAAAAGTAGAATATCTACTGTAGCTACTGTACCATGAAGGAGTTTCTAGGAATTGATCTGGGATGGCAACGTTGATTCGATGTATGTTTTTTGCGAAAGCTCTAGGTCAAATGTTATAATACAGTGTTCTGAAGCCGCATTCCTGACTCGCATGGACAGCTTTGAAGGCCCATACATCATGGTATTGGAGGCGGTTTGGAGGCGCCACGTCTCGATCAATGCTTGAGAAGAGGCGAAAGAGTGTTCAGTTCCACTATGGAGTCAGGCGGGTCCAGGCGAGACTTGTTTGACAGAGATGAGCAAGGTGGCTATCCAAGAGAAGAAACGACTGTTTGAGGCCACTGTTTGGCCGAAGTGTACCAGGTGGCGAAAGAGTTTTTTTGCTTCCTTGCCACACTCGGCATCGCGAAGTTCCAACCAATCCAGTTGCGTCATACTAGACCGGTGGTCACATTGGCGGCCCTTTGCATGATGCACCCGCCTATACACTTCGGTTGTCCGTGTCGTTGTTCTTTCAGTGGATAGGATATCGAAGTGTGTCTACTGAGGACGTAGGGTCCACGCATCGAACGCATTGGGAGAGTACATCAATCCATCCTTACAAGCCACAATTGCAGTTGGGCAGAAGTTGGAGCAAAACCCCACATGCTGGAAGTTGTCCCGAAGCCAAGAAACCGCCATTGCATTACCCCAGCGAGGATGCCGATTAGTTCACTTCTTTACGCACTCTGACCGTGAGGCTGCCATTGTGTTAGGCACCGAATTTGCACCATCAGCTATGGGGCCTGTGCTGCCGCCAAGCCCACTTCAATTTCGAAGGATCCATCGCTCGCACCGCGCAGGGTGCGTTCTCTAGAGGGCGTCGAGAGGAACATCGATGTGGGTCCGGGAGGAATAGAGACGGTCAAGTGGAACCCAGCCGTGGCCTTGGCATTGAATGAACTGGCCATTAGAGGAGGAGACGAGGCACCTTCCTCGTTTGCTCAGCTACAGGCGTCAGATTCATGAATTTGGTTGGGATTCTACAATACTTCTGGTTTACACTTTTATTTCATATTCCAGTTTTGGGCTTATTCCTGCCTGCTTACAACAGAACTCGACCATTAATATTTTGGAATTCCCTTTTCATGCCGCGTTTTTTAACCTCCTCAAACTGTTTCCACTTGAGAAGTGGCATCAATTCTCTGTCGAGCTCCACTGCCTTTTGAGCTATTTCATATGCCTTCTTTTTATTCCCTTGCTTGAATTCAAATAGACTAAATGCACCAAGGACTGGGGTGGTAATATGGTGTTGTCAATACAAAAGCAAAACTTCGAATTAGCGGCTGTTGGCAAAAAATTCTTTGTAAATAAATGATGCTTGCCCTACATACCTTTTGCTGAGCAAGCACACTCGTCAATGTGTCCTTCGTTTCCCACAATAGCCTCACGGAAAAAATTCAAAAAGACAGAACGAGCTTTTTTAATGTCTCCCATACGTTGGCAGTGCAGGGCAAGCAACAGTGTTGTCACAGCCAGTTTCGAATGGTCGCAGTGGCCATCTTCATCTTCATTCATGATTTCGCTGATTATTCGACGGTAGATCGCCTCCGCTTGATTGTGCTCACCGTCCCGAATCTTTGTCAGAGCGAAATAGTGCTTAATCGCGGTCGTTTTATCCAGACTGAACTCTTGGCCTGTAGACTGCCTTCTCCTTTCTCTACTTAAAATAGTATAGTACTGCATAGCACGAAATGCGTAGGTCCGCGCGATCATTGATCGGTCGATCAATTCTTGTCTCAGTTGGTTCACCTTCTCTGGTTTCGGTGGACCGGAAGATGTAAAAGCATTGGTTCCTAGGAGGGAAACAAGAAGAAGGAGCGCCATCATACGCACTCTTAGTTTCCAGCACTGCATTTTGATACGGGAACCGAGCACTCACTGTATGTTGTGGTTTTGTGAATTCATCGGCAGCATGATACTTCAATGAAGAAGAACTTAAGATTTGATTCGCATGGCAAGCAGGTGTTCGATCTGTGCAAGACACGCTTGAGCGCGTGTCTCGCGACTCATAAACGTGTGCCAAAAGACAGAACCTGCGGTGATTGGGCGGAAACTGAATAGAAATAATAGTTTTAAAAGACATTTCCTTAAACACGGACCATCCGCGTCTGCCGATGAAGTTCAAAAATCATCAGAATTTCCGTTTCGAACCAGAATTTCTTTGATCTTTTCACCGGTCCCGAATTTCTCACCGTCCATAATTGCATTGCCCTTTCGCAAGCAGTTGGAATGGTGTATCTGAGTAGTTGAAAACGGACAGCACCGCACGGGCCATGCGTCGGCGTCCCGTCGAATGTCCCCAGTATGGTGAGCTTCATTTGCAGGAAAGTTCTCAATCGAATCAATCATCTTCAAACAGTACATGGAATTCTGTCCGGTCGATGTGTATCAGGGTTCCATACCCAGTAACGGTGGCGGGATGCACAGGTTGATTTGCAATGTCCCTGATATGTGTCTGCATTTCCTTTTCAGGCACCACATGATTCAGTTTGCATTCTACAATAATAATAACTGAAACATTAATCGATTAAATGCTATCTAGCGCATACAATTGCCGGTGGGATAATCGGCTGTAAAGGTCAAGTACCGTGAAGCAACAAGTCAACAACGCCGATTTCACGACTACTCTTGAAGATCCAATCGAACTCTTGAAACGTATTGAACGATTCATGAAGAAGAGTGCTGATGCTGAGTATGACTTCTTGGATTTCTGGGAAGCCAATCAAAAGTTCTTTGCTTTGAAGCAGGGAACAACCGACAATTTGATGCATTTCAAGGAACGATTCTTGAGACAGGCTGAAGTCCTGCAAGACCTATATGGCGTTGCCTGGTTCCAAAATTTTGCAGTCAAGACAAAAGCGTATGCTGCTATTGCTAGCACCAATACTGCTAAAGACAATAATAATAATAACTGAAACATTAATCGATTAAATGCTATCTAGCGCATACGATTGCCAGTGGAATAAGCGGCTGTAAAGGTCAAGTACCGTGAAGCGACGAGTCAACAACTAGTTTGAATCATTGGAGACATCTAGTGGACAGAAGTTGCTCTAGTCAGGATTGAGGGGATCCCAACTCTACCCGCGACAAGGCGGGGTGATTTCGGGGCGTTGATTCCTCGAAACGGGATTAGGGGGCCTGGGCCAGGTGGAAGAAGCGGTGAAGGATACGGCGTTGAGGCGCCAGAGCTCGGCGGTAGGCCGTGCGTTCCATTCTAACCAACTTCAGCCACTCTTCCCTATCGACCAACGGCTTGTTCAACACCGTTCGGCGTTTCACGGCGAGCATGAGTTGAACTACCTTGGGGAGGTTGGTTGGGCCCATATCAAACTGAGAGTGTATACCATCGTTCGCCAATCGGCTACGTTTGCGTAGCTGTACATTGTCCTCCGAATGTTGCACCAAGTTCCGGTGTTCCCACATATGAAATCCAAGCAAGATCAGCTGATGCAACAGGCGAGAGACCCACAGGGTCGGAGAGCGTTGGCTCCCTCGTGACTGAAGGTACTGTTCCTGCAGGGCCGCCCACTGAACAGACAGCCAGCCTTCCAATAAACCTTGGTAGCCGATGCAAAGACGAAGCGGAACCACCCGGCTGCAAGGTAGGGACGGGTCGCGAACCCCTTCAAGAAGATGAAGGATAGCGTGTTTGATGGCTGGGTCAGTGACTTGAGCGTCCAGCCATTGGTCCAAAATCGCCGTCCGGCGGTCCCATTCCGCACTCGCCGAGGGCGCCGTACATCGAGGAACATGAAGGTGGTCCTCGAACTCGCCGCAGCAGGGGCATGCAGCTGAGTCTGCGGAACCCCACCGGACTTTGAACTTCCCTACACCACACATCCCCACGACATGCTTTGTGGTCCAACGTTGGACACCTGCCGGAAGGGAGCTCATGGCGCGGGCCAAACTGGTCCAATCGATCTCCAGCTCTGCCTCCGGTGTAATTGTCTGCCGCTTGTGCCATCGCTTGCGTAGAGCAGGCAACGCGACCAGTTCCTGGATATGCTCTGGATTCAATCGCGACTGTTTGACGTCACCAATGTAGAGGGTAGCCAATTCGGTAAAGAAGCGAGCGTTGGGTGCAATCAGTTGGTGAGAAGCTTCAAGCTGGTGACAATAAGCAACTGCCCACGCGTCCACTTCCACATTCCTTTTGGACCACCAAGAGAGGCACAAAAAGGATGTCGCCTTATCAAGGTGACCGTACACGTGGCTTGGTTCCTGCTGGAGCGGGCAAGTGCCTCCCGGATAGAGGAGACCAGGTCAAACTGGGCTTGTTGCGGTGTGACTCGATTGTCACTAAAGGTGTTGAGCAACGCAGAAAATCCATCGCACGCAATCCTGACGCGGGGTGGTGATCGAAGTCTTGGGGCCCACTGGTCCAGGAGCCAATCAACAACCATTGTACCGGCCAGTAGGCCAATCAATTCACTCCGGTACGCGCTCTGGTCGTCAGGTAGACCCAGAGTTTGACAGCAAACAATAATGCGTTCCTTGCCACCCTTACGTGGAAGCAGTTGAACCGCCGCTGTGCCCAGACCTAGCTTATAAGAACCGTCGCTGATCACACACAGCCGGTCTTCGAGTAGGGCTTCAGCAAGACGGCTTTTGTCGCCGTCAATCTCTATTTCTTCAGGGGTCCAACCAACGTACTCGGTCACCTCGGCTGAGGCGGCCATCCAGGCGGCCAGTAATGACGGTTGGGAGTTGTGGTGCGGCAGCAGCGATTCTGTCCCAATGCCGGTGAGGGCTAGAGTACCGAGCGAAGGCGTGATATGGACGGTAGCCCGGCGCACGTCCTCTGGGAGTGGTTGGGTCCAAAAGGGGGCTGGCAAGGAGTAGGTGCCGTGGTCGGCGGACTCGTTATGTGGTCGTTTGCACCCAGACAATTGCGCAGAATGAGTAGCGTCCCATTGAAGGCTCCGTGTGGAGGAGCGATGGTGACAGTAGTGTTGCCAACCGTGGCCCTGGCGGTGGAACAATCCTTGAGTAGAAGACCATAACCAGTTCCAGTTGTCAAGAGGATCAAACCATGGGCCCAGTGGATGACACAGTAGGCGCTGTGGTCCATAAGAGACGAGGAGTGCTTGAGTAAGGTGCTCCTGCCACACCCTCCAATGATTCCGGTTGGGTCGGGCAGTTCGAGGCCATTGGCTGATATGAAGAACGATGAGTGTAGTCACGTTCCCCATGCCACATTGACTCCCGGATGCTGCGGCCATCGGCGGTAACGATGTCGGAGACGGTGCAGACTTGGAGGAACATACGACACCAGTTGAGCCACTTCAGAGCGTCCTGGTCCACTTGCAACTCCATAAATACCTCAATAAGCAAGGCATCGCCGTCACACCGGAGAGAGAGGACCGGAGTATCGAGAGCTAGGTATATATCCAAGTCCTCCATCTCTTTCCAGACTCGTTTGAGCCATGTATCCGACGCCAAAATTCCCGTGTTGCTATAGTCCTGCTGGAAGAGTCCGAAAGAGGTGCCGGTCTCAAGTTGGTGTTCTTGAACCACAGCCTCCATGTACGCCCCAGTTTTAGTTTGGTTGGACGAGTGGCGGAGCAGAACCTCGATATGTTTGGACACCTGAGTACCAAACGGATGAGGGATGCCCAGACCCTGGAATCTGAGAGGGGCAAACACCATGTCACGAGGGAAGCTCCTGCAGATGCCGGCTTTCGGCAAGCAAACTTGGAGAACGGGACTCATAATCGACACCCATGTCGCAGCGTCCAGCGTAGTTAACACCATAGGATATTCCAAGGATTTCATCACCGTTGTCTTGATAAGAGGAATGACATCATATTTGTGTAGATGCCCCGATCGCACTTGCTCAGCCCACTTTTTGGCGATACTCTTGAGGTGGGCGACGTGTGCCTGTTGATCTTCCAATGGGGCCAACATGACCCCCAAGGTTTTCTCTGCCTCATCCGGCTCCAGACGGCGTAAGGCTTCCAATTCACCAGTCAGTCCAGATATTTGTAATTTATGATCCCGTAGGAGTTGGTGCTTCAGGCAGAACCGCCATTTGCCATTGCTTGAGTCCCAAACAAAGTCAATCAACCACCAGAAGGACTTTTCTGTTTTAATTGCACCTCCAGTAGCACTGATGCCTCCAGCCCACATGGAAGCCGCTTGTTGGACGAAGTGGCATATATCCTTGCCGGATTGTTCTACGGACTTGCCTGCTTCAATCACGTCCGTATCACCAACGAAGCAAAAGCACTGAGCGGTGATCAGGTGAGAGTCAATTGCTGTGAGGCATTCAAAGCCAAAGCCCAGCGCGGTCATCACCTGGATGATGATGGAGCTCATTGACACCCATATAGGCGGGCCCGCTCCGTTGCCCTGGCCGCAACCCTGGAATGGTACTATGGAAGGGGGATGGAAGCTCTCTTCAGAGTCCCCAAAGCCCGTCCGCACTCGGTGCGTGGAGGTTGCAAGAGTGTCGAACATCATATGCAACGCATTCCAAGTAATCGCCAGACGCATCATAGCTATCACCGCAACCCAATGGACTACCCGATCAAAACAAGACTTTGCATCATTTGAAATCCATCCCGCTGAGCGTCGCTGGAGAATCAGCGGGTCCCATATATAACTGATGCATTAATTGTATTAAAACTATCTCAAGTTTCTAGATTGCCGTTAACGGCTGTCATGGCCATTTACCATACGGAGGTGAGTCCAGTACTGTTGAACCAGTGTGAGGCATCCAATCCCAGGGAAGTTGCTCTCATCG